TACTAATATATCTATTATTCTATTTAATATAAATACTTTTAATAAGAAGAAATTATTATAGGTTTTCTATTAGTTTATTATAATTAATAAGTTAGTTAGTAGTTTATTATTTAAATTTATTAGATATAACTTTATAGAGAATTTAATTATAGTATTCTATTTAGTTCTAAAGGAATATTATATAGATAATATATAATACCCTCTATTTATCTATTATAGTTATTAGTATAAAGTTAGTAAGATTTCCCTATAATAGGATATTAATATATTATCTAAGAGTAAGAGGAATTAGGGTTTTATTAGGTAGATTTAGATTTAGAAGATTTATTACTATTAATTAAATAGATAATTATATATTTTATAATAATTAGTTTTTAGTTTTTTAATAACTAAATCTACTAAACTCTAAATTTATTATTTCTATTAGTTAATAGGGTAAGTAATATAATAATATATTAGTAGATTAATATATTAATATAATAAGAAAATAAAAAAATTAATAATATAATAAGTTATCTAAAGAAAGAAACCTAGAAAGAAACTATTAATTATTTCTAGTAGTAATAAGTAAAAAAGAATAATTTAATTAGTAGATTAATAATATATTAAGTTATAATATATTAGATTATTAATAGGAACTAATTAGAAAGTAAATAAATTAATATAAAAGAATAAGAGAGAAAGAGATCTAAGGAGTATAGTAATAGAATTACTAGATATATAATAGATTACTATAATAAATATATAGAATATAGCTAATAGGTAAGAATATATTTCTAATATATAGGGATATACTAGAGATAAGGGATCTAATAAATAAAGGGATACTTAAGGATAGATTAATAGAATAAAGAGAATAAAATATCTAAATCTCCTTACAGGTAGTTATAATAATCTTCCTAGCTAATAAAGATTAATTATACTATAGAAAAATAAATAAATATTAATCTAATCTATTAATCTTTTTAATCTTTTAGACTAATTAGTATAATTTAATAAGGGCTATATAGTAAAGTAAAAAGCAGTAAATAGAGTAAATAAATATAATAATAATTAGGATAGAAAAGCTAGCTATTAGAAGGTTCTAACGAAGGTTTATCTAAGTATATATATATATAATAAGCGGCTTATCGATAAATCGATAAGCCCTATGACGTATCCACAACAACTGTGCAGCGAGGTGGTCATTTCTTCTTCGGCAAAGGCTCCCTGGAGGAAAAGGCCACTGTGTCTTGTCGAAGGACAGCTGTATAAGATCAAGGTGCAATTTGCCAGTGGCGCCTCATCCAAGCTTGTGAAACCCGGTGTTGTGAATTTTGGTGGCGGCGCCGGTCGTCTAGGCATGGTTCAAGCTATCGACCCAGAGCTGGCCATCGCCCGAGCCGTCGAGGCCGCGAAGCATGCAGATGTCACGATACTGGCTGTTGGACTGACTCGAGATCATGAGTCAGAGGGGTTTGATCGGTCTCACATGGATCTCCCCCTGCCGTTTCTTCCCTAATCACAGCTGTTCTTGACGCGGCGCCTGACGCCGTCTTCCTAAGCCAGAGCGGCACGCCTTTCAAAATGCTTCCCTGGGCAAATACTGTAAAGACGCATTTGCACGCTTGGTTCGGTGGTAACGAGCTAGGCAACGGCATTGCTGATGTGCTATTCGGTGTCGTCAATCCCAGCGGAAAACTACCTCTTTCCTTCCCGCGACGAATCGAAGACAAACCGACATTTCTGAATTTTGGAAGCGAGAGAAGGCAAGTCATATATGGCGAGGGCATCTACGTTGGTTACAAATACTACGAAAAGGCCCTCCTAGATGTGCTCTATCCATTTGGGTAAGTCCACTCCGACTCTTTTCTGTCGAAATCATGGCTAATTCGCTTTGTCCTATAGGCACGATCTGTCATATACTTCCTTTGTATATTGCGATTTGACTGTCGACACCACATCCGCTAAACTCAATGTTCGTAACTCCGGAGACGTTGCAGAAGCAGTCTAACTATATATCGCTGCAGACCCAACAACGTCGTCAATCGCATTTGCAAAAGTATATTTACAGTCAGGTGAGACGCGAAGCGTCAGCATACCATTTGATCGATTCACTACTGCATTTGGGACCAGGAAGCACACGTCTGGGTGTGTGAAAAGGGGCTGTATAGAGTAATGGTTGGGTCGAGCAGCCAAAACATTCTCCTGGAAGATGTACTGGAGATCAAGAAGACGACAACTTGGTCAGGCCTGTGATCTAATGTCCATTGAATTACTGACTTGGGTAAGTAGGCCATCTACAGCCCCTGTTGGCTATAAAGTGGCTACTATTTTAGAAAGCGAGGATAATTAATACTTTAGAACATGCCATATTACTACTAGAAGAATAGAAGATACTGCAGAGTTATATTTTATTTCAATATCAATCTAATACGTTGGATTAGTAGAACGCTTAGTAGGATTCAATGAGTCTTCTCTTATGTGTTTGATTACGTGTTCGTTGTTTAGGTAGTCTGGGGCGGTGGTAACTAAGGATTTATCCTAGTCTGTCTATCTAGCCTTGGAGACTGGCCTTGGAGACGACAACTCCGTCATCAACGATGAACTCGCTGAACTTCCTCGGCGGGACATTCTGCGAGTATAAGCAGTCGATGTCGTGGTACGTTCTGTTCTTCGTCTCAGGTTGGAACCAGAACAGAGTCGCGAGGACGAAAATCTCGGCGCCAACAAACAAGAACATGACTTTTCCTCCCCAGTTCAGCTGGTCGGGGTTGATGAAGAATGGGAAGACGGACGACAGCATCAGCGCGGTGAGCTGCTGACAGACCAGACTGAATGCGATGGTCTTCGGTCTTGTTGCCTGGGAGGCAGTTTCCTGCGCGATGGCCCAGCCGAAGCAGCCCACAGTTGCAGTGTAGAGCATCGACCACGTAATCATGAATGCCAGCAGAGCAGTATTGGCAGCCTTATTCGCAGTCCCGGCAAGGGAGGTTCCAGCGATGATGATGGACCAGCAGCATAGCAACGTGCCGCCTCCGATGAGGGACTTTCGACGAGGCATGACGTCCGAAATCGAGACAGCAACACAGTTGGAAAGGAATTGTAGAGTGGATGAGATGGCAGTAAGACCAAAGGGGTCGGCCTGTCCGATGAGCTCAAAGTAGTAAGTCTGGTACGTGTCTGTCATAAGATTAGCATGTTGCGATCAAAGCTTTCGAAAACTCGAGGATTACATACTTGCGAAGTATCCGCCTGAGAAGTTCTGCGACTGCAGGCCGAGAACCGCAACAAGAGTTCTGGAGCGGTGTTCCTTGGAGAAGATGGCTCTCCAGCTCGTCTGCTTGGCCATGTTGGCTTCGCCGGCTGCGACCTCCAGCTCGGACTTGATGAAGTTCAAGCGGTCCTCCACGTCCTCATTCTTGCCGTACAACTTGATAATGGCCTTTCGAGCATCATCGTCTCTGCCTTTCTTGACATACCATACAGGAGACTCTGGCAGAAAGGGAAGAACAATTGCGAAAAGTGTTGGCACCAGGAACGTCATGACGAATGCCAGTCGGTAGCTCCACTCTCCGTGAATCTTTGAAGATCCCCATCCTGTGATGGACGAAAGGAAGAAGCCCAAAACAATGATTACATTGGTCAAGGAGCTGAGAGAACTTCGTAGAGCGGCCGGTGCGTTCTCAGTCACATACAGCGGAGGAGTAGCGGTGGACAGGCCGACCGAAAGACCGAGCAGAAGCTTGGAAACGAAGAGGACTGGCAGACTGGGGGCGAACACGAGGGCGAAGGACGAGGATATGGATAAGGCCACGGCGGCCCACAAGACAGGTCTACGGCCGAAGTAATCTGCAAACTGGCCCGTGAGAAAGGCCCCCAAAACCTGGCCAATTGTACTGGCAGCGTTCCAGAGGGATTGCCAGAGAGCAGGGATGACGAATTGGTCACCGGCCTGAAAGTATTCCCCGTAGGCTTTGCGGAACTCGGGAAAAGCGATGGCCACACCTGAAAGACCAGAGTCATAGCCCCATCCGAAGACGAGAGACATGATGTACAGGGACCAAAAGACATATCGTTTGTCCTTCTTGAGGTTGAACCACAGGCGTTGGTACTGTTGTTTTGGGGTGAGGTCATAGGCAGCCATGGCTTTCTGAGCAGTGACTTCCTCGGTCACGACAGCTTTCTCGACATGGTCTGTTGGCACAGACACTGCTGTCACTGGATCATCTGACTTGGTATTCATGTTGGCATAGGCAAGACGTGAATGTGATGACCAAAGGAGTTAATGTATTGAAATGAGAGTTGGTTTGATCAGCGTGGTTGAGGCAACAGGAGCGGCTTCATCTCCCGCCTTTATACTCTTCCTCCATCAGGATGAACACAATCATGAGCTCAATAACCCCAGATCCGCCGTTGGGGTCAGGTGTGGGGTGTGGAGATAGTTTGAAATTGAGAGCCAACTGGGAGAACAAGGTTAAACTTTTTTCCTCTCACGAGGCTTCTCGGACTACTTTTCGGTTCATCTCTCGGGATTTGCCTCGGAGTGGAGCTCAGAAGAGGCCCCTGGAGCTGACCTCGGAGCAGTTTTCGGTCTCCATTTCGGAAATCATCGAGTCAGGCCATATAGCAGACAACACGAAATACTAAGTTAGCTCTAGCTCCCCGCCATTGAGAGACTGGGGTTCTTTTAGCTTGGCGGGGTTGATGCTAACTTGTGCCATCAACTTCCCCAGCTTCGTCGCCGTCTTTATATCAGTCTCAAGTATAAAGATGATGGCTACTTGTCTGTTTCTGTTTCCCAGCCATAAGCGAAGTAATTTGGCATTGTAAAAACGCCACGCGCAAACATATTACGTACATCAATCACCATGGAAGTCGCAAAATCACCCTCACATGAATGGTGGAAGGAGGCGATAGTCTACCAGATTTATCCGGCAAGCTTCCTCGACTCTAACGGTGACGGGTTGGGTGACATCCCCGGTATCGTGTCCAAACTCGACTACATCCAGTCTCTGGGAGTCAACGCCTTATGGTTGTCGCCCATCTTCAAAAGTCCACAGCATGATATGGGTTACGACATCTCAGACTATCGCACCATTCATGCGCCGTATGGATCCGTGAAAGATGTTGAAGAGATGATCCAAGGATGTCACAAGAGAGATATCAAAGTACTGCTTGATCTCGTCGTCAACCACACCAGCCATGAGCACGAATGGTTTCAAGAATCGCGGTCGTCCAAAGCTTCCCCCAAGAGGGACTGGTACATTTGGCGAGATGCTAAGTACCACAATGACGGAACCCGGAAACCTCCCAATAACTGGGCCTCCATCTTTGGGGGTAGTGCTTGGACGTGGGACGAGGTGTCAAACCAATACTACCTCTCCTTGTTCCTCCCTGAACAGCCAGACCTGAACTGGACAAACAAAGAGATGCGCGAGGCGACGTATGCAGACATGGAATTCTGGCTTGATCGCGGGGTGGATGGCTTCCGCATCGACTCGATGAATCTCATGTCAAAACACCCTGAACTACCTGATGCCCCTGTTGTCGACCCGGATTCGGAATTCCAATCTGGCTCTCTGTACTACGCAAGTGGGCCAAAGATGCATGACTACATCCGAGAGATGCGACTAAAGGTATTCGACAAGTACGACTGCATGACTGTCGGCGAGCTGGGATTTACCAAGGATGAGGATAGCGTGGCCCAGTATGTAGCTCGCGACCGGCACGAGCTCAATATGGTGTTTACTGGCGATATCGTTGACCTAGATTTTGGGAGTCAACACAAGTACGGGCCTGGACATTTTCAGCTGTCCAAGTTGAGAGACATAACCAACATGTGGCAGCATGCAATGCCAAAGTGCGATGGTTGGAACGCCGTGTACATGGACAACCATGACTCTGGCCGGTCACTGTCTCGCTATGCCTCGGATCTTCCACAACATCGCAAAGCCGCAGCAAAGATGTTAGCTACGTATCTTTCAACCTTGAGTGGTACACTATTTCTCCTCCAAGGGCAGGAAATCGGCATGGCAAACATCCCAGAGAGCTGGGACATCGAGGAATACATCGACGTTGAGGCTAAGAACTACTACAATGCCATGATAAAGCAGCGTGGTGGAGGCTCTGACATGTCTGACGTGTTGAAGGAAATGAGGAAAAAGGCTCGCGATAATGGGCGCTTACCTATGCAATGGGACAGCAGCAAGCATGGCGGATTTACAAATCATGAGAAGCCGTGGATGAGAGTCAATGATGACTATGTTGAGTGGAACGCCAAGAGCCAAGAGAAAGACGATCAAAGTGTTCTTTCATACTGGAAGCACATCTTGCAGCTGCGAAGGGATGAGAAGGATGTTTTCGTTTATGGTCGGTATGAAATGATAGATGTTGGTGTGAGCGGTGAGGACGTCTTTGCGTATACAATGACGAAGTGGGATGGAGCCAAGAGTGCTGTCATTTTGTTGAATTTCTCGGCGGAATGTCAAACTTTCTATTGCGAGGGGAAATACGAGGGCTGGAGGCAGCTTCTTGCTGGGCAGGGAGGCACGAAAATGGGAGCAAGTGGCGTGAAACTGGGCCCTTATGAAGGAGTGATATATTGTAACTGGTAATGCATTCTTGTCATAGTCACATGCTCTTCTGTCGTTACTTCAACACCAGGGGAAAGCCTCTCGAACAACCGTAGTTTTTCTATCTACTGAACTTAGCTGATGAAGCTCCCAAAGAAAGTTATTCAAGATAAGTCGAAAAGCGACTCTATAACGCGTGAATTTTTTGGTAAATTCTAAAGAACTAGCTTATAAAGAAATTAATTTTCTTATACTAGATATTTATAGACTTATTACATATCATTTTACCAAGATAAATGACTTAGCTTGCAATAGGTACATTGAGCGAAATCTAGGGTAGCAATCTTTGTAAGCTACCTACTTATCCAGGGCAATCTCTTTAGCGGGGCCGACGTTCCGGCCATTTTGCAAGGTTTGGCGGGGAAACTTGAACTTGCATCAGTGCACTGAACATAATCGAGCAGAGAGACAACGTCGGAGGACATTTTTCGGATGGCGTGAGGCAGTCGCCCACTTGATAGCAATGGCTACTCGATTGAAGGTATCCAAGGCCTGTATCAACTGCCGTCGGAGGAAAGCAAAATGTGACGGCCAGCATCCTAGTAAGTCCGCCCTTCAAGATTCTAGGTGGCATTACGCGACTGAACAGATCCGCTATATAAGCCTGTGGACCTTGTCTCGAGAGAAGGGAGACCGGGTGCATATATACTGGGCAGAGAGACCGGCGGAGCGGTAGACACGGATTGTCACGGTCGTTGGCCTTGCAAAGCAGGGTAACGAAGCCAGCATCCCCGATCAGGTCGTCAGATCCAGCTGCCGAGACCTTCCTTTCTGAGTCAGTATTGTTGAGCTGCCGCGCAACTGAGTCTGTGGTATCATCGCAAGAGAATCCTTTGTCAACGAACGCTGATGGTCCGTTGGACACGGAAGCACTCACTTCCGAAAGTAATTCTAAGAGTGCTGATGCTGGGGTACCTCTGGACGGCGACTCCATAATTGACACACCTTTTTTCGGTGGAAGCAGCGCGAGTTCTTTCCTAAAGCAAATCAACCTAGCGATCGATGCTCGACTGGGACAACCGGTACTGGCGAAGAGCAGCCAGGAGTATAACTTGGCTCCGAGATCAAGTCTTGCGCATGTCGGCAATGCCTCGGAGCTTAACCCAGAGGACCCTCAAAGCTACATACTTCCTAGCAGAAGATTTGCCAATAGCCTCATGCAAGCTTACTATGACCTCGTTTGGGCAACATTTCCGATTCATGATTGGGCCGTATTTCAAGACGCTTATGAGTCCGTATGGCAGGGAACAGCACCGGCAATCCCCGAACCAACACTATATTGCTTGATGAACCTGATATTCGCCTTGGGAAGTCAGTTCTCCGAGGCCGTAGAACCGGACAAGAGAAGGCAGGTCGGTGAGATATTTTGGAACCGGGGTTTCAAGCTCTTTGGATCCCCTTCTGATGGTCGTGCATCCATCGAGCGGGTTCAATGCATGCTTTTGATGGGCCTATATCTGCAGAGTACGTGCGAGATTCATGAATCCTGGATGACCATCGGCTCTGCTATTAGGATGGCCCAAAGCCTTGGTCTCCACCTACCGACAGCCCAGAATTCAAATGGTCGAGAGACAGAAATGGCTCGCAAAGTCTGGCACGGTTGCGTGTATCAAGATCAGTACGTATGAGAGGCCGAAGTTCAGCAGAGTTGAGCGAAACTGGGACATGGAAGAAACTGATTTATGTACAGAATCCTGTCCATGACTTTTGGGCGGCCGAGCACGGTCAATAGTGGTCCCTTTGATCCTGTTCCACTACCAAAAATGATCGACGATGAGTTTTTGGACACTCAGACCCAGCCCTCCGCCACTCGACCAGATGGGCGTAAAAGTATCATGGCGTTCTTTGTCAAAAGCCTTGAGCTGTTCAACATTGCCAACGATATTCAAAATGAGGCCTACAGGCAACAGAAGGGTGTCCGGGATGGAGGAATTAATCGCCTCATTTCTGTATTTCGATTAGACAATCGCCTCGTTCAATGGGCCCAGACATTGCCTGTTCACTTGCATTACAGCGAAAGCATTCAGGAGGGCGAAGGTCTGGCCTTTCGGAGACAACGTGTCGTTCTTCGCGCTCGGTAACTCCTCCAGTCTGACTCGCTGCTTGTTCTCAGGTATTTAATACTGACTTTTGGAAATACAAAGCTATCTTTATGCACGAATCAGCCTTCTTCGGCCTATTCTTGCAGAAATGTATCTTGAGGAGGCTAGTTCTAGCAATTTGGAGCTTCCGAAGGAGAAAACGCTACGTCAGCCTTTGATGGTAGAGTGTACAGTGCTTTGTTTTCAATTGGCAAACGAGATGATCGACGTTCTATACTCCAACTTTAATCATGAGACCGTCACCGGCCCTGTTCCAGCGTGGTGGTTTGGAGTTCTATGTAAGAGCCAAGTGCATACCCTCCTGTCTCCTCTCTCTTTTACAGTTAAGTAGAGCTAATCGGTGAAAATAAGTTATCTACACTGCCGCCACAGTCCTCCTTGCGAAGCGCCTGCGGCCATTTGGAAAACATAATATTCCTTGCCGTTCAGGCAGGCAAGATGACGCCTGGGATAGGGCTATGCAGATGTTGCAAGCCTACTCACGAGTGAGCCAATCCGCTCAGCGCTGCATCGCCGCGCTCGAGATCCTGCTGGCCAAGGTCCGGAACGCTGGCCTCAACAGGTCATCCGAAGGGACAACTATGGAAAGAAGGCTTCCACTTGACGAGGAGGTGCATAGAATATCTGTGCCCGATGAATCGGCGCCGTTGGGAAGAGTAGACGATGTGGATGCCTCGGTGGACTTTGGAGGTTTCGATTTTAACATTGATGATATGTTTTGGCTAAATGCCCCGTTAACAGACTTTTTACTCTAATTATCCAGTCGATCTTTAACCCTCCCCCAAGCACCCCCATCCCCGCCGTATCCTGGCTATCACCCATATCGTCCACTTCAACCACACAATAAGCAGTCGCCTTCAAGGGGGTTGTGGTATAATCGGTATGATCTGATGCGAATCTCTGACTACTAGGTATCACCTACGGCGGGAAACTAAGGAAATGACTGCCCAAGTCATAATATGGCATTCTCGTCGCTGTCGATTTAACACTTCTAGCTATGTTGTAGCATATGATAAAGGGTCAGGCCTATCATCAATGATCTTGAAGACGGCCATCTCCATTGAACGAATTTATAAGACCCGCCTGTCGTCCTAAGTCTGATAGAATCTAGCTAAGCAATAAGGTAACTTCCAGAAGAAGTCTGGTTAGTCAATAGTCTCGAATCAGCCGGGGAAGGTCTGGGTGAAATCGACATCGTAGCCAAATAACTGCGTGGTGAGACCATCTCTCTAACAGTCTATGCACAGAACGACAACACATTTGAGAAAGATCATCACCAATTTGTTGAACTGCGTTGGGGCTCAGATGGACTTTTAACCAGAAACATAACTCCCCTTCAGAATCCCACCAATGCAATAAGTATCAACGTCTTCATAATTTATAGATAGTTGAGTTACTAGGAATGTGTAACTTGATTGATAGCTAAGTACTAGGGATGTGTAGCCCAGATGGTACATGTCCAAGCTAACAATTGCTAGCCCACTCCTCAACACCTCTTTGTCCCTCAAACTTACTCCTCATCCGAACAATTCAGTTGGACCTTCTGGAATTAGAGAAAAAGAGGCTTGATGGGTTGGGTTTGACGAAACCAATATTCGAATGTGGCATTGACTACCTTGTCTCGCAAGAGATAGTTGCCCGCCTCTCGCGCTAAATCACCATCCACCTCCTTGAGCGGCCCAAACACACGGGCTCTCACTTGAATTCGAGCAGCCCGTTCGAGCATGACACAGAGATATGACGCTTCTTGGACTGATTTGCCAGCTGTCAAGAGCCCATGGTGAGCCAGTAAGATAGACCTGTTTTCCCCAAGAGCTTTGGTAATAACAACACCTTCCTGGTCAGCAATGGGCAGACCAGGCCAGTCACCTAGCCAGGCACAGTCGTCATAAAATGGAGTCATATCCATCTGTGCCACAACCAGCGGCTGCCGAGCCGCGACCAGAGATTGAACCCACTCTGAGTGAACGTGAACAATACTGTTCACATCAGGCCTGCCAGCATATACCCAGAGATGGAAGCGGGTAGCCGGATTGGGCATCCCAGACCCCGAGACAGTATTCAAATCGCCATCGACCTCGATGAAGTCGTCAGGTGTGGCTTCATCCCAGCCGAGGCCGAAACGCAGTGTCCAATAATACCCATCGCCGCGGGAAGAACGAGCAGAGATCTGGCCTGCAAGGCCTGCATCTTCCTGCTTACGAGCAATTAATCTGCAGGCGCAGGCCAGTGTCTCAGTGATGGAACGTTCAGGGATCACCAAGTGTTTCTGCATTTCCTGGGCCGAACGTTCCTCGAAGTAATCTTTGGATCGCAAAGGCTCTTCATTCAGTTTAGGAGCCGGGGCGGCGGTAGTAGATACTGTAGAAGACATGATGAATGAGATGTCAGAACGAGGTGGCCTTCCAACTAATCTGTGATACTGTTGATTTGGTGTTATCAGCAAGACATGAGAAACTGAATGATTCAAAAGCGGACTTGATATCATTCATTTAGCTGTCTCAGGGACTCAAGCTCGGCAATTGTGAAAACCCATGTGTTGCCTCTTTGCCTTGGGCTATCATTCCGTCCTCTCTCTTCTCCTGCTCTTCCTTGCGGGCCGGAACTCAACATGGTTGGTTGATAACAAAGAGGCGGCAGCGGGATTCTCTCTTATTGGGCAGCTGCTGCTGAAGTTGCGGGCCAACGGATGCTTCTGTGATTGGTGCTATGACCTCCAGGAGGTGGGGCCGGTTCTTTGATCGCCAGACCCACTCCGAGATCCTGGACCCGTTGAAAAAGCGACTTCTCTCAACAGAGGAGCCATTTACTTGTGTGCAAGTCCGTAGATGGACGACAGTAGTCAGCACTTTCTCTATGGGACTATGACTGAAGATTACTTGGACCTAGACATCCTCTATCTTAAGACGTGATCCAAGTACTAAAGCACCTCCTTATCTTATTGAGAGAGACCCACGTAGAGAAAGTCTTATTGACTACCAAAATATGACCTTTAGGGTAGGTAGCCTCTCTAAAGTGCCTTTAATCGCTATTCCACCAGCCTCATATGATTCTACAGATCCTTGCCGGCAGATTATTTTGATGTTACACGTACTCAGTACCAAATTACAAAAGCCCCTAGACCTCCAGAATCCAATCCCACTTGGGCACCTGCCTTACTCCTCTCGGCGTTCCGTATCTGCGACATTTTGAGTCGATATTGATAGGCGCGCTCATAATTTTTCCCGAACTTGCTGATCCTCTGTAGTCGATTCCGCATCCAATCATGATATCGACAGTTGTCCGTGACTATCGCTGTGACGAATAGTGGCCACGCAATGCGAAGCAAAGATCCATCCCCCCATGCCTATAGTCCTGCACAGCGAGACTCATGATCATTTCGATGATATCTTGTACATGGCTCTGAGGTTTCCTTCTTGGTTTTACCCGATGAAACTCAAGTACAACGGCGTAATAGTGGGAACAATGCCGCGAACATTGGTCACCAGCCGGTGGGAATTATTCGTATCAAGAGAAAGCCCTCCTGCTACTTGAAACAAGTTGTTATAGTAATACCCTATTTTCTTTATGGAGTCATCGATGACCTCCTACCTCGTCCAACGGACTGGAACTGGCAACCATGCATCGTAACTGGCTAGAAGCACAGAGTAGGCCGTAGATGTGATGGTTTTTATGTCGTCGAGTAATTCAGCCTGCGAATACTGATCTGCCCACATAATGCGATAAAGGGGACTAGAAAAGAGATTGATGCGCTCGAAGCTCTCCCACGGTGCCAAGTCCTAACTGTAAATGGCCTCATGCAGAGCTCGATTAAGTTCCCTCCAAGGCGAAATGTGGATGCAGCAGCATCTTGAATGGCAATCCAGATGAGCAGTCGAGCCGTGAAAAGAGAGCGCTGACTAGGCGTGCGACTCCTCCTCGCCAGGGCAGCAGGGCGAGCCGCCCGGCCAACAGCACCCACAATAGAGACAGCTATCTCCTTGCAATAGTGTGTAATGACCTAGGCCGCGCCATTGAGGTGGTTTGTGAGACCGAGTCCTACAGCATCGCCGAATTTTGCTCATACATGAGCATCAAGAACAGGGCGGAACACAAAGCCTCCAGGTCGCCCAGTCCTCTTTGTTGCACTTCCATTGACTCTGATACAAGGCGAAGCGCTGCACAATAGTGTTGTAAAGGGCTTTCCGGTCCTCTATCATCATCCCGACCAGTGATAGTATTCCGACGAAACTCAGTTTCACGACCTCCGAGAGCGAGTACCAGGTGCATGACCATTACATTGTCCTTCGCGATGTCAAATATTATCGCGTAAACCGAGAACTCGGGGTTTTTAGTGTGGTAAATCGTAGCAACCGTCTTTCGGAAGTACCTTATAGCTTCATGATCAGTCGAGCCCAGCTCTAAGGAACAGACTGCATTTCGCATCTCTCCCGGCTGAGCCAGTGGATCGCCGCGGTACATTAACGCAGTGATTTGCTCCAAGGGGACTTGGCACGGATGTAGAAAAGAACTCTCAACCTCTGCTTTCACACTGTCAGGTTTCAGCCATGGATATACAGAGGGCACTGGTTCCGGTCTTGCCTCGCCTCCGTAGTACCCTTGGGCCCAATCGTTCTCCCGGTGGGCGCAAAATCGCAGAGCAATCCGAGTCGCTGGCACTCAGGTTGCGTTTCATCACACTTCACCTTGTTGATCCGACAAGTTCGGCACCCATTCTTAGATCGTGCTGCATGACGTCCATTACTGGAACCCTCGTCTCTATTGCTTTGCATCGTTTGACTGGCACGAACCAATTATGAGGCGGGTTAGGTAGTTTAGTATGCTTTGACATAGTCTGTCACCATTCACTATTGTGACTCTGAGGCGAAGGGAAAGGCGGTCTAACGGGGCAGATTCCAATAGCCTATAGCTAATCTGAGTACATTCCGTTGCAATACTTCCGGTCAGTTCTCGATCTTTACATGTAGATACCAACTAACCATCCTTTTCTAGTACATTATATGCTATAAGTATGGGCTCAATAGTTTCACATGAACGTGACTTCAGTATGTTATATGCCGGTGGTTCCTGGAAGGGAAATACCTAGAGCTGGGAAAATACTAGCACTATTGGAGTAATATCATTCAACGTCCTATTTCCCCTGGTCCTTGAGATCACTTCGCTCCTTGATCATCTTTCCTACGGCTGATGATCCCTCCGTATCCAGTCCTGCAAATCCCTGTATAACACCTTGTCGGTCATTGAACTTTTTGTCCTGGCTCATCTTAAACTTGCCCTCGAGCCTGTCAATAACGATCTCAATGCCAATGATGCTTTTCTTCAAGAGGTTGATGTATGGCTCAGGGGCATCTGATGGCTTCCAATCTGTTGGACCCTCCCCTCCTGTGTATCCCATGATTCTCGTTTCACTTTGGTAACTTAAATCCGCAAGCTGTTTACCAAGGAACTCGGTTGTTTCTTCGGATTTGGCATCGTAGTATATTTTCGCTCGTCCATAGGCTTGCGCGGCTGCGTAGTTCCATGTCGGTACCACCTTTCCCGTCGAGGGCTTGGTTTCCGTATAGAACTTTGGCGTAACATAGTGGTCTGGAGATGTGAAGACCACAAGAACTTCTTGGTCCAAAACATTGTCTGGTGTTGGGTTGGAGGTCAAGGCTTCGATCATTGCCTGGCTCTGGCGGTTCTGTCGCGTAAGATGACCCCTTAAACAGCCCTTCTCAGTCTCACTTGTTTCGTCCTCAACGTCGAGCACAAACGGTACGTGACTCATCTGAAGGAACGGATACTTTGCTGAGGGGATACCGGTAATGATGGAGCCAAGAGGGTAGTCGCGAATTATCTGGCGAAGCACCCGAAGGTTGGTCTCTTGATGAGCTGCGGAGAAATACATGGTGGCTTGACGTGAGCAATAGATTAGACTACGGATATCATGCCTCGTTCGGTCTTTACGAGCTACTTATAAACGTGAATCACGAGAGTCAAAGAATGACGGAATCTGGAGACCGGGATCTCCGACGTCCGGGCCGGAAGCGAGTAGGATTCTGTCCCTAAGCTGACGAATCAGTTATAGGACTGTGAACATTGGCTGATGGGTTGTGGGACCCATTTCGTGAGATGTAATTGAAATGAGCTCACCGGCGAATACGGACGCCAGATTGCCGACGGTTGGATGAAGAAACAAGCTTCGCCTTCATTGCCCATATTTGAGCTAGCTCGCACTACCCTTACCCGTCGTCATGCCGATTCTTTCCTGATACTACAGGGTTTGGGCGAGGCCCCGAGGAGATGACTAACCATTGCTCCCCAGCCTTTATCACAATTCCTCGCTAGATTTTACTCTTTCACAGGCAGCGGACCATTCAATAATCTAAGTGCAAATTCAACAAACGAAGCAAAATTCCATGATTTGAGGGAAGCTCTGCCGTTTGAGAAAATATAACTAGGCTGTTAATAACCAGTCCCTTCACGACCGTAGTTTGGGTGACTTCTACCCTTGCTTTCCATGACCGCGAGCCCTTCACCTCGCTTTGATTCGATCAGTTCCATGCCCATAAGTTTCTGATAGAATGGAACAGATCTTTTCCAATCCGCCGTAAACAACATGCTGCGCCTCAAGTCCGGCATTTCCACAAGAACCTCCTGCACACACTGCACTATCCAGGTTCCCAACCCCTTTCCCTGTTGTGTTGGTTCAACCCATACATCCGTAAGATACACGAACGTGACAAAGTCGGTAACGCAGCGAGCTATGCCGAGGAACTCCCACCCTGGTGTTGACTCGGTTGGCTCGGCGGGGGATGTAGGCTGAGGTCGCTTGTAAAGGCCAAAGGAAAGCGAGTTGTCAAGTGTCTCCTGCATGACCCGCGGTGACAGTGATTTCGCCCAGTAAAAGTCACTGGACTCGAACACCTGTATAAGCTGCTTTATAGGGAACAGCTTTGGATCTGTAGATATGAGAAACTGGCCTTTCTCCCACGATCGTGCTTGAAGATTTGACTTGACAGAAGCCATGCTGACTTTTTGGGCTCAAAGAAGCTCAATGGCTGTGTGCGGATTTGTAAAGCGGTAGAGGTAAAATGAAAGTGAGTGCTTGTGCACTGTAGAAACCCCAGGACTTAATCAGTGGACGGAGGGATTAGATTGGGGGGGACATGAGTCATCCACGTTTTTGGCTATATAATGAGAGCAAGTATGCCTTTTGAAATCTAGCCCATCAAGCAAAGTCGCTAGCTCCAAGGCTACCCTCAGACGGCATGCAAACGCGAGGTTGTAGAGCTAAGGCATATGCTTACACCAAAGCCGCAGGTGGGGCCGGATGGCCTCCGGTCGAAAATCCACCATGGCACGCCGAGGGTAAAAAAAAGAAAAGAAAAGAAAAGATCGTGATCCGTACCGGATTAAGATCTAATTGGCTACAGCTTTGATCAGCCGTTTGTGTCATATACCCAAGCATCCGGAACAGTTTATAGCCGTCGTTCCATTTACGCTTTCCCCAGTTTCTGTGGCACAGCATCATGGAAGATATTGGCGCCGTTAACGAGGAAACAGGCCGGGAGCAATACTCCTTGTCGAAAAGGGGGGCACATAACTGTGCCCACCGGGACATCTGGGGGCCCCGAGAAAAGTCGATGGCGAATCTGTGGTCACCAGAAAATCCGGATGGGTTGTAAGTCAGGAGTATGGGAACGGCCAGAGCATACTGCTGATATTTCACCAGAGTCAGCCTGTTACTTGCGGAGAACAACATCCTGCATGATGAGATATCCGAATTTTTCAAGCAAAAGGTACGATTCCAAGAAGTTTTGTAGAAGTATAGTCCTAATCACCAGCCGCGGTCTAGATCAAAATCATTCCAGAACATCATCTCACCTACGGGCTTGGCCCTCGGGGATCCCGCCGTCTTCGCCGTGCTGCTGCTGCATTCGTCAATGACGAGCTTGGTGCTGTCGAGAAGGTTGAGAGTGACGACATCATCGTGACACCAGGCTTGAATAGTGCCATAGAATCACTGGTATGGGCTATCTGCGACCCTGGTGAGGGTGTCCTCATTCCGAAACCACTCTATAACGGATTTGCGATCGATATTCTCAACAGAAATGAGACACATCTCGTGGGAGTCAGCTATGAGAGCGTTGACGGCTATCGTGAATTGGATGACCTATTCAAGCCTGACATTAATCGGCTGGCTCTTGAGAAGGGTTTGAGTGAAGCAGAAAAGCGTGGAATCAAGATTCGCGCTCTTTTGATATCGCAGTAAGTTTGCTCTATCAGTATTTGGGATTATACACTAAGGTACGACATTTAGCCCGCACAACCCTCTTGGACGTTGCTACGTTAGTTTACCGATTCTTTCCTACCTTTGAGCAGTGTCTAACTATTAGCTCTAGCCGACGGATACGCTACAAGAATTCATGGTCTTCTGCAGCCAAAATCATCTTCATTTCATTTCTGATGAAATATACGCTAAATCTGTGTTCCATAATCCAGATTTGCCAAACCAGGTGCCTTTCGTATCGACTGCTTCTCTGTCGCCTAACCCGCTCGGGTCAAACTTCCACCACATACTCTACGGTGCAAGTAAGGACTTGTGTGCAAACGGATTGCGGTTGGGGTTTCTGTGTACAGGAAACAAAGGCATTTTAGCCGCAATGTCGAGCAACAAGTGAGTGTCCCCCCTGGTACTGTTTACTGAAGAGCCTCGTGGCTAACATAAACTCGCCGCAGTTTCTTCTCCTGGTCGCCACATGTTCTTCAGGATGTCTGGGCCGCTATGCTGGAAGATAAACAATGGTTCGACACCATGATCCAGAAAAAGAACAAATTGATGGCCGAGCAATATGCGATTATTAGCTCGTTCTTTCATGCGCGCAATATCTACTCTTTTCCAATGTTAGTTTAGGAGCTTATCGGCCTTTGTCATACGTTAATCATTAATCATTCTTTAATAGGAACGCTGGCTTATTTGTTTGGGTGGACTTTCGACGATTGCTATTGTCCAAAGCGCTACGGGGCAAATCGGATTATGGAGCTCTGAGGGCAAAAAGTGGCAGCGCTATCTACAAGCAACGTGAAACAGAGATTGCGGATATTTGCACTCGAAACGGTGTGCAGATAGCGCCTGGCAGCAAGTTCGAGTCAGAGGAGTATGGTTGGTTCCGTATCACGTTTACGGTACCAAGAAATGTGCTCGAAGAAGGTTTACGCCGTCTTGCGACGTCATTGAAGGAAATTGAGGCGAGAGACTGGGAGTAAGATGAGAATATAAGATCCTCAATCAAGCTGGATCGGACTTGAATAGGAATGCAGATTTATTGCTACCAGTAAATTCTTTAATGTACGGGACAGATTTCAAGTGTAAAGTTAAAAACAACAATAGAAGACGCAGACCAGCATCTCAACAAAATGAATAAGAAGACTCGTGGGCATACAGACGATAGGTTGAACTTGGTGTTCTTGATTCCATTATCATAGCTTAACGCCTTAAGATGGGCTCTTTTATGTACACATTATGGGAAATATTAACATATGATGTGCCGTTGACATGGGTGTCGGTTTTTTTTCTTTATGTCAAGTCTTGAGCTGTTCAGCTTAAGGGGGTAGGGTTGCCGGATAAACACTTACCCATCGGATTGACTCCCTACCAATATAAGATCCTCCACGGATTACAGGTAGTAAAAGCAATACTCTCACTTCATCACCTTTACTGTCGCTGTATTCGTTGGAATTTTCAAACAACCCCTAAACATGACAGACAAGAGTGATATCCCTACTCTCAAATGGGGCATTGTCGGTATGCTACTCAAGGCAATGAATGTGTGGGAATCGGCTAACCCCTCTACCTGTATTTAGGGTGTGGCACAATCTCGTCGCGGTTCGTTTCTGATCTATGCCTCGAGAGGCCTGATGCCACTACGAACCACATAATTGAAGCTGTTGGGTCCTCTGCCATGGATAAGGCGTCTGCGTTCGTGGCCAAGCATTGTCCAGCCCAAAAGCCTGTTTTGTATGATTCATATGAAGCGCTGTACAGCGACCCCAGCGTTGATATTGTTTACATCGGGACGCCTCATGTGTTGCACTGTAAGAATGCTCTAGATGCTATTGCTGCCGGAAAGCATGTGCTCTGCGAGAAACCATTTGCCCTGAATGCCTCGGAAGCTAGGATGATGATTGATGCTGCTCGAGCAAAGGGAGTCTTCTTGATGGAAGGTGAGCCAATCTCATCTTTTCCAATTAGTACAATGCTGACATGTCTAATAGCTGTCTGGACCCGGTTCTTCCCTGTTGCGAAGAAGTTTCAGTCACTCCTCCACGACGAAAAAGCAATCGGTGACATTGCGTCTGTTTTTGTTGATTTTGGGCTCTATATGCCCATATCTACGGCCGACCCTGCGCGCCGCACCGCCAGCAGAGCCCTTGGTGCTGGCGCCCTTTTGGACCTAGGTATTTACACCTTGACTTGGGCATCTCTAACTCTTGATAAGGCAGTATCCTCCAAGAGTCCTAAAGTCATGGCGAGCATGGCCTTTGCCAGCGAGACAGACCCAGAAAAGAAGGTAGATGAGTTTACGTCTGTGGTACTACAGTACCCGGATCTCAAAGCCCATGCCATGTGCACTTCATCACTTCTATACAAGAGCGCAGAAGAGTTTGCCCACGTGTACGGGTCGAAGGGATCCATCTCCGTCGGTGGCCACATGGCATCGAGGCCGCAGTACTTGGTGGTCCGACTTAATGGCGAAGAAGAGCGGCGTCTAGATTTTGAGGTTTCCGGTTTTGGGTTTTACTATGAAGCCGACGCTGTTGGCGCCGATATCCGGGCCGGGAGACTAGAAAATAGTACTTGCTCCCTGGATTCTACTCTTGCGATCATGTCTAGGATGGACAATGCGAGGGCGCAGTGTGGTTTAGTATACCCACAAGAGGAATAGGTATTTAGTGCGATTAACATGGCTTATCGAGGATATTCAAGAAGCAGCCACTGTCCATGTGAAGTGGCTATCATAATAACCTTTTCAATCAGACTTTGGTCTGATGAACACGAATCAGAGATGGGGAGGGGACACGCGTTTTAGCATTATGCCGTCATTGAAATCCAATCAATTGTCTCAAATCACTACCTAGCTTTCTTAAACGACCTCCTATCGAATACAAATCTAAGATCTTACAGCTTGTGAGACGTATCCGGAGTGAGCTTGCCCATGGTAATGTCGAAGCGGTCAGCGTTCATAACCTTGACCCAAGCAGCGATGAAGTCACGAACAAAACGATCGTCGCCATCGGCCTCAGCATACGACTCGGCAACAGCACGAAGCTCAGCATGGGAACCGAAGACAAGATCGACGCGCGTGCCTGTCCATTTCTTGCTGCCCGTCTTTCGGTCGTAGCCCTCAAAGACGTCGCTGTTGCCAACAGGCCTCCATTGCGTACTCATATCGAGTAGGTTGATGAAGAAGTCATTCGTGAGCTGACCAGGGCGGTTCGTCAGGTACCCGTGCTTAGAGCCGTCCCAATTGGTACCGATGGCACGAAAGCCACCAACAAGGGCGGTCATCTCAACGCAGGATAGGCCGAGGAGCTGGGCGCGGTCAATGAGAAAATGCTCCAACTGGACGCGGTCAGTTGATTGGCCGTAGTTGCGGAAACCATCAGTATCAGGCCGTAGGTAGTTGATAGATTCGATATCAGTCTGCTCCTGGGTCGCATCACCACGACCGGGAGTGAAAGGCACCGAAATGTTGTAGCCAGCCTCCTTAGCAGCCTTCTCGATACCTGCTGAGCCACCAAGGACAATGATGTCGGCAAGTGAGATGCTCTTGCTATCAGACTGCAGGCTATTGAACCTCTTAGCAACGCTCTCAAGAGTAGCGAGAACGACCTTGAGTTGAGTGGGATTATTAACCTCCCAACTGATCTGAGGCTCAAGGCGGATGCGAGCACCATTGGCACCACCGCGTAAATCACTACCCCGGAACGTTGAAGCTGAAGCCCAGGCGGTGGACACGAGCTGGGAAGCGCTTAAGCCAGAGTTGATGATCTCTGCTTTCAAGATATCAATGTCGCTATCATCAACCAGCTTATACGTAACTGAAGGGATAGGATCCTGCCAAATATACTGCTCCTTAGGCACTTCAGGACCGAGGTAGCGCTCGATCGGGCCCATATCCCGGTGGGTGAGCTTGAACCAGGCCCGCGCAAAAGCATCGTGAAACTCCTGGGGATTTTCAAGGAAATGGCGTGAGATTTTATTATAACCCGGGTCATAACGTAGCGAAAGATCGACAGTCAGCATTCTAGGCCGATGCTTCTTGTTAACATCATAGGCATCAGGGATAGTCGCCTCGGCGTTCTTCGCCACCCATTGGTAGGCGCCAGCTGGTGACTTCTCAAGCTCCCAGTCAAAGCGGAAGATATAGTCCAGGTAGTCGTGGCTCCACTGGACAGGCGTCTTCGTCCAAGTGACCTCGAGGCCGGAGGTATTAGTATCGGGTCCCTTACCAGACTTATAACTGTTGTTCCAGCCTAAGCCCTGCTCATGAAGTCCAGCAGCATCGGGCTCGGGACCGATAAAGTCTGACGATGCCGCGCCATGGCACTTGCCGAAGGTATGACCCCCTGCAATAAGGGCGACTGTCTCTTCATCATTCATCGCCATACGGCTAAAGGTCTCTCGGATGTCGCGAGCAGCGGCGACAGGATCAGGGTTGCCGTCAGGACCTTGTGGGTTTACATAGATAAGACCATGGCTAGAAGTTGTTTAGTCCCAAACATGCCTACCATAGACACGGGCAACTCACTGGACAGCGCCTAGAGGCTTCTCAAGAACTCGGGTATGGATGTTCTTGTGCGGAGCGTCGGCACTCTCACGCACATCAGCATCGATATTCCCGCTCTTCTTGAAGGCATCTGGCTTCCCATCAGAGTAACGGATATCATTGCCCAGCCAGGTGTTCTCTCCTCCCCAGTACGTAGACTCATCGGCCTCCCAAGTGTCGGGACGGCCGGCAGCAAAACCCACAGGCTTGAAGCCCATAGATTCTAGGGCAACATGCCCACAGAGCTGTATTAGATCGGCCCAAGAGATCTTGCTTCCATGCTTCTGCTTAACGGGCCACAGCAGACGGCGAGCCTTGTCAAGAGAGGCATTGTCAGGCCAACTGTTTAGGGGCGCAAACCGCTGCTGGCCCTATGTAAACAATAATTAGTGATATATCCTAGAAACCTTTCTGGTCGAGCTCACCTGTCGACCACCACCTCGGCCATCAAAGACGCGATAGGTTCCAGCAACGTGCCATGCCATCCGGACAAACAGGCCGCCGTAGTGGCCAAAGTCAGCAGGCCACCAGTCCTGGCTATCGGTCATAACGTCATGCAGGTCCTTCTTGACAGCTTCGTAATCGAGTGTCTTGAAGGCTGCAGCATAGTCAAACCCAGCACCGAGTGGGTTTGTGACATGTGTATGCTGACGGAGGATGTGTAGCTTCAGCTGGTTCGGCCACCAGTCTCTGGCCTGAATGCCGCCGCCGGCGACATTATCGACCTTAGGAAAGGGGCATTTCGATTCCGAGGCCATAGCTGTCTATTCTCAGGGAAGAAGGATTTACACAATGAACGGATAGATGAGAGAGACAAATAAAGATATATGCAAAGGCACAACTGTAGAAGCAGAGGTGTGCTTTGATTTATAATCCGAGCATGACAATTGGCAGCTCGTTGACTTGGCTAAAACCTCCTACCCACCTTGAGGTAGATGCCAAAGTTGTACTAGGAATGTTCCCCGCATCGTCGCCTCGCGATTTCATACCTGATTCATCGATTGGTTGAGAGGCCCCTCCATCACATCACGAAGTCACACTGTCCACACGAAAGTGCGGGGAACCCCAGAAACATGGGATGTGATATTGGTAAGCCCCTAGGGGGCCACACTCTACAGGATGAAAAAAGATACCTAAATTAGGTTACCAAGCCGAGAAAGAAAGTATTTGGAATCACAGGCCCTTGTTCAGTTGCAACAATGATTCCAAATACTCGGCATGTATATCGGTAGGCCCGGGAGTTATGTCATTCAAAACAAAGCGTCACTGGCCATCATGGAGGCCGCTGCCGAGTCTCACATCCGAGTGTTGGGTCACCGTTGATCTCGGGCTACTCGTAGTCACCGAACAAGTTTACCGTCGAAAATTACACTCAGAGGTGTGAGTCGACAACGTTCTCGCCCACTGGTCAGCACCTTTACTTCATACACAGTGAAATCGGACCAACTGTCCCCTCTCGTAGTAGTACGTTTTGGCAATTGCCGACCGTCGGCTAACTCAAGGTGGCACCCTCTGATAGGCAAGGTTGGGATGGGGTCTGTTGGCCTCCAGACCTAGCCTGGGACGAGATGAGATGAAATGGGCGACTCCCGGCTTATAAGAGCTAAAGCCATGTATTTCGGCCTGCTATTACTACGCAAGTCTTACTCGACACGTTTATCATCAATTCTATCCATTATTTTGAGGTGGGCACTGGCATGTTTCATGGTTGCTGAACTTTATACTCACTTTCTCTTCAACATTACGTACGTACGTATTATTCAATTAATTCCCAGCAACTAGAACCGAAAATGCCTCGGCATCAAATCAAAACAACCCACGGCCTAGTCCATGTAGTTGTGGTGGGAGACGCAGCCACACCGCGACCGGCCCTTCTTGTTGTTCATGGAAACAGTTCCAGTAACAAGATATTCCAGCATATTACAGAGTCTACGACTATCACCAAAGATCATTATGTCATCGCATGTGATCTTCCAGGCCACGGGCTCTCAGGGAATGCCGATGACCCCAATCGAACGTATTCCATGGGTGGCTATGCGTCTTGTCTTCTGGAGGTATTAGCAGCCTTGTCAATTAATGATGTAATTATCTTCGGTTGGAGTCTTGGGGGTCATATTGCCCTTGAAATGATTGGGCGAGAAGAAACCGCAATCCGAATCAGAGGTGTATTGCTCGTTGGCACGCCGCCAAGCAGCGGAACCCAGGTCAGCCAGGCGTTTTTGGGGAAGGACGATTCGCCCTACATGCATCTAACCAGTCAGGAGCTTTGGAGTCAGGATGAGGCTTTTCAATATGCCAGTCGAGCAATCGGGGAGCCTTTCGAAGAGTGGCAGAGAGATGATGCACTGCGGACCGATGGACAAGCGCGGCGTATCATGTTCCGCGCCTTCGAAGCTGGGTCAGGTATTGACCAAGCCCAACTTGTTACAACTCAGACGAATATACTTATCGGTGTTCTGAATGGCTCTGAAGAGCCGTTTATAAATTTGGACTACCTGGATGGGCTACGTTGGGCAAATCTTTGGGAAGGTCATTGCCATAGACTCTCTGGGCTCGGACATGCTCCTTTCTGGGAAGCCCCGGGACGGTTTGAAGCTCTGCTAATACGTTTCATCAACTCATGTACCTAATTACGATATGCGTACTTAGGGGTTTATCGGTAAAACTAATAAGAATCCGCCTTAATACAACTACTTCTCATACATGGCACTGACAAGGCAATAGCTGCAAGTGGATTCTATACAGGGGTGCCTGTTCTTCATTCTTATTAAGTCATGTTCTTAGAAATCCCTTTATCAATAGGTGTTATTTTATCTACCCATGGGATAATCATAAAGGTAGTTTATATAGGTTGGATATTATAAAGTAATAGTTTAGAGTTATAATTTTAATCTTAAGAAGGAAGTAAAAGTATAAGATAAAAACTATTAAACTTTAAAGAAGCTAGATAATTAACTTAATTATATTCCCCTTTCTATATTAAAGTCTTTATAGCTTAAATCAGTTTTTTATACTCTTAGAAGCTTAATCTTAAGATAATTCTTCTTAGAGTAATTAAAAAGAAATTATTTTTATAGTAAAGAAATATAGTAATTAAAAGATTTATAGTTTTTATTATAAATATAAAATTATAACTATAAGCTACTGAAGCTAGTTCCACCTGTTATATTTGATATAAAGCCCAATGTATTTTACTAATGTTCTCCCACATGTGTTTATAATCACTGGATACTGCAAGTCGGGTAAAAACGGCTCGACTAAGATCGGAACTAATTTCTTGTCAATTCCTAGCAAGGTCTATGATTTCCGATTGGCTTACTGTCGCTTTCTTGCCCTGTTTATTGACATCAAAAGATATTGTGAGCGAATACCTCCTTTGCCCTCCAATTCTACTGAATTTTTCACTCTTACGAACAGCCTACTTCCAACTCTACCGTGTGACCGACAATACATTAGCCGATCGTAAACCGCCGATTGCCGGTTCCATTTTCTCTACCCGCACCGATATTACCGCCTGCGATTCGTAACAATGAAGATCCTTACGAAGGAGCAAGAGGAAGCACACTACGCTGCCGTTACGAAGGGCGGCCTCATCGGTGGCAGCGTCGGCCTTGGCCTCGGTCTCTGCGGAGTCCTCCTCGCCTCCAAGCGCTTTATAGCCTTCCGCAGCCTCACCCTGCCGTTCCGAACGTTCTTAGTCCAGTCTGCCGGCACATTTGGCGCCGTCGTGAACGCCGATCAATCGTCCGCCGAGTTTCATAAAGATCAGAACCCCATGTACTCATACAAGAACCAGACGCAACGTAGCGAACTGGCCGCCCGAGAGAATCAGTCTCTCTTAAAGCATTTGGTCGCGTACGGTAGGGAAAAGCGCTACTCGATTGTCTTTGCCTCGTGGCTTGTCTCCATGGGCATTGCTTTCGCGCTGGTGAACCGCTCTCCTATGAATGCTGCCAACAAGGTGGTTCAGGCTCGGATGTATGCACAGGGGCTCACGCTCATCGTTCTTGTTGTCACAGCCGCTCTCGAGATGAATGATGCTAAGAAGGGCAACGGGCTGTGGCAGACTGTCACGGTTGTCGATCCAAATGATCCTGGTCGTGTGGTTGAGAAGAAAGTTCATAAGGAGCAATACGAAGGCCAGGACCTTTGGAAGGGTAATGTTTTCTGCAATCCCTGCTTAGGGTAACACGCATGAGCTGACTGTCATAATAGATATGGTTGCCGCCGAAGAAAGACGATTGGCCATGAAGAAGGCCGCAGACAAAGAGATACGCGAGGATGCGGCTAGCCATGAGCCGTTGGTTATTGTTCGCTAAACGCACTCTCATAGAACGCGCTGTACCTCGCTGTATATCACATTCATGTGACTGAGGAAGGTCACTTTGCATTGTACGATTAGACAAGGACTTGATAGTTAGAGACCGGTCAAATATTCAATAATACACTCCACTCAAATTCATGATGCATCCTTATGTATACAAACCCTAACTCGAGATAGTATTCGACCTCAGGTGGTATAAATTTATCGGGAGACCAAACGGACGTTAGTTGCCTCGGTTTTTATATCGGTGTGACAGGTTGATATAGCTATTAACTAGCAAAATCGGGATCTTGAACTGCTCGGCTAATATTATTGCTAGAATGCGTACGTTAAAGGATCACAGAATACAACATCAGACGGTTCTCCGGAAATCATCTGCTACGGAATTCGTTGCTTCTTTCTTTCACATAACGGTGTCAGCTACCCTATTGCTGCTAAAATGCCAACTCCAATCACCCTTCAAGGCGAACAACTAATCATCATCCGATTCTTCAGGAGCAGTTTAACTAAAGGGCGGAATGTCCACAGCGTTCACAGTAACACGGTGAAGCAGGTATACCATACCCCTATTCATATCATTCGTGCTGGTCATTGAAAGTGCTGTTTTCAAGGTCAAGTGCTTGTGAGGCCATCTGCTGATCCACTTATGCTAGGGATCTCCGGGCCATACTAATTTAGTAGTTTCATTAAACTTAGGGTAGATCTACGGAGAGGAAAAAAAAACAGGGATATCGGCCCCTCCGGTTAAGAATGAGTGGGCTCCAGGCTGTAAACAGAAATATTTCGCGGCCCAGGAGGATCCACGGCGGTCTCAAGCTTGTCCAAAACGAGAAGGGCCGCGCGAGACCAACTGGCATGGCTGACTTCGCTGGAACGAGTGATATGTGGTAACGGTGGACAGACTCTGATGTGAAGTCTTGTCAAGATTAGTAAAATGTATTTAACATTTAACATACAAAACCGTGATAGAAACTATTGAATTTTTGTTCTATGAGCTGTAAACGTTAATATTACGCCCCAGAATTCAAGCCAGTATGTCTCGTGTTATGCCGGGTAGCGTCAAACATTCAGAACCCACGGAAAGCGACGAAGGGCAGAATGCACAACCAAATATCCGGCCAATACCACAAGAGAAGGAAGAGAATCTGAATATTCCAGATGGCGGCTATGGCTGGGTGGTGGTGATATGCCAGTTGCTAATTACTGCAACAACATGGGGCGTCAATGGGGTAGGCTGACGCCGGTGCAAGCAGCACCAGATGGTTTATTTTTCGTCAAGTACTAACGTTCAGCAGTCATTCGGTGTATTTCTCGATCACTATCTCACAACAAATGCCTTCCCTGGGACGTCAAAAATAGCCTACGCCTTCATAGGTGGGCTTTCGATCTCGCAGATAACGCTTGTTGCCCCGTTGGTGACCTTCTCCGCTAGGATCCTGGGTATTCGGCCAACACTCTGCGTTGGAATAGTTTTCGAAACCGCCTCATTAATTGCAGCTAGCTATGCAAGCAAGACTTGGCATCTCATCGTCACGCAAGGCTTGCTATTTGGCTGGGGTTGCAGCTTCCTGTACATTGGTACGTACGGCATAATACCTCAATGGTTTTCAACCAAGAATGGTGTTGCCACAGGTATTGCCGCGTCAGGGAGCGGCTTGGGGGGCTTGATCTTTAGCTTGGGAGCCCGAAAGATGATATCTCAGCTCGGATTGCCGTGGACCTTTCGCATAATCGCCATCGCCACGGGAGTCGTTAATAGTATCTGCATGGCCCTTATGCGACATCGGAACATGGAAATACAACCTCGACAACACGCTTTTGATTACCGATTACTGAAAAGTGTCAAGTTTATTCTCATCCTCATTTGGATCTGTTGCAGTGGGCTCGGCTATACCGTTGTTCTTTTCTCGTTGCCCAATAACGCTATTAACATCGGCGCAACCGCCCAACAAGCAGCCACGGTCGGAGCCATGGCTAACTTGGGCATGGCGATAGGGCGGCCCGTCGTTGGTTATTTCAGCGATCGGGTAGGACGGATTAATATGAGCGCAATCGCGTCAATCCTCTCCGCTATCTTCGCTCTTTGCCTTTGGACTTCTGGCACGTCGTATGGAGTGCTGATTGCGTTTGCAATACTTGGTGGGCTAGTCTTTGGAAGCTTTTGGCCGGTAAGCTCGCCCTGATTTAGCTAAGTGTTTTTCACTAACTTGTCAAGATGACTGGACCGGTGCTCGTTGACGTGTTTGGAACACGAATGCTTCCGACGACGCTCTCGGTATCATGGACGCTCGTATCAATACCCACGGCCTGTAGGTCTATGCTGTCATGTATTCACACATAGTAGGGCTTTGCTAACCTCATGTGCAATTTAGTTGCAGAGGCAATTGCGCTTACTCTCCGCAGAGATGGGAAATCCGCGTACCTGTTCGTTCAGGTATTCGCCGGGTGTATGTTTCTGGCAGCGACAATAGCACTGGTGATTCTGCGGTTCTGGCCATTGGTAAACCAATATGGGAAAAGAGCGAAAGTCAATCAATCTGCTTAAGCCTTCCGTTTACTATCTCGACACATCCGACTTTTGGATTTTGATGAAGCCGTTGATCAGTTGATAGGGATGGATACTATGATTTTGACTCCAGTTTGAGTACAAGAGTTTGTATAACTAGTTATAGGACAAATAGAGCTTAGAATTACAGTGAGGTTAGGACCATATGCACCTTTACTCTCAAGTTGAGCCATTTCTGCGGTTGACTCTAACTGCATCTCCAACTCGCAGAGTTTGTCCAACTGAGGTACTGTAGGCATATTGGCCAAAAACTGGCTTGTCTGTGTGAACTCACGTCAATTACTTTGTTTCTTATTAGGATACCTGCGGTTTTGCTTACGTGGATACAAAGGATTTACTCGACGATCTTTGGCCAAAAGTCCATACAATTGCCGTTGTCTTGGTGCCACCATTCCAGTTTTAAGGTCAGCATTGAGGCTGAGGCACCGGGCCGTCCGAAAAATGCATACGATAGTCGCCTTCGGTTGAGCCTCTCTTGCCTTTGGATCACCATCGTAAACGAGAATTGTGTCCCAGTCATCTTCATCATACGGAGGTGTGGAGTCATCGACACCGATATGAATGTTGGGCCGCAATCGAATTATCACATCCTCGGCCTGATTCTCGACCGGAAGACGAGACCTTACATCTTCTTCGGATGCTGAAGAGGTAATGAGATACGGTGCGGCATCGGCAAAACGAGTCCTCTGAGCTTGCACTCTTTCATCAAGTAACGGGGAACCAGGTGGCAGAATATTTGCAGTGGCTATCCTAGATCCAAAAGCGACACCAGGCAACATACGTTTGCCGTTCCCACCAATAAAACAGAGGCGCACATCCATGCCAAGGTGTTTGCGGAAGAAGGACGCGGGCATCTCGCCCATATCAATAGCTATAGCGGAGGTCCCAAATATGCTCACTTTAAACTTGGAGGCGTTCGCGCAAAGTGCGGGTGACGGTGTGAGTGGGAGTGTGATGGAGGATTCAGGCCGAGCTAATGTGTGTCGAATGGTAAGCTTTGACCAGCCATCATGGATGGAAGGTTGGAACAAAGCTAGTAGGAAAATCCGTTTGATGGCCAGATGCTCAGCTAACCTGGGTTCGCTCTCGGACGCATCCGATGCAGCCGGCTGAGGCGGCGTCTTTACCAAGATGTACTGACGATCAAACCGGAGTCCTTCCGAGGTCAGTTCTGCGTAACTGACCTCAACCGGAAGTAAAGATTTGACCGGGTAGAGAAATAGCTTTAGGAAAAAGGACGCGATTGTCAGCTAGGAAGGAAGCCACTGGTCTCAAGCTTACTGACTCTTCGGATCTCCATCTTCAGATTGAGATTTAGTCTCTGTGTCGTCTGATTAGGCATGAACGGGCGAAGAACTTGAAGACGGCAAAAACTCGCGGCCTCTGCAAACACCTTACAATAACATGAGATTGTGGTTCATTGCAGTGACAGTCTGTTGCATCATCGGAATGGATGCTCGCGCAAAATTACCGTATGAGGTGTCGTTCAGCGAGAAGAGGGGCATATTACGTACAGCCGGACTCCCTCCGAGACCCGGAACTTAGATAGCTCTCAAAGTTTCCTCCGGTAGCTCTTACATCCGACTGTCTTGCGAGTTCCCTCACTTACCGCAATAATGCTAACCCACGGTGCGTCAGCCAAGTCGTGTGGGCGTTGTAGGACGCGTAGAGTCAAGGTAATGGCCCCGAACCTCTGTTGTGCCTGGCTGACAGTGGCCCCTTAGTGTGACAAGCGAAGACCAGGATGTGAACGATGTGAGAAAAGCAGCCAACCATGCCCGGGTTATACACGCTTGCGATCATTCCATGACGAAGGGCCTCGGCTGCGCCAGATCTATAGCAGGCACAGCCTCGACAGAAGCCATGCTGCTCAAGGCTCTCACACTGAGATAGGCCCTTCTCCGAGCACTGATACTACTAGTAGTGCCGTTGCTCACGGTCCTTCTCCTAGCGCTGATACTCCTAGTAGTGGTGTCGTTCAGGGTCCTTCTCCTACCACGAGTGGTTTCGCTCAGGATCATAGCACTCCTTCGATTGATTATACTTCAGACGATGCATTTTTCGACCTGGATCCTGCTGTTTATTACGAGCAAGAAAACAATACGTGCGGATTTATCCCCTCCTTGACGACCGAACCCTTATCAGACAACACAACCTCGTGCCCGATCGAAGATGACTCACCGAGCGATGAAGTCCTTGAGGGACTCTTTCTGCAACAGTATGTCAAGGTTATCGGCCCATGGCTGGATGCTTTCGATGTGGGCAAATACTTCAGCCAAGTTGTACCTCTTGAGGCACTTGGCAGTCCTCTACTGCGAACAAGCATATCAGCAGTTGCAGCAAAGCAACTTGGAAATTTGCACGCTCTAGATTCTGTCGATATAGACGCATGTCAGCGCCGAATTCTTGCCGAATACGCCCGCCTTTGTCCATTGGATATGCTGTTTCAGGCTGCGAGGTTTTACGACAAGGCCATCCGCCATATCCTCTATATGTTGCAATCACTGAGTAAGCTAAACAGCCCTTGCTGTCGCGGCCATTGGGTTCTAACACGACTCAGGCTCCTTAGCCAAAGGGCAATTGTCCGGGCAGAAAGCACACAACCTGCGCCATCTGTTATCTTCGATCTCTATTGCAACATTGCACGAGATGCTAGACAGTCCTCACCAGCGTCTAAACCAGTAAGTGCAGATGCCATCGCCGAGGACAAGTATGGTCAGTGAGCCTTGACCTGATATGTTTGCAGTCACATTATTGGTTCTTATCAGCTACTTCAGATTGGAACTGACCCGGGACCCAATCCATCCGACTCTCGATTAGAGAGGGCCAGGGAGGCGACTTTCTGGAACCTCGTCTTCTTTGATATAACAAACTCCTTCGTCACAGGATCCCAAATGACCCTAAAGGTGAGCAACAGCACGAACTTGTGGACACAATTCGGTCTATCTATGCTGGAGCGTGCTGGTCAATCCTACCCTTCATGCTTGGGAGAGGATAACTCAGGACCCAAAATGGACGAGAAAACATCTTGCCAGGCGGCACTCTGGCTGTGCTCAAGAGTGATCAACGACATCGCTACCAGGGGGGTCGCACGCGCTGCTTTTACCATGCACGGTGTCGAAGACGATTCCATTGCCCACTGGGCTGAGACAAGAAACCTATTAAGAGCATGGCGGGCGAGAATTCCGGATGCATTCACTCCTTACCTAAGAGTGCCCTCCACGGCAGCGGTACAATCTTCTAAAGACAGTCTATCAGCAGTCTTCTATGCGAACGCTTTAGCGGCCAGCACACTCGCACTCTATCATTTCACCTGGCTGCTGGTTTATCTGCAAGGCCCACCTCCCCAGGAAAGGCATCGAGTCGGCGCGGCAAGGCTGCAAGCATATCGCGACGTTTCTAGACAGGTTGAGTACCATGTTGGAGAGATAGCCGGGATTGCTGCGGGTGAGCCAGAACCATCTGTGAAAGTGCAGTTACTGCATCCTCTGTACCTGGCTGGCTGCTGTGTTGATACGAACGAAATGAAAATGACACTCATTAATTTGATGACAAACATCCAACGGTGTACGGGGTACCCAGTCCAATGGAGATTAGAGGAGCTTCATGGGCATTGGGCGACTAGCAATGGCCAAGCTGGCACTCATGATTTAGAGCCATGGTGCAACACATAGACTAAGCATGCCTTGTGGAAATGCATTATTATTACAATTTGTCACTGCTATTACTACTATTATTATTATCTTGTTATTGTCATGGCCATTGCTGGTACATGCTAATTTACACTCTCTCCTAAGCCACGCACTCCTCATAGGTCGGAGGTGGTGATATAATTGTGATTTTCTTATTATGTTGAAGAAACTTGCGCAATAATTATTAGATGCAGAAAGGCTTACAGGTTAAAACCCCTGGAAGAACGTACCTGTATTCTACCCTCTTTGCCACATGAGATACCAGCTACAACTTCAACGTACTGATATATGCAAAGGAGAGGAGAGCAGTAGCTAGGGTCGGCCCCAGAAGTATCCAAGGTGTGCGTGATCATATTCACCTCCTTATCTAACTTCGTGTGGCCTTCCCAATGGTGTATAGAAAGTTCTTGATTAATGGTGATAGGCTTTTGGCTCATATTATCTGTAATTACTTGCCGTAGTCTAACAGATAAGCTTCGTAAAAATATCTGAACGGTCGTGGGTAGAACACCAGGCGGTATTATTATTGCGATTTCCATGTTTGCTACTCGTTCAGTTAGCGTTATAGGCGCAGGCGCAAGGATGATAGCTTGGAAGGTCATCTTGTTTGATGACGGCGCCGAATAAGCTGGCGGAGTTCGAGGTTCCTCTAGAGCGGCTTCGACCATCTGTATCCCATATGCTGAATTGCGACGCGACAAATTTGTGCATCGATGCCGACGAGGATCTCCGCTGATGAATTGTAGTTCCTGTACAACTTCTGTCGTTCTTGCAACCCAACCAAATATTTGTCTTCGGATCGCGAACACAAAAAAGTATTTGCAACTGATGGTAACTCCGTTGATGGTCTTGTTGATGGAAGGGGGGAGCTGATGCGGACCGTTGATATGACCATGGGGTATAAGCAGGGGAAACTTAAGTTCCACGCAGTCAAAGCAAACCACTTCTTCTGCGCCGTTTTTTCGCAATACACTTTGTTCAAGACTTAAATTTTTGGTCAATTTGAACAGCTTGTACAGTTGTCAGCGCACGAGGAGCTACTTGTTCCACCGTAAACTTACATTATGGGTAACAAGTCCTGGACTCGGACCACAGGTCTCTGGGGGAACTTCAGATGAAACCTGTCCTAAGTGCAATCAGTCACAAATAGTGAGCTAAAGGTTAACCTAATCTCTCGCTTACCATAAAGCACAGCTTTAATCTTTACAGGTTCCTTGAATTTAGCATCGCTGATTTTGAGATAGGCTTGAACAATATCTCCGGCACGGAAGCATCTTCCCTTTGGAGGACGAATGTCCATATGAAGCTTCATCTTCATGATAACAACGCTTTGGTTGAAGAACCGATGGTCCTATTACAAGTACAAGACCAAATCCCCTTCCCTAGTCTTAAGTATACTTCACATTAATCAGTCTCCTGCCTTTCGCCCACCAACACAGCTCGTGGTGGGGCGTGTCGCGTGAAATCTTCGCTCTTTCATACTTGAACGGGAAGTTGATCATCCAGAAGAGAGACCGGGGTAGGCTTATTAAATGGCGCCTGTATTCCAAATAGATCCTGGCCAAACAAAGACAGTCAGTCACACTCAGATATTACAAATAACACATTCCAAATCTATTTCCCTTAGCAAAGGGCCTGACTGAATATCGACTACATCTTACCCCACGACGTCATGTTCAGGTGCTGAGCTCTGCCCAATCAGCATTCGGTCCGACCTAGGATACAGCGGCTTGCCATGGATGGGCTATGAGTAATACAAGTGCCGGCTTCTCGGGAAAGCAGCCAATGAATTTGTTAACCGATCCGTGCTTGGTTTGGGTGCGGGGCGGAGACGTGAGAGTCGTCCGATTCTGGCCGATCGGAGTTCCGAGTTCACGGAACGGAAACAGCCAGAGGAAAGGAGTATCGGAATATATATTTATATTTATTCACTGCCATGACGGAGTCTTGTTGGCCGCCTTTCAACAATCGGGTTCTTAGCATAAACCCACAGTCAAAGCTCTTTCACAGGTCGAGTTCAGCCCAATATCTACCCTAACAAACCCCGGACCGCAGCACTCAGTCCGTGATCATCAATATGAGCATCAAAAGCGACATTTTCAAAGGTCTGTCGGCGTTCCCGATTACTCCTGCTGATCCAGATGGAACCGTCGACACTGGTGCCCTGGTTCAGATTCTCGAGAGGTTAGATATTCCTGGTATCGACTCGATTGGACTGTTGGGAAGTACAGGAAATTACCTCTACCTGACGAGGGAGCAACGCAGGCGGGCGATTGAAGCGGCCACAAAAGCTCTGCGGGGCAGAATACCACTCATCGTCTCTGCTGGTGCACTTCGGACAGACGATGCCCAGCGTCTAGCCAAAGATGCTGAAGAGGCTGGCGCCGATGGCCTTTTGCTCGCGGCTATCTCGTACAATCCGTTGACCCAGGAGGAGGTCTACCAGCACTTCGAGGCAGTGGCTAGCTCGACCTCGCTGCCCATCTGCATCTACAACACTCCGAGCACGACACACTTCAACTTCAGCGATGAACTTCTCGCTCGCATTGCAGCGTTGCCAAATGTAGTTGCGCTTAAGCAGCCCTCTCCCACTGCCGAGCCAAAAGAAGCACATGAAGCGCTTCGCGCAAAGCTTCCATCTGGCTTCCATATTGGCTACAGTGCGGACTGGCTGGTGGCCGAGCCATTACTCGCAGGAGGCTCTGCATGGTTCAGTGCGATCGCGGGCGTGCTTCCCGTACCATCGGTTGCTCTGATGAACAGCATTCGCAAAGGGGACCGTGCCGAAGTGAAACGCATCTCAGATGCCCTGCAGCCAACTTGGGACCTGTTTCAGGAGTTTGGCGACCTCCGAGTCATCTTCGCATTTGCCAACGAGCTTGGCCTTTGCAAAGCGGCACCCCCTCGGCCTATTCTTCCTCTAGCTGCTTCGCAAAACAGTCGGATTCGCTCAGCGTTAGCAAGCCTTAAAGAATTCAAGTAGCGGCCGTCTCGAAATGTAAAGAAGGCTGGGGAGCCTGCACTTCGCTGGCCTCTCTCGTTGGAAGGTTGCCGTGGTCACGCCGACCAGTAGGTATTGCACTTTGGCCGACCTCTTGAACTTTAGTTAGTAACAAGGATTTTGCAGCGCTGCCAGAAGATCATAGCAAGAAGGAACACAAGACCTGCGGTGTAACAGGCAGTTCTTCGTCTGATGTAGCAAATAAGGGAGGCACTTCAATAATAAACTCTGTTTCACACAATGAACCTTCTAATAATGATGTGCTCCCTTCGCTTTACCCTGATATTGTATTGTTCCTCCCACATCGCCCTCCCAATCATTAGTCCACTTGTCGGGCCAAGGAATCCTCAAGTCATATCCTGCCACTACATGGCAAAGGAGTGCAAAATGTAGTCACTGTTCAAGGTCCTTTTCTAGTCTAAATCCCAGTTATGGCCTAGAACTCATGGGAAGAGTGGTTGTGCCAGCAGCTACGTTGGGCACGGTAGCAGCAACGGAGATGGCAGCGAACTTCATGATGATGGTCGATTGGGACGCATATTCGGTCCCCTGCCAAGCCTGGCAACAGCATTGGCTTTAGAGCGGCCACGGAGCACGGAACAAGCAGAAGGAGTTCTAATTGGTTTGCTAAGATAATATTGCTTGGGGGATATCGACTGGTATATTTGGATAATCGATACAGCTCAGATATTGTGTTTGATGATCTTCTTGCACCAATGTCGCATTTGGACGTGGCTGAAGACCCAGAAACGTTATGGTTGTTCATCCAGCAGGGCCAACCACTCACCAGTCGTTCCGGAATCCGGACGACCAGTCATAAGATTCAGGTAAGTCCGCATCCTTCGTAGCTAATCTCCTAGCCTCCAGGCCGATAACTCACTTTGGAACAGGTATGACGGCTTATTAGTGGTTGCTGGTGAATGTACAGGCATTAAGGACAAGTCTCAGAGAGTTCAATTTGCTATTCACAGCGAGCTGATGTTACAATGTCAAAAGATGGGGGAGAGCACCGGCGCCATTTCAACCGAAGCCAATTCGTTAAGGTGTCACAGCCTCATACTGGCTTAGCCGAAACTCCTCAAAGAGAGCGTAAACCTGGTTCAGGGATAGGCGGTCCGCGGAAACACCATTGTATAAACGCGTCTTGACCCAGGTCCGTCTCCCAACCCGTAGTATCACGTTCTAGCCATTGCCTGTCTTCATAAGCATTTATATACGTACGAGCCTCTAGACGAATTTTCTCAAAGTTCACTCTGAAACGGGGCTCTTGGATAGCCGAATGGACAAGCTCAAGTCTCGATTGATCGCGAGCCGCTTCCTGTAGATGGATGAAGTCCTGCCAGAATTGATGCCGGCCGCGTAAGAATCGCTGAGATAATGATTCTGGACATGTGTGGACAAATGTGATTTCTGGTATAGCAGAACTGTAAGAAGCATGCTGCTGCAGTTTGGCCTGGAGCTGCTTTCTAAACATCTTTGCCCAAGCCTGCCGGTCCCATTGACGAGAGTGTTCGGCAATGCTAGGCAGTGGGTGATCTGTTCTCATAATGTAGCGTTGCCCATCAGGTATGGGCCCTACACCATCTCCATCCATGACTCCTCTATCAAACCAGCACATGGACCCGATGGAATCGATGGGCTCCCAGGGGATGCAAACTCTGGGTTCGAAGGCGCGGTTTAGAATTCGTGAATGTTGGGAATCCTTCGGGATCCTCCACCAGACTGTACCAAATAACCACCCACCAATGTCTTCTGCCTCCCATTCTTCAAGGAAAATCTCTTTCAGATTCGGGAGCAGTTTCATCATGTTGGCAAGGTAGTGCAAACTTGGAACAAAAGGTTCATGCTCGGGTAGAGGAGACCAGGTGCCTGGTAGTACCAGTCGTCTAAGACTCCGAAGTGAATCTAGGTCGAACCGGCCAAAGTCCCATGGACAACCTGAAAGCACAGAAGTAAGATACTCTGAGGAATAGTATGCGAAATTTAAGTCCGTTAAAGGGTTGTATTCGCAGTCGTCATTTATCCGGGGAGCATATAGAATGTCCCGCTCGAAATGGAACCATGTCCTCGGGGCGTGTGATCGGGTGCCAAAAGCAAGCTGATACCCCAAAGTCTTCAAAACTTGGCGCGACTCGGTGCAAACGTGTAGGAATGCTGGGATGGGCGTTTCGCTGTAGAGCCATGTCTCCCGCGCTAGTTCGAAGGCCAGCTTGGGTTTCTCGTGAAGTCGATTTGCAGGTATGCACGGCGCCTCGGGCGTAGCTGTCCAAGGGTCGTACGGCGTTTTGCTTGTAGTGAAGCTATACTCCTCAAGTGTAGTTTGCCTCCTGGGTTGCGAGAAAGACTCGGCTATCCAGGCACGCCAGTTCTCAGAAAAGTACACCAGATCAGGGTGCAGCTTCAGATTGAATTGCAGCGATCCGTGACAAAGTTGGTGGCTAAAGTCAACAAAGGCTGCTTCCCCTGCTTCAAGCTTGTCGTATTCCCACTCAAAGCACTCGTCGTCCTTGACTTCACACAGCTCATCCTTGACGGGGAAACCTTCCTGGATATATACAAGCCTAGATGGTGTAGCGAGGAGATAGATTTGATACCTAAGATCAAATGGCAGATCGGAGAACTTGTGGAACGTTGTGGCCGTCATCATTTCGATTCTATCAGAAGGCCTGTTTGTTGTTTAGTTGGGGCATCCATTTTCTTGCCCTGGGCGTAGAACATATCAAGATCCAGCACACACCGCCATTTCATCGTTGATAAAGCGGAGCACGGAACAAGTGGAAGAGATTTCAATTGGTTTAGCCAAGAACTTGCTTGTATACCTGGTACAATTTGACAGTTCATACAACTCATGTTGAAGTAGGTGTATGAGAGATGAGTAGCTTGATTGATTGAAGAAGCAAGAAAAGAGAGCTACGAGTCTAATTGTACAGCTTTTATCAAGATCATTGACACAGATCGTAGTCACGTGGGTATAGGGTAGGCTGGAATACCGTCTACCCTGTACCACAGTTCAACAATTCAACCAATGCTAACAGGGCTAATACATGGCCAGTCTACTATCTCTATTGCAAATTACCATCATTGTTTATGGAATTATTGGCTTCGATATCTATCTGAAGATCTTCTTCCACCAACGCCGCATTGGATGTGACTCAACGGTCAGAAACGTACGTTAGGATCGTTCGCCCACCAGAAGTTGAAGTGGAGCGCAAGCTGACCACTCACCAGTATTTCCGGATGGTCGGGCAGTCATGAGAATTCATCATCCTCCGTGGCTAATCACCTAACCTCCGGGCCGGTGACTCACTAAGAATAAATATGGCGGCTTATCAGTGATATTTGGTGTCTTTGTAGGCTAATAATTAGAAAAGACCTGATAAGTTGCAGAAAATCTTCTTAGTTGTCCACTGCAAACCAACAATTTTGACCAGCCGGCCACAGCCGACGCACCAGCTCAGATATGCTCGTTCACTTCATTGTTCATGAATCATTTGAAGCGCCAGGTGCCTACGACAACTGGTCTTTGGAACGAGGATACAATGTCACATACACCCGGTTGTATCTGGGTGACACTCTACCTATAATTGTAGACTCACTCGATGTACTCATCGTCCTAGGAGGCCCCCAGACTCCATCAACCACAAAAGACGAGTGTCCGTACTTTGATGCCGCCGCTGAAAGAGAATTTATTCTCCAATGCATCAATGCGGGCAAGGCAGTCGTCGGGATCTGTTTAGGCTCGCAGCTCGTCGGCGAGGCTCTTGGAGCAGCCTGGGAGAAAAGCCCAGAGACGGAGATCGGCACTTTCCCCATCACTCTGACCACGGCCGGGAGAAATAATGGCAAATTCGAACACTTTGGCCTCTCAGTTGAAGTCGGTCACTGGCACAACGATATGCCGGGACTGACTCCTGAAGCCAAAATCATTGCTTCCAGCCAGGGCTGCCCCCGCCAAATTGTCGAATACACCAATCTAGTGTATGGATTTCAGTGTCACATGGAATTTACCACTGGAGTGATTGAGGGTTTGATAGAAGCAAGCAAGGATGAATTGCCGTCTCTTATCGAACGCAAATTTGTTCAACAGCCCGACTCTCTGCTGACAAACGACTATACGAATATGAACGAGAAACTTGCAATCTTCTTAGACCGCCTCACAGAGGCGTATCATATAGCCCGCCAACAATAGACAGCATGTTACGATTATCGATCAAAAATTGGATGAATGGAGATAGCTATGAAAAAAAGCCCCTTTGTTCTAATAGCCAAGGCACAGGCATTTCTTTTAGCTTACCCAATGCTTACCTACATTTAAGTGATTGCTGCAGCACCTACACCATATAATGGGAGCGCTTTGATCACCTGCATTTGTCCTCTACCCCCTTGTACCGGAAATTCTGGGCATATACTGACCCAAAGAAAGAGCTTCTGGACGATTCAGAAAATCATTAAGTTTACTGACTGCGCTATGACGTGTGTCAAGCATTCGTATGAAAAAAATTGTATTCTCATCAATATCATAGTTCGGCCGTACCTTTGTTTTCTACTAACAGTCAAAGGACGCCAGTGCCTCACCGCGAGCCCAGAAGCTAGCGTAAATCATGTGTTAGGGTTTCATCGAGCCCTCCCCAGACAAGATATCCTAAGCTTTCTCGTGCTTCACGAAAGATTGGGAATGCTTGATATCGGTAATCCAAGATTCGGAGCCACGTTTTGGCGAGCTCCTTGGACCTTGATTCTCCCATTTCACTTGGAGCTCGAGCTATGAGTAAAATCAAGAAATGCGAAAAGATAGTGAAGCAGCGACACGACCCTGAGTATATCAGCCCAATCAATCAAGCGGACCAGGGAAGAAGTCAACTCATTCAGCATGACTTACAAGAATACCAAAACTCTGAAAACGAAGCTGGCTCAAGAAGGAGGACGAATCCTGCAAAATGTCTGGCAGAGTCTATAGCAGCACTGTAAACATTAACCATTGGGTTGACCACTCCTGGGTTGTTGAATGCGGCCCCTGGCAAGGCTGATACCGCCATCACTGGGTCGCGTCTTGTAGTGACCGCGTCTGGTAAAGAATGAATCAATTCTCGCCATATGCAAATCTGAAGTGTGTGATAAAGCGTATAGATAACCGCGGGATAACGCACGGTCAAGCCTTTCCTGCGGTAGGTTAAACAGTGTTCACTAGCTGCTAGAGGTAATCCCTGGCGCCATGTGTCTAGGGACTCAAGTATGGCATTGGCTGTTGCCAAACGTTCTTCAAAGTTCCGGAAGGTACCATATCTAAGAGAAATGGTTAGGTATTTGATGTGATACAGTTGATAATACAAGAGCCTAGGGGAAAGCAGCGAAAATAAAAGGAGAGAAAATCCTTACCTCAGCTCAACACGGAATTTGTCTGCGATCAATGACAGGGTTGTTAAATCACGAAAATAACATCCTTGTAATTTTATGGGATCGGGATAGTCGTCATCGCAAACAACTGGAATGCCGGAGTCTGTCATTCGGAAGTACGCTTGCTTGTGATGCATCAAGCTTATCCATTGGTCCTCGATCGCCATGACCCAGTAAATGTTCCGTCTCTGGGTTGATTCACTTGATGAAAGCGATCGACTATACGCTTGATGCAGATCTAGCGAGTAAGAAAGACCAATGATGGTGCCCATGTGAAATTGAGTGTCACCTGCCCCCTCGTGTTTGTCCGGACGATGAGACTGCCTCTGAATATATAGAAGACCCGCCCGAAGAACGTCTAGACTCGGGCGATGTAACTCTCGGATTAGGGTATCGTGGCATATTTGCCACAATTTATTAATCGGTGGCGCCTTGTCCATGAACCATAATGCCAAATCGTTGTCGTCCCACAGGAGAGGCAATGCGGAGGCGTAGATAGCCGAGAGCAAGTAGACAGGCAAAGATTGCAAGGTGTGGCCCCCAGAATCGTTGGAATCACCACCAAGTTCAAGGTCTGGGAACGATACGACTGGCAGAAAAGAGAAGAAGTGCCTAAAGAATCTGCAACGATGTGTTAGTATCGGCAGATGCCTGTGAATGTAGGTAAAGAGTCTCTAACAGTCTCAAGAGATTTGTTCCCAGCTCCATAGGGATGAGTTCTAAAACTTGGTTACGTGGAGAACCTCTTTCCCCCGTACTTGATGAATCTTCATGGGCTGGTTGATATTGGCCCCCTGATGCTAATCGTACAGCCGTAGCAGGATTGAGCCGCAAGTATTGACTTAATTTAGGGTCAATCTCGCTCGACCGTTGAATGAGTGCTTGCACATATGCGCTCCTGCTATCCTGCGCAGAGCCAAGCTGTATGTTAATGTCTCCGTCGGTGTCAAAACGCCGGTTGTCGGCTAGATTTCTTGAGTCATTGGTAGCAAGTGACCGTGTGATATCTTCTGGAGGGGCCAAGGCTTCTGGCGAGGTAGGAGCCGTCGCCTCTGATACTGGGCCTCCGTCACGAGGAAGGACACAAAGAATCTGCTTTTCTATACATCTGACGCAAGAGGCCCCGCGCTGGAACTTGCATTTGACTTTGTGTTGTCGACAGCTATCACATGGCCGCTGGCGAATCCTCGACTGGTATTTCCGGCGCCCGGAAGACATGCTGGCGGATTTCCATATAAAGACGAGAGCTCAAGATGAATTCGCCGAAGCAGACGTAGAACCGACCGGGAAAGCGAGGAATAGGGATGGGGGTTGAAGAGGGGGGCAGGCTGAGGCGAAAGTTGAGTTTTCGCCGGATTGATAATTTCGGCGAATATGTTTTCTCCACTGTCCGGAATACAGCTCTCATAAGTTACCCAAGTTGAGTACTCACGTCATTTTAGTCCCCACAAGATGAGTGTTGAAAGGCTCTAGGATAGGTAAGCAAAATTTATTGTAGCTGGAGGAAAACGATGTCCCAGGATTGGTCATAAGGTGGCACCTGATTTCTGTATGAAAGCAGCCGGGCATTTGTCGATTTCAATAAGAACAAGGCATTCTAAATTGAATTCCATTTTCACACTACATCTACACCTGCTCAATATGTCGCCTTCCCTCCCCGAAACCTACAAAGCCATAGTGTTGAAGGCTGCCAAGTCTGGTTTCGACCTTGAGGATGTTAAGCTTCGACGCCCATCTAAAAGCCAAGTCCTCGTCAAAGTCATTGCCTGCGGCGTCTGCTTCGGTGACGCTGCTGTCCAAGGAGGTGCCTTTGGCGATGTCTTCCCACTGACTCCTGGTCATGAGGTTGTCGGTGACATTGTCGCACTTGGCGAAGCTGTCTCTCGATTCGAGATTGGTCAGCGAGTCGGAGGTCCGTGGCACGGTGGACATGATGGATCTTGTCGTCAGTGCGAAAGAGGCCTCTTTCAGATGTGCGACAATGCTGCCATTAATGGCATCACCAGGTCTGGCGGGTTTGCCGAGTACGTGCTCTTGCGAGAAGAGGCAGTCGTGCGAGTGCCCCGTGAAGCCGACCCGGCTCATGTCGCGCCTCTTCTATGTGCAGGTGTCACTGTTTTCAATGGCATCAAAAGGCTGCATGTTGAACAGGGATCTCTGGTCGCCGTACAAGGTCTCGGAGGTCTAGGTCATCTTGCCGTGCAGTATGCTAGCAAGATGGGCTATGAAGTTGTCGCACTGTCTTCCACCGATGACAAGGCCAACTTTGCACGAGACTTGGGGGCTGCGCACTTTATCAATACGAAGACGCAAGATGTTGGAGCCGAGCTGAAGAAGCTCGGCGGCGCAGCAGTTGTTGTGCAAACGGCTCCAAACCCAGCTTCCATCAACCCCTTGGTGGCGGGTCTGGCCGCTGAAGGCAAGATCCTAAGCCTGGCTCCGGCGGGAATTGCCGAGATTGACACAACTGCCTTGACGAGCAAAGGGGCTAGTCTTGTGGGTTGGCCCAGTGGGCATGCACTTGACTCGGAGGATGCGATTCGGTTTGCTCTTCGGCACGACGTGCGGTGTCTGATCAATAAGTATCCTCTGTCTGAAGCTCAGAGGGCTGTCGACGACTTGAAGGTCGGGAAGGCCAGGTTCAGGAACGTCCTCATTATTTAGTCAGGGTTATTGTCCGTGTTTCAACAACTGAGCATTTTGAACAATATAGATATTTGGCGGGATTCCGGTCTTGCTCGTTTCGAAGCTTCATTTTCTCACGTCAAATTTTGAACCCATGTATAATCCTTCAGTCCAAGGTTACAATCGAGATTCGTCGTCTGCCTCATGCCATGTCGTGATATCCTTTATCTTAGAACGAAAAGAGAAATTAGGTAGTACCTAAATTGTCCCCATAGCCATTGATTTGGGAAACCCAAGTAGTGGCGACTCCCGTGGACAAGTAAATCCTAAGAATCGCTCAACCGTACATCATGCTGCGTGTGAGCATGACTAAAATTGTAATTTTCGGCGAAAACACATCGGATAATGGTAGAAGGTCCATGTTGTTTTTCCGTGGGAGGAGTCGATTACCAATCGACATCATCGCTATGATTGATGTCATCTAGAATCGCTCCAGCAGAAAGTGCAGCGCTTATAAGTTAGCTAACCTCGCAGCTTTATCAATGAGAGCTCAGTTTTCGAATTCTACATACAATTAAGCTTATACAAACTGCACCTCGAGTTGCAGATTCGCTTCATCAAATTCTCAGTAGCCACTCTGCCTCCGTCTGCAGTAATTCTAGCCAACGTCCCGCACATTGGCATCCCAATTGCTTTGCAATGTCTTCAGACGACAAACCTCAGCTTCTGAGGCCTTGCTTAGAATGGCAGAGAGATGGCTACATCATTTCAACGGATTCATCGTTAATCTCCACGGCTTCGCTCAACGGAATATTTGCCGACAAAGGCTGTTATTGGGCCAACCCACTACCCGAAACGACCTTGCGCAGAATGCTCGACAATTCACTTACATTTGGTCTCTTTGAATCCAAGGCAATAAAAGCAGACATGTCAGGGGTTGGGGACACCAAGGACTGCTTGATATTGGTTGGCCTAGCGCGCTGTGTCACAGATATGGTCACATTTATGTACGTGGACGATGTTTGGGTGTCTCCGGAACAACGTGGGAATGGTCTTGGGAAGTGGCTTCTTGAATGTGTCCGCGAGACGATGGACCAGATGCCACATTTGAGACGGAGTATGCTGCACACACAAGACTGGAAGCGGTCAGTCCCATTTTATGAAGAATTACTTGGAATGGAAGTTGTGAATGAGGGTCAATCGGCGAGTCTGGCGGTAATGGAGCGGAAAGGTCCGGGGGCATATTGCTAAGTTTCACCTACTCGTAGTACTTATGCATAACTAAGACAAACAGCCAAGTCCATGAGGGAAAACGAGTGTCGACATGTTGACTTAGGCGTATATCTTCACATGGTTCTATACACCTAGCGTAAAGTGAAGGTCAATTGAGCCCATGGTCAGTCACCGGGATCGGCATTTCTGAGTTCGCCGATGCTCGTCAAAGGATGCCGACATTCGGCAACTCTGACGTAAAATCCGTGCGTGTAGATCGTTGCCACTCCATGTACGGAGCATAGATTGCTTCTATTCGTGCGCATGTGACGGAACAGGTTATCAAGACGGCCAAAGCAGCGGTCATCGTTCCTGAGACCAGAGACCCCCGAGTTCGGCACCCAACTGGCGATGAGCCTTAGAACCCCTGTCATCGAGCAATTCTAAGCCTTTTCTATAAATCCCAAATATCTGTCGCTTAGCAGGACCTCCGTGATCATTGAAACAAGTTGCAAGCCCGCGCAAACAGTCGTGAGAAAACAAGATTAAAAGCAAGGAAACGAGATGTCGTCTCTCACCGTGATCACCGAATTAGAAATCACCGAGCCTGAGTCGACAGATGTGACAGTTCCTCAGCCTACCCCTTGCATTCAGGATGTCTCAGTGTCTGTCAGAAACTACGCGCCCGTCTACGACCGGTTCACTAAGCTCCAGAAGAACCTTATGACGGGCTTTGTTGCATACGCCGGGCTCATCGCTTCAATATCCACAACAACCGTCCTCGCTGCTGTGCCGGAAATATCTAGTGAATTCAAGACGACACCAACGATCATAAATATCAGCAACGCCGTATATCTTTCGTGTGTAGGGTTGTCCTGCTTCTTCTGGGGACCGTGGGCGGATAACTTTGGGCGCAAGTCGGTATGAGCAGCCTAGCCGAACCCTCGAAAGTGTTTCTATTGACCAGTTCCCAGGCATACATTGGCAGTAGCACAATGTTTGTGGCATTTTCCATCGGCACGGCGCTTTCCCCAAACTTGGTCTCCTTCTTCATCTTCCGTGCACTGACTGCTTGTCAAGTCACCGCTCTATTGATTGTCGGCCCAACGTTAATTTCAGACATCTACCATCCGGTGAGTCTCAAAGCTCCGGTAAGAAAGGGTATTAACCTCGCTGACAACGGATAAGGTTGAACGCGGCACATCCCTCAGCTGGTTCGCCCTTGGAACCATGTTCGGGCCTGCCTTCGGGCCGCTTCTGGGTGGTGTTGTTGTCACCTACTCCCCCTGGCGTACCATTTTTTGGGTGCAAACCGCTCTCGCGGCACTCGCTCTGCTGCAAGCCATCTATACCCTTCACGAGACACTCCAATATCCCCGCTACATCGAACTACGGGGACAGAAATTCCGACCTGCTCTATCAATCCTGTGGAAGTGGTCCAATCCGCGAACTGTCTTCGAAATCTTTACGGAGAAGAACCTTCTTTGTGTGGCAAGTACTCCACATACGGATTCTCGTTCGCAGTATGATTGGATTAGAGAGCTTACAAAAGGTCAATAGATCCTCGCTTCCTCATTCACAGCATGGAATATGTTTTCCTTATTAACTCCCATCCGATTCGTCCTGAACCCAACGTTAAACCTGACGAGCCCTCTGCAATCTGGGCTGCTCTTTCTGGCTCCAGGAGCTGGGTATATTCTTGGCACCCAAGTTGGAGGGCGGTGGGCTGACCGCACTGCGAAGTCATGGACACGAAGACGAGGGTACAGATTGCAAGAGGACCGACTCCGCAGCTGCATCCTGACTTTGGGTATCCTAATGCCAGGCACAACCTTGCTATACGGCTGGTCTCTTGACAGAAATCTTGGCGGTATTCCCCTCCCTGCGATCAGTATGGCTCTTCTAGGATTCGCTCAAACTTTTGCCTCTCCGGCCTTGAATGTGTATATCCTGGATGTGTCTCAGAATGATAGCGGGAAAGCTAGTGGTATGTTCTCTTACGCCACGTGGAATAGGACATTTTCTCACATCAGTCTTCATATAGCCAGCCATTATTTTGCCCGATATGTTCTCATGGCTGCTGCCACAGCCACATGCCTCCCTTCTATCCAAGCTATTGGCGTTGGATGGACAGCTACCATCTCCGCCGGCCTGGTGCTGATCGGAGCAGGTCTTGTTCTCCTCGTCCTCAGGCTTGGGCAACGTTGGCGAGACGGCTCATAACGCCCTAGCGTTTTCCGTATGTCAACCAAAAGCAATCAAATCTCGAAGCAGCATGAGCGAATTAAAACGACTTGAATGCCCTGAGCTACACTTGGCTTCCTAGTCTCCGAAGGCAAGAATAGGCAGTATCTAGGCAAAGGCTAAAGAGAAGAAATTGGAATGGATGCCCGACGTCTAGTACTCTACGACTCGCTGCCAGTAGGGTGCCGAGTCAGGTAATTATATACTTATTTATATATATTTTCTAATATTCTATTTTTATTTACTCTATATAAAAATTATAAGATTTTTAAAATCTTATAAAAGCGTATTAATAATAGTTATATTCAACAGCCCGAATCTTTACGCACAAACAACTACGTGAATATGAACGAGAAACTTGCGACCTTCCTAGACCGCCTCATAGAGGCGTATTTTGTAGCCCGTCATCGATAGATATCATGTCACAACTGCCGATCATTATTTTTGATATATTCGTCGCTGTTGCAAATAATCGGAAATGCGTCATCCTGTCAATTACTCGATGAAATCAAGGTCTGTGCCCTGTACACGTCTAATACATCCTAGGATGAATTAACTGGGGATATCGGCTTTCCCTGGGTAAAGAAACTTGTCACGTTGTTCATGGCCTCGCGATACGCATTCTTCCAAGCTACATCTGTCCACGAACCCATGTGCGGCTGAACAATGCATCTGGTGCTTTTCCGGAAATAATCGCTGCATCGTGTTAGCTTGTTTCTGCCAGAGCGTCCTCGGACCTGACATACTTTACTCGAGGTTCACCGTCAAACACGTCCAGGCCGCAGCGAGCGACCTTTCCAGCTTCAAGAGCGTCTATCAGGGCCTTCTCGTCCACAACGGCGCCGCGGCCGGTGTTTATCAGGATCACGCCGTCTTTCATATGGGTAAACTCCTGGACGCCGATTAACCCTCGTGTCTCTGGGGAAAGTGGGCAGTTGATCGATATGATGTCCGAGGTCTGAACCAGCTCCTTGACAGACGAGCAGTACTTTGCGTCGAGGCTTTGCTCTAGCTCGGGAGATAGTTGGTTCCGGTTATAGTACTGGACGTCCATGCCGAACACTCGGGACTTGCGAGCAACATGCTTGTAGCCCTAATCAGCACGTAGTATGTACGAGGCAGGGGATGTGCAAACTCACCCTGCCAATCTTGCCCATGCCAATGATCCCCAGCTTCTTTCCATGAGGATCTAGAAGGGGCACTTTGGCACCGCCTCTCCAGCCGCCGGTGCGAATCTCCTGCTCGAAGCGAGAAGTATCGCGCAGCGCAGCCAGCATGAGGAAGATTGTCATGTCTGCCGTCGGCTCGGCCACGGCATCTACCGTGTTGCACACCAAGACCTCGTTCTTGTTAAGCCACTCTAGATCAAACTCGCTGTAGCCAGCATTGACCGAGCCGATAATCTTAAGCTCGGGGACGAGCGGCCCCAGGAGGCCCTCATCGAACCTCTCGTAGGCTCCATTCCCCATTAGAATCAGCACTGCATCAAAGAGTCCTCGAGTCTTGCGAGCCTCAGCAATTGCTTGCACGGTGCCGTCTCGGTCAGTTGGCTGAACGGTCTGTGTGGAGTCAGTAATGTGCAATAACCTTTGAAGGAACATAGGCTGACTGACGTAGAGGTCACAAGTATCCTCGAATTTGGAGATAAAGTCCTCTCCAGCCCATGACACTGAGCCAAGTGAGAGAACCCTGGGCTTGCGGCCGAGTGACTGAGCCGGGGTTGCCATGTTTGGTGAATTTAGAAAGCAGTGTTGCAAACTGTAGATATCCTGAGACTCGGGCTTGTGTCTGTAGCAGTGGGTTGGCGAAGGTTTCCCTCATCACCAGGAAATAAGTGCAACTACTTACACGGCTAGACGCCAAATCACACACGATGTGCGAGGTGGAGTGGCACCGGCTCAATCCGTGGCTCGGAATTGTTGCCCTTGACATTTCCAACGGCCTTTCTTCTGACTTCATTGATCATCCCGATCTGTCCAAATGTAGGTGTGGGGTTTTTGTCATTGGAGATTGCAAGATGGTGGTCATCTCGGCTGGACCCGACTCGTCCGGCTTGCATAATCTTCCAATTACGCCAAGGCAGTCCAAGTACGTAGGTCTTATCCATTCATTGTTAGAGAACCATATCTGAACGAGTGTCCCATTCTGATCCGTTGGCTTCGCAGATAAGCCTACATCCAACAGCCTCAAAGTACTGGTCTTACGATATCCAACATATACCAAAATGTCCACCACTACCTTCACAATCACCGAGCCGCAGCCCCAATCCAGGATTGTCAAGCATCTTCCCGTGGCTGAGGATACGCCCGAGCTGGTCAAGGACATCCACGTCATCCCTTCATTCACGGAGAAGGAGGCCGAGCGCCTGTGGGCTAAGCAACACATGGTGGGCGCATTTCGCATCTTTGCAAAGTTCGGCTACAACGACGGTGCCGGCGGCCACATCAGCCTGCGGGACCCGGTCAGGCCCGACTGCTTCTGGATCAACCCGTACGCCGTGCACTTCAAGCTGCTCAAGGTCAGCGACCTGATCCTCGTCGACGAGGATGGCAAGCCCCTCACCCAGACGCAGCACAAGGTCAACACGGCCGGCTTCATGATCCACGCGGCGCTGCACAAGGCCCGGCCCGACATCAACGCCGCCGCCCACTGCCACTCGCCATATGGGCGGGCGTGGTCGGCCTTTGGGCGCCCCATCGAGATGCTGAACCAGGACTGCTGCATGTTCTACGACGACTTGTCCGTCTACGAGGGCTTCGGGGGGGTCGTCCTCGCCAAGGAGGAGGGCGAGCGCATTGCACAGGCCCTCGGGCCAACCCGTAAGAACGTGATATTGCAGAACCACGGGTAAGTGAGCACCTCTGCTCAAGCTATAAATCCGGACGCTTACATTGCTATTAGTATCCTCACTGCAGGCGGCACTGTTGACGAGGCTGCTGCGTTCTTCATTGCCCTAGAGCAGGCCTGCCAGGCCCAACTCCTTGCGGAAGCTGCCGCCGCCAACGGGATCGCCAAGAAGTTTGTCGGCGAGAATGAGGCCAAGTTCACCAAGGAGGGATCTGGGAGTCCGGCGGTCATGTTCATGCAATTCAAACCTGAATACGATCTTCTTCTCCACGAAACCGGAGGTGACTTCTTGGCTTAATGGAGATGGCTACTCATGCATTGTACTGGAAGCATGCAACGAGACGCCTCTGATCTATCTAGCTAGTTGTCGCTTGGAGAATTCGAGTTTTAATAGCCAAAGAGCAACAAGCTGCTGTTCGAGCACCAAAGATTAGTCTCCTAAAATCACGTTCTGTGACAAAGATGGGTTGTAAAAGGGGGCCCGTGAACCTGCGAGTTGGAGGGCGGCGTAACGCCAAAGTTAAGCATAACACCTATTCTCGGCAAATGAACGGAATAAGACTCTTCAGGCTTCTCAGAGTACTCACAGATATGGACTAGTTAATTTCATACGGTGCACCACCACAAGCATATGGGACATTAAAAATAGCAAGTTCGGTATCTAGCTAGTCTGCTTCATGCTCTGACAACTTAACTTTATTCCATTTTCTCTCTCAAAACAAATATTTACAAGCATGACGGTGGATGTTCGGGGTTTGTGGAATATACTGTGTACTGATTTCCGTATCCAATATACAAAGGCATCCGACACCATATTCATTCTCCATGAAAACTGCGCTGTTGGGATAAATCATACCAAGAAGCACGAATGCCCCCGGCCAATATAGTTTCGCTTTCACTATCAAAGTGCACTCAGAGCCTAGATAAGAGCCCACTTGGCCCCAAGACAGAGAGATGATGCCTCGATATTTCCTTAATCGACGAACATCCCGCGAGGGCCATTGTTGTCCGGAACTCCTGCTCAAGAATATCGACCGCCAGCTTCACGCCCTCTTCACCGTCGTACTGCAGACGTCAGCTCCAATCCTCCAATACACATGTCTACCACTTACTGCGAGTCCCCAGATCGGGATGCGGCCGATAAAGCAGCAGTCAGCGCCGAGGGCCAGGGCCTTGAAGATGTCCGACCCACGGCGGATGCCTCCGTCGATGCCAATCTTGATCCTCCCCTTAGCGGCTGCGGCGCACTCGGGGAGAACGTCAATCGTGGCGGCTGCCCCATCTAACTGCCTGCCGCCGTGGTTGGATACAATGACGCCGTCGATGCCGTACCGGATAGCCAGCAGGACATCCTCTGCGCAGTAGACTATTCGCCCGTGTCAGCATGGTGATGTCCGGGTAACATGGAAAAGGGCCACTGACTTCCTTTTAGCCAGATGTCTAGCTTGGTGTGGGATCTGACCCATGGTACAACGGAAGCCCACGAGTTGCTCGCGTCTCTGCCAGGGTTGGCAATGGTTCGAAGACCGCCCAAATTGGGCAAGCACATGGAATCCGGCAGGGTGACCTTGTTTCGGAGCTCACCCAAGCGCCTCCCGAGGACCGGAGCGTCTACCGTCAAAACCAGGGCTTTATAGCCAGCATCTGTCAATTCGTCAGTAGAGTGCCTCCCACGAGTACCTGTGCACAGACGACCTGCCTTCAGCCCGCTTAATCAATCCCAAAGGAATCGACCGATCCTTTGTGATGCTGAGCTGGAAGACGTAAGGGTTCGTTGCGTCTCCTCGCTCCTTGATTACATCTTCCAGAGAAGTGGTTGAATATGTGGACAGCCCCATGGGGATATTCTTGCAAGCAGCCGCCCTCGACGTTCCTCTCTCGGCAACGGGATGGGCCAGGCCGTGCATGGCAGAGGGCGCAAAGGCGAGAGGCAGAGACACCTCGGATCCGAATATCCGCGTGGTCGTGTTGACTGACGCGACGTCAACGAGGATTCGCTGGCGGATCTTGAACTTGTCATACGCCGTTTCATTCTCCCGCAGGCTGAAGATTGGTAAGTGGACAGGCCCAAATTGAGGATTTACTCTTCACGTACGTCTTCATCTCCATGGCCCCGCCATTGAAATATCCTTTTGTTTGAGCTTGAGTGAGAATTTGCTCGCATGTAGATCAATGGGTCTGGCATTGCCACATACCTCGTGTTGTATCGCTCAACTTGGCTGTTGCTGCCTCCTTTAGCTCAGCAATTGTGAGAACATCTTCCCGGGGCGTTGTAGCCATGGTCATGGTTGTTCGGGGTTTAGGGCAGGAGGAACAACGTGCAGCCAGACAGAGTGAGTGCAAGGAATTACGGTGTTCACACCAAGACACCAACTTGATATGGCGGCTTCACTTAAAAGCTACATGGTGGAGAACCTCCCAAGTCGCAGCAGTGCGGGCCAGGCCGTCCAGCATCGACTGCAACCAATCAGCCATGAATCGTCCGACGGCTTCATGCAGGCCTCGGGTGACTTCAGAGGACAGATAACGGACTATGATGCAGCGATTTAGTTGCATGGCTGACTTTTCTCCCGACCTCCAGTAAACAGCTGTGCCGGGACGAGCCGATTAGTTCTGTGGCCTCGGTCAGACCCATGAAAGGGGATGCGGGTTGTGCCGGGCCCTGACCCCGACAGGCTGCGACAAGGCACATGCATACAGCAAAGCTGGCTGATTTTCAAGCTGCCAAGTTTCCTGTGGAGAAGATACACAGGATTCAACATAATTCACGTTGGCCTCGGACCTCGTCCGTAGAGTACATCAGCCCCCGTTATCATTGTCATGCCTCAACCTTACTTTACCCAATCTGTCCGTAAACCAGCCAGCCTAAAAGCCATTTCAAAATTTCAACCATGGTGCTAGTTAAAAAATACCATCTGCCGCCTACGGCTCTGATGCCCAACTCGCCGAACCCTCTGCTGTACTACCCCGGCTACTTTGCTGAGCAAAAAGGCCTCCCCAAGACTCTTCACCAGATCTTCGACGACAACGGGTGGGAAACCCAATGGATCTACCGCTACGGCCCGACGCAGCGCTCTCATTACCATGCCACCGTTCACGAATGCATGGTCGTGCTTTCTGGCACAGCAACTATCCGCTTCGGGGTGGCAGACCTTTCCGAGAACATGGTAGAAAATACGTGGGGGACCGCCAGAGAGGCTGGGGGAATAGAGATTAAGGCCAGGGCTGGCGATGTATTTGTGCTCCCGGCCGGCACGGCGCACAAAACCTTTGATACGAAGCCGGCGAGGTCGTTCACGTTGCTCACGCCTGGCGATGGGCATCTCATTCCTGGCGGGGACGTAGGAGCAGTACTGGAGGAGACGGAGCAGCGGTTGGAGGGCTTTACCATGATGGGGGCGTACCCGGCTGAGCGGCGAGACTGGAATACTCAGAGAGGAGGGGAGGATTTCGGTGCTTATCAGAGGGTCTGGTCGGTCCCTAAACCTGCCCTTGACCCGGTACTTGGGCATTCCCAGGAGGGGCTGTTTGGACAGTGGTCGGATTATGGCCTTTCTGCTAAGCTCTGACTTGCTTCACGGCGCATTTCTTACCTAGATTATCCAATCCATTGCTATTATAGCCAACCAGCATTCAATTTTCAAACGCGCGGATCTCACAATTACGCGTGGACTTAACCAAGCACCTACCTAGGAACATGTACGGGTATGACACTTATGTTAGGTCATATGCGCTTCTGACCCCATATACATGAATCAAAATGAAGCACGATTTGTCCTTCACGTATCATATTAGTTGATTTGGTGGTTATTAAAGTAAGGAGGATCTCTATTGTTATCTCTTTATAATAAATACTACAATTTTATGTGTGATGTCAGGTTTGGCATTTTCGATTGCTGTGATTATTAGTATTACTTCATGCTCGAACTCTCACTGGATTAGTATTTACAAATTATCGAAATTTAGTCAAGGTCAAATTATACTATAGCTGCTCGTGACTGACCACGGAATATGTAAACAGTATATCAATATTTTAATGGAGCTATGGTTTACTCTCATACTAAAATACAAACAGAAACAACATTTGCAACCCTAAAGCCGGGATCGAACATGACACAGTCGACTGTGCAAGACCCTTGAAAGTCCTCCGTACCATACGTTAAGCTACGAGCGTTGACGGACCATTCCAAAGCATTATGTATAAGTCAAACTTGCCAGACAAAGGCTACATTGGAACAAAGGCTACATTGGAGGGAAAATTCCCTGTTGATCAAATAAGCCCTTGTATGCACCAGCAACTAATTGACTACCAGTAGGCGCCAGTTTCCACGACTTGCAGCGGTGATCAGAAAAGACTGTTGTCGGCGCAGGTGAATGGCCCGCTGACCGTGCTCTTGGGATCACGGAAGAGGGTGATGAGCGAATCGATAGAGGCGTACATGCCGGCCGTGTTGAGAAACACCCCCATCACCACGAGTCCCCAGTTGAGGCAGGACAGCGCGATCATTGCCGGGCTGCTAAGTTGCCTCTTCCAGTTGAGGTGCAGCCAAAAGATGCCCGGCAGCCCAAATGAAAACCAGGCCACAAGGAGGGCCGAGGACACAGCGATGATGGAATTAAACACGGGGATCGCGTTGGCCAGCGCGAAGACCATGGCCCAGTAGAATGTGGCAATGGTCACCCACACGCCCCAAGATTTAACCGTGTTGGTGGTCAGTTGCTGGGGAACCTTGAGCAGGTCGCGCATGACGACGACGAAGATGTACTTTATGCCGGCGTGCCCGTAGAACATACCGGTGCTAAAGAGCGTCAAGAGGAGGATGCCGTAGGCGATCTTGGCCGGCAGGAGAGGGGCGGTGCCTATCGCGGGAGACGTCACGTAGTCTCCAGCGAGGCCGTAGATAGCTCCCCCCGTTATCATGTACATGGGGATGGCAAAGGCCTGGAGTATCACGAGGGAGCCGACGTAATCTTTGCTGGGGTCCTTCATCTCGGCCATGACCATGAGGAACCCCTGACGACCTCCAAATGCATAACAGATACTGAGTAGAGCCGTAAAGCCTTCCTGGAAGGTCGGATTCCCTACCAGCTTTATATGATGGTCAAAGCCAGGAGGCGCAGTTCTGGGCGAGCCGACGGCGAGTGAGATGATGACGATGAAGATTGGCACGATGATGCCAAAGGTGGCCGGCCCTGTTGATATCCATCAGCAATATTCGGGGCAGACATGTTTGAAGAATATACTTGCATGAGAAATAAGCCACAAAGTTCATGGTTCTCGGGATGCACAGGACATAGCAAATCAACGCAGCCACACCGACAAAACCAACCGTGCACATGCTGTGCGCCGTCAGGGTGTTTAAGGCAACGCTTATCGCCAGGGTGGCCGAGGAACAGGCAAGGCTGAGGTTTATGACGAGGCCGACGGCTCCTACGGCGGCAAGGGCCTTGCCACCCAGAACTCGCAGGGCATCCGGGAGGTTGTCGATGTGCGGGTACTTACGCCAGTAGAGCAGGAGGACATATGCTGTGTAAGTCGACAGAAGTCCGACTCCAAAGATGGCTATGAGGCCGGGGATCAAGCCGAGACGTTTCAGCACCGACGGCAAGGCGAGGATACCAATGCCGACTTCCGTGTGGATGAGCACAATGGCAGCCTTCCATTTGCCGAGGACGCGGAATTGCTTGCCCCCGGCTGCGGCGGCAGCACCGAAAACGCCTTCGTTGGTGGCATCGACAGTCGTCTTCACTTGGCCGACGTGCTCGCTGGCCACTTCAGGGTCTATCTGTGATTTTGTCATGTCTAGCTTGCTCCCATCCGCAAGACCGGAGTCTTTGCCAACGACAGTGGCCATGTTGAGATTGAAATGATTGCAAGTCGCCGAGATTATGGGCGAACAAGAGAACAGAATCTCAGAGGATGAGAAAACAAGATGAACCTTGTATTCAGAGTCGAGTCAACAGGTGATGTTATATTCGTGCCCAGACTCTCTGAGCCTTGACCACGGGCAGTACGTTGTTTAGAGGAATCCGGCTTGGGCCGTAGAGTATCCAGGGTGAGGTCGGAGGCAGTTAGTGCTTTGGGTATCAGATTGGCGAATTGAGGGTGGATGGTTGACTGCCACCGGCAATGATGTCAATAGCAGGGCCAGATCCCAACTCCTAGGACAAGCTGGTGTCGTGGGAGATGGGGAAAACCGCCTTCTGTTGATAACGACCCACTGGTTCCCAGTCTTGTTATTCCTCCCACCCTGCAAGGTTCAAGACAGGTTGGGCGAGCATCTCAACAACTCCACACCAATGAAGTTGGGTGCTCCGGATTGAAGATGGCCATGGGCTCAACTGGGCCAACAACCCAACCGAGCCGAGTCATGATTGATAGCCTTGACTCATGACGCTGCCCGGCTATAGAGTACCTAGGTGTGTAGAAGTGGCTAAGCGAAGCGGGGACGACCGAGATGCGGGGAAAGGTTTCGTTGATGCAGGGACGTATTCAGATAATCGGAACGACCCTATCTTAGTCGTAATTGTTGAATGGAATTAGGATTAATGCGGGCAACAGGGCTTGAAGTGAGTGCAACGGTTCCATCCACATCACGTGAGATGATCACGTTCAGGGGGCTTGCATCAACCAGACAACAGGAGATTGAGATACTTTAATCTATTTAGGGTTAAGTTCAAACTGAAAGTAACTCTTTTCTTGGCAGTGCAATAAGCTACATCTTCTCTCATGTAATAAATGTGTGGCTTATTAAAGATAAGAGCTTGCAGCTAGAAGCTCATAACGTGGCTAGCAAAGACTGGAATACAAGGATCATTAAGATAACGGAACGACCCTATTGGTCGCTCGGGCGGTTCCTAGTCATGCTTGGCAACCAGTCGCTGGTGCCGGATACAGAATTCCTTGACCTGCCCAACAAAGTCATCAATCACGGCTGGTTCCATGGTCAACATCAAGGCGATACTCCCACGCTGGTGAATCCAGTAGCCCGCCTCCAGCATCTCCAGCCAGAACAGCCGCTTGAGATCGGCATAGTCGTGCGGCCAGTAGTCGTCCTTGCAGTGAATCTCGTCTGCCCCTACGCCCGTCGTGGTGCAGTGGATGCACATGAGGGAGCCCACCCCCGTCACCGTGAACTTGGTCCCCGCAAACACCGCCAGCAGCTTGTTCCGCAGCTCCTCGCCTCGCTGGTTAAGGGCGTCGGCCGCTGCCGGCGTGTAGATTTCCTTCAGGCCCGTGTAGCCGGCGTTGAGCATGAGCGTGTTGTTCTGGAATGTCCCCGAGTGCGCCAGAGAGCCGCTCTGCCGCGGATCGTAGACGGCCATGATGTCCTGCCGGCCGCCAAAGGCCCCAAATGGCATGCCGCCGCCCAGGTACTTGCCAAAGGTCTTCATGTCCGGCGCCTCGTCCAGCGTCGCGGCCAGACCCGCCGGGTGCAGCCGGGAAGTCATCACCTCGTCCAGGATGAACACTGCTCCGTGCTACACGATCTTGTTAGCCTTAGTCCACATTTCCATACTCCATGTGTGTGTGAAGCTTGCCTGCCGAGTCTGACGTCGTATCGCGCGCAGGAATTCCTGGCTCCCTGCCAGGCCGCCCCCGGATCCTTGCATAGCCTCGACCAGCACGGCGGCAATGTCCGCGTGTTCTTCAAAGACTCTCTCGAGGGCTCTGATGTCGTTGTACTGCGAAACCAGCCAGTCCTGCGGGTCCACGTTGTTCGCAGCCGCTCCAAATGCAAAGGAGAGGACGCTGCCATGGTAGCCGCCTCTAAACACTACCACCTTGCGCCGGCCGGTGAAGCGCCTGGCCGCCGCGACGCAGTGCAGATTGGCCTCGGTGCCCGAGTTGGCGAAGCGCACAGTGGGGATGTTGAACCTCGCGCACAGCAGCTCGGCGTACTTCTTCTCGTAGACGTTGGTCGCGCCTAGGCTGAGTCCGACATTGTCCAGCACATGCATCATGGCCTCCTTGATCCGGGGGTGCGAGTGTCCGTAGATGGCGGCAGTCAGCTCGCCCACAAAGTCCTGGTATACGTGGCCGTCCAGGTCGAATAGCTTGCTGCCCTCTCCACGGTTCATGACCACTGGGTAGGGGGCCGTGTGAAGCAAAGAGCGGGTGTTGCCGCCAGGAAGACTCTCCACGGCAGACTGGTGATACTCGAAACTCTTCGGGTTCCGGTCGTTAAAGCGCTGTTCAGCACTTGCAAGTGCCGTAGCACAGTCTTTGGAGTTCGCCATTGGTAATTTGGAGTGGGTTGGAATAAGTTCATCAAGCTGCGTCTAGAACAAGTAGACTCTTCGTTCAGCACCATGATTCACAGCCCCGGGTCAAAGAGTATTTTGTGGTATTTAAGCTCCATCTAGTGAAGTCCGACACCAGTCGTCGGCCGAATACGGCGCGCATGTACACTTGCCATCATATCCCCGCTCCAAAACTTGTGTATAGGGGATTCGACTCGGAACGTGCCGAGCTACGAGGCGTCTGCCCGTTGATATATCCGTCTCTTTCGTTAGGCGATTTTGAACTAATTGTGTCTATTTATCAGCTGTATAATCTATCTTCTCTTCTTCTGTTAATGCCAAAGGCACAATAAAAAAGAACTTGATGCTACTTCCAACTTGTGAATCATTTGTAGAACGACAAGCTTGCGGCAATGGTGACCTCTCAACGCAACGCAGTCACCACAGCAGAGGCGCCCGGCCCTTATACAATCCTCTCGCAAGCGGTCGTCCACAACGGGCTGGTCTTCACGTCCGGATCGATTGGGATGGATCCAAAAACGAACACCTTGGTCGAGGGATCGATTGCCAAACGCACAGTCAGTCCTTCCGCCCCTCCCCCTCGATTACCTCCAATATATGACGAGCATTCGCTAATTCAAGCCTCAGACACAAACCCTCACAAACATGACCAAGGTGCTGGAGGCTGCTGGGTCTGGATCGGACAAGATCCTCAAGGTTATCATATACGTCACGAGCATGGACGACGTGCCCGTCATGAACGAGGCTTACAAGGCGTTCTTTGCCGAGCCTAGGCCGGCCAGGGCCTGCGTGTGTGTCAAGGCGTTGGCAAGGGGCACGGATGTCGAGATGGAATGCACTGGGTTTATTTAAGAAAGGTCATCACACTCGCAAATACAACACTATATATATTTCAGTGAAATGGTTGAACCCCAGTGAAACCTCAGCGGTGTCCAAAACTACCACGAAACATCTCCGTGTCCATCCTAAATCATCTCTGCTAACAGTTGTTCTACAGAGGTGCACATGCCCACGTCAGCCATATCCATCAGGTAGTGAGATACCTGGTCAGCCTGGTAGGCCGACAGCGCAGGCCCGCGGGGCGACCCACGGATGCCGCTGTCCAGGTCGACGAGCATACTCTGCGTGGCGTTGGAGAGGATCTCAAATGTGTCCCGGTAAGGGGCCACGGACGCCCAGCGCTCTGTCATGACGACCAAGATCATCATGCAGTTGGTGCAGGTCGATGCAACTGTATCACGTCGGATTGCCGCGCGAGTCTCCGAGCTCGTCCACAGACAGTGGATGTATGTGAGGCCGGCCAGGAACACGACGTGGAGAACAGCCCATGTGTCATTCAGTCTCTGGGTCATGTAGAGCGCACGATATGCCTCGCAGATCCCCTGGGAGGAGGCGGCGCAGTCCAGAAAGACGGAGGCATTCAAGGATTGCTGGGCCGGCGACTGTGCGGACGGCCTCCTCCGCTGCTTCGTGACCAGGTGCCCACGGTAGAGCAAGAGGATGGAGTGATGGTACATCAGCTTGTACCATTCGGTGCTCCCAAAGGCATTGTTCGCAGCACGTCCTTGCGGCAGCTCTCCTGGGGCCGTTTGCTGCCACTCTCGGAGCTCGTCCTTGAACATGCTCTCCAGTAGACTGTTCCCTGCCGACTCTGAGCCTCTTGTTTGGGGGTATATCTGGCTCTGCATGCGGCCCCAGATCTTTCGAAGCTTGATCGTATGAAGGGCGGACGAGACCACAGTTGGTGGCTCCGTGGGTGAGCTTCTAGGCTGGCTGCTGATGCCCGTCGGGGTGATGCTGCTATCGTCAACGTCGAGAAACAACTCGACGTCAATGTCGCTATCAGCTATGCCGACCGGCCTCCCCAGCGTGACGGCAGCCCCGCGGTCGAGATTGTAGGAACACCAAAAGACCCTTCTGCGCATCTGGGTCTTGAGAGTGTTGGGGTCGACTTTTGCCCAGGGGATATCCCGATGGAGGCCCAGCTCGACGCACTGGCGTATGGCCAACCCCGACAACGTCCAAATAGACACGCCTATCGGGGATCTCAAGGAGTACATGGCGCAACACAACATCGCTTGGATGGCTTCCAAGTTGTTCAGCTGCAAGACGTGTTCGTACAGTTCTTCCCCTGCTGCGTACAGCCCTTCTGGCAAAGTGCTGCCGGCAAGGGGCCCCGTCAAGGAACCTACTGCTGCGACCATGTAGACAAAGTACGACCACACTGGATTCGGGGTGAGGCCATTCTCGCAAGCCGACATGACTGCATCCTCGTACTCGAGGAAAGTTGGTCTATGCAGGAAAGGGAACTGGGGGTGTACATTATCAAAATATGAGGTTGTCAGCATCTTCGTCGTCGCCCTATCCGGTAATGGAGCAGGAGCAGGTCGCGGACGTTCTTGTATATAGGGGTGCGTCATTCCATTCATCGATAATCCCGGCATATGGAACTGAGAGCCCCTCAGTCTTGCTGAGAACAGTTTTGTGAAGGAAAAAGATGACGATGAGCCAAAGTAGTGTGGTTCTCCGCCGGCGGCTCTTAGCAGAAGCAGGTCAAGCGATGAGGGTTCCTCGTCGGTTTCTTCGTCCCCTCCGGCATGGTCACCATGATCAGACTGTAGTTGGTGATCATGGTGATCGTCGGGGTGGCTTTACACATAGTCAGTACGGCAGTCAGAAATTCAAGATCAAGGCTGTACCTCTGTATCTGCCCGTTCATCTGCTCCGTAGCATCGACCACAGACGCCTCCGCTACTGGCCCTACGTCGTGTGAAACGTGGGTGGCGGTAATGGTGATCTCCTCTGGGGTTCTCGGTCTCTCTACGATGGCAGCGGAGCGTTCAAGCTGCGCCACTCGCTCTTCGAGGGTTTCGACATACCCTCGAGGATAATGGCGTCTCGTAGAGGGGTCCTCAATTATGCAAGCTTCCTCGACAGCGTTAGCCCAACCTCGCTTCGAGCAGGTTTGGAGGAGAGAACTGACTTTGCATTGTCTTTACGCAGTTGCCACAAGCCGGAGCCCTCCCGTCGCACTGCGATTTCGTGAGCCGACGTCATCGTGAGCGTCCTTGATGCAAACCACTGAAACTAACCTTTTGCTTCTTCTGTTGACAAGCCAAGCATGCAACCCGGGCACGTTTGCCATGGGCCCGGGCTCGAGGGGGCGGAGGACTTGCCGACATGATGGCTCCAGACTTCCATGAGGAACCGTGACAATGAGGAGAAGCACCAGAGTTGGATTGACCACAATGGAGCAGGCCCTGTCCTGTACCATGACTCTCGTTTCCCCGCCTCCCTTATCAACGACCCACTGCCACCACCAACACAACAACGCTATTCCAACCGGGAGCCTTCGAAAAGATTAGCCACTGGCCCCTGTTACCCCGCTGACCCAGTGCTGGGCATAATCATGGTGGAGACGCTATTGACTAGTCAAGTAAAGCTGGGGTTTATTGTTATCATCACCCTCCTGCATAGCAAACTACCTGCACATTACTTTACACTATATCTATTTACTTTGAGAAAGATAGCTTGAACTCTCGATGTTAATAAAAAGAAGTATAAGTCTCACGCCTTAGCTTCAGCAAAATATATCTAATCTTCTTTCTTTCTTTGCTTTTTGAAGAACAGTGATCATTGCAAACACGAGCACTTGTGGGCCAACTTCTTATTATCAACAACCAAATGCGGATTTCAAGCTTTCTATTGACAGATGAAGACATCTAAGATTCTTACAACTTCTGGCTGAGCTTGAAGATGAAGGAACACAGAAACGGAGTTCGTTCTATGACCAATGAATACGCTTTCAGACAACTATCACTCCAGGAACAGCTACTTCAGACACAGTAATTTCAGCACGAACCGACCCATCCTTTCCAGACATACAAAAGTCCTCCAAAGCCAGGTCGGCAGCCTTCCCAACTGAAACCTGCGACAGTGGCTCTTCTCCCAAAGGAACCGCGAGGGGGGGCTTGTCTGAGGAATCGAGATAGCCCGTCGTGGACGACTTCAACTCCTGGGCCATGATCATGCCATTGCCCATCCAGGCCAGACTGTCAAGCTCATCAGTGTCGTTTGATTCGTAATCAAAGTCCTCGAAACGTGGATGCGCCAACGTCGCTCGCTGGTGGACCGCGGAACCAGGCCAGTAGCCAAGCATTCTGCCGTTGGCGGTTCTCTTCGCCCAATTATTACACTAGAGACCATAAGGCGTCAGTAAGCTCGTATCACAGGCGTGTTTGTGTGCCATACCGTAAAGGCGAATGTCGTCTTCGCAAAGTATCGATCGACTTGCTTCATGAATGCCTTGATAGCGGATTGCCTATACTCATGATTAAACACGATACAAACGAGTTCCAGTGGCCATCCATCGACATACTTGGGTTTCATCCACCTGATATTCTCCCGCTGGATCTTGAGGATACATTTAATCATATATTCGCAGGTGACCTCGCTCATCTGAATGGTGGATCCGGCGCCCGGTGCGCCATTTGGACCGACAAAGAAGAAGCAGTTCGGCATCTCGGGGGGGCACATGGACATGTATGCGGCTGGTTCATCTTCCCACAATTTATCTAATGATACGCCATTCTTGCCATATATCGGGTTGTGGTCCAACCTCAAAGACCTGTTCCACGTCAGCCACAGCACGAAACACCAGGTCTGGGCAACTCTCACGTATCGAAACCCGTTGCGCAGATGATCGCATCCACCTCTCTGAGGACTCCGTCGTCGCCAACGATTCCTGTCTCGGTCACCTGTCTGATACCCTTGGGAATGAAGTTGAGTTTGTCTTCCGTCAGGGCTTCGAGATACTTGGGACCTGGGGAGACCCGGCGGCATAGGACCGGGTAGCTTGGTCTGATGGCTTCGAAGATCTCTGGCTTCTTGGCTAGCCTCCTCAGCATGGAATCTTCTGTTGCTTTTGAAAAGGTCTTGTTCATATCAGAGCCGACCCAGTGGACAAGCTGGAAGTTGTTCACAAAGTTTTCAACCTTGTGCCGGTAGGCCAGATTGGCTTGCGGGTTCGTCGCAAACTCCTGCTGTTCTGCAGGCGGGTGTGCAACTAGTATTCAATCAGCCAGCTGCTATTACCCTACTCAGAACGGTCGACGTACAGTTGTGTACATCGCCACTGGCCTTTCGAGGGTCAGCGGCGACGTAACCGGCTGGGGAGATCCAAGCTTGTCCTCTCACGTAATGATCCATATACTTCACTTTGGGCAGGATGGCGGGCACTAGCTGCACAGCTGTGGCGCCATAACCTAGAACAGCAACTCGCTTTCCCTCATACTCGAAGCTTTCGTCCCAGTTAGCACTGTGGACGAGATCACCTTTGAATTTGTGAAGGCCGTCGATCTTGGGCCACATCCACTTGTTAAGGTTACCGGTGGCCTTGACGAACACGTCGCAGTAGTCCTTGAAGACCTACGCAACGAAGATGTTTAGCCAATGCCCAGATAGAAGTTTGCAGTGATTACTCACCGTGTTGTCCTCGAGCCTCAGCATCGTCACCTCCCACTTTGCCTCTGCGTCTAGCCACCGGGCAGACTTGAAAACGTGCCGGAACTTGACCAGTCTGCGGGCACCATACTTCTCCGCCGTGTCTTTGAAATATTTACCAATCTCGGGGCCCGGAGAAAAGAAGTGTGACCAGTAGGGATTATTCTCGAACGTGTATTGAAAAGATACCTAATCTGTGTGTGAGAAAAAGAAAGATCACACTACAACATAGACGAAATGCGTACCGAGGGAACATCTAGCCCAATGAAAAATGACTATCATTTAGCAATAGCATATGCGTAGCACCACTTGGCATATACTTACCACAAGTCACTCCTGGGTATCTAGATGTGGTATATTAGCGCCATAGGCTTGACAGTATATTGCAATCACTTACTTGTTTTCCAACCAAACACCCCCGACCTCTTCGTTCTTATCGTAGATGACTAGATCGAGGTTGGGTATCCTCTGCTTGAACCGAATGCCGCAAAGAATGCCAGACATGCCGGCGCCAATGCAGATGACTTTCATTGGGCGGGCATAGTCCACAGGGACGTCCCATGATTTCGGCTGAGCAGTCGTATGCATCGTTGCTGACGATTGAAAATATTTTAATTGCCTGTAGGTCTCTAATCTCTTTCTCAATTTACTTGTCAGGGGATGGTTATATCTGATTCCGTCTGCTCCAGTGCACAACTTGACTGTCACCCCCTCGCCACTCGGCAGGACCCGCGATGGGAATTGCGTGAGTTGCACCAACTCGGACAATTTGCTCGTCGGTCCCCTGTGCCATATTTCCACAGCCTGACCATATCTTTGAGAATTCGAGACGATAGGGCGGGTTGAGCCACTTGGTCGGGGCGCCCCGGCTGTCGGAGAAGAACCTGATGTTGCTCTTGTTCACGGCCGGCTCGACCCGAGGCCAACGTCTTGGGCCGGTCGGCATCGGCCGTAGTACACGTTGGATGGGGCCAATGCGCCTAAATACTCTTAACTGCTTTTAAGACTTGAAATCATCATCGAGGCATGGTCGAGTTTGTACGGAGTCTTGAGGGCCTGGTGAAAGCAGGCTAATTCCGACTCTACATGTGATGCGCCTCTTGGTCTGTCGAATGCGGTTCGGAATGTTCTTCACTTCTAGTAAGTAAAACAGGTAATCCTATTGTTTCCAGCGATGTATGCCAATATATGCTCGGTGAGAATACATGAATCTATGCACAATGGTTGCCTCTAAAAGAGCTGCTCTGTACATCATACAGCTGGTTTTCCCAAAAAGAAGAAAGAAAAAAAAAATCTCGGAGAAATTGAATCGTGCACCAAGAAGGGTGTTCATCTTCTTTTAGGATTAAATCTTTGGGGTAGGGAGCGACATCCAAAGACCCTCACAAGTGGCATACTTTTTACCATTGCCATCCTCAACCGCGACATCCAAATACATCTTGCGACCTTCGACTCTGTTCAGCGTAGAAGTCACCACGACCACAGCTGGAGTTTTCAAAGGCTTCTCCAGGCGCATGTTCATACCCGCGGTGAAGTACTGAATCTTGCTCAAGTCCAGCGTTCCCGGTGGCGGATTCCAGTCGTGCTCCTGTTGCTTTTGCATCTGGAGCACGAAGTTGTGATATAGCAGACCGCCCATGGAATCATCTATAAGCACGGCCATAAAACCGCCATGCGTTGAACCGTGGTAGCCGTTGACACCGGGTTGCAGGTCAAAAATTATGGACGATGAGTTGATAAGCAACCTTGGGTTTGCAGCAGATGTTGGTGTTCCTGGTTCGGAACTGCTAGCTGGATCTTGATAGAACCCAAGGCAATGGGGCACCGCATCTGAATTGTTGAGTGTTTTCCGCAAAATCTGATCTTGCGAAGCAGGGAGCCCCGTAGCATCCACCAAACGACAACTTGGGGTGAAGATGGTAGTCCCAGGCCGGTCAAGAAGGGCCGCACACCATGCGAGAGACCTGAAGCGTTGTTCAGCCTTCTGAGTCGCTGGATCCATGTTGTGCAGATTCGGATCTTCTAGCAGTGATTTGAAGAAAACTGTCTCAGTTCAGTAAGTGATCCTTCAATATGATCTGAAGGGAGACGTGAGTGGCGCAGCAAACTCCAAGATTTATGGACCCAACCTCGGTAGACCGACTGTTGGATCCACTTTCAAGAGAATGCTGGAGACCATAATTTGGGGCTAACGAAAAGAGGATATGATTTTCACATGTTGCGGTGCCCTGTCTACCTACATGGGGGTTTCTCACAAGCAAGAATGTATCCGTCGGTGTATGTAAACCCGAAATGTGCCACTATCGAACCTGAACAAGAACGTTCCGAAATATCCTCCTAGTCCTGAGTGCATTGGTTGCTCATTAACACTTCTCAGAGTCGAGGATTACAATATGCTACATTCCCTCCAATTTGGCGTAAGAAAAAGGGCAAGTAGCTACGCCTCTAGCCTGGATAGTCTTAATGTCGGCTTTCATCTCATCAATGCCTTTGCCTTTCTGCGGCTCCGGGCCTATAGTCATCAAATCGTAACCCTGTGGGTAGAAGCGGTCACCTTGGGAACCGGGCACCCTTCCTCCCGCCGCCCGGATTAATAGAGCACTGGGGCCCCAACTGGACCAGAACGTGGGTTCCATGTACCAAGGTTGTAAACCTTTCCGCTCAAAGTTATACTTGCCAGTTTGTGGATTTGGGGACACCGACAAGGCTTTCACGGATGTGTGTCGAGGAAGCGATAAATGCCTGATATATAGGATTCGAAGGTTTCGGACGGTCCGAATGAGCAAGGACTGAAGGGCGCCGGGAGCCTCCAGCCTGCATTTCAACGAAATCGCATGGTCAGCAAGTTCAGTCCACCCATAACTTGAATGAAAATACACACCCAAGACTTGACCTCATGGTATCATCCAAGTCGGCACCGAGGGTTTTCCGCATGGTCGCACCAACCCATTTTGGCATGGAAAGGAATGCGGAATCTACATAGGCGTGTACGTATTGGGCGCTGGGGCCGTTGGGAACAGCCACTGTCTCCTCATATTTGATGGTCCAGTCGCGTAGATCCATTGCAAAATGAACCCCATCTCTCCATCCCTCTTCGCTGGATGATAGAGGGTCGAACGGGATGTCCAAATCCTCGCCGAGATTCTTATGAAACACACCCAAGGCGCACTTTTCCACATCCGTCAGCTTGCGCCATTCATCTCTTTCGATAACGGTCAGAATCTCGGCGAGGCCATCCCCTAGTGTATGGAGTAGATCGGGGTCTGTTATCTTCCCAGCGCGTCGGTACCGCTCGTGGCTAGATTTGTCAGTTGAATTCCAGTTAGCTATCTCATTCCGCTGCCACATACAGGTAGTTCACGCGAGCAACAGCCATGGCATAGCGTTCGGAATCCCGAGGCATTGTCTGCGACTCTCGAAGGAGAATCTCTGTATCAACGGCACGCCTACCAGCGTTTCTCCGATTATTTTGTCCCGTCACGGCAAACAACTTCGACATGGAAGGAATACCGCCGGCCTAAGACGGATGACACACGGGCTTAGTATGAAAGCTAGTATATAGTATGAGTACTCATTAAAACTCAGACGGACCTTCAATAAAGCCATCTGGCGCGCCTTGGCGAAAGCGTAGGGAAACTCAAGTTCCTGCAGCTGAGCGAGAATCTCAAAAGCTTCTTTGCCAGTCATCGTTGACAATTCCCGTCCCCCGGACTTGAACTTTGCTTCTATCTCATCTCTTCGAGCGTAGCGGTAGGATCTCACGAGAATCAGATAGCCCACAAAAGTGAAGGGCAGGAAGACATATATATAAGTGCGAATGATAGCCCATATTGCTGGGATGTCGCCCAATGATAGAATCATCATGACGTTGTAGTGAAAATCTGACTCAAGAAGTCGCCGTCGTTTCTTTCAATGGTAATGCCCACTGTATATCGATGCCTGAAAGATCACTCGACATAATGAACATATCAGCTCAAATAGTTCAACTCGAAAGGCGAGCTAATCTTTTCTAAGTTGCGAAAAGGGTTGTGATGAGTTGGGCCCACCATACATTTGACAAAGCCGAGGCTCAAGTGTGGGCCATGGGGACGAGACCCCAACAAACACGCCAGTGTTGAGCCATACAATGTAACGATCTGTCAGTAAGAGACCGAATGCAAGGGTTTATTTGTCTCGGAGGATGACGCTCCAGACTTGGGCACATATCGAGCGGGGCGGCAGTGTGCCCATGGTTGAATGTATACTGCCTCATTGGGCCGCGTCGTGTATGTGTGCCATTTTGGAGCCATTAAGTTATCCATTTGAGTGGAGTTTCTATTCGTTCGTTTGAAATGTTGGGCTTGGCATCCTAATTCCTACAGTTGACTTTGTACCCCAACCCTCGATGTTGTATTTCTCAATCTTTTTTTGGGATACATTGGTTCATTTGAAAGGAGAAAGTCTATTTGAAGAGATTGACGGACTTGGCAGTAGAATAATTAAATTAAAGGTTGAGGTCTAATCCGATAGGGGGAGAGAACTACTGGATATAGCAGTACCTTAAAGTCGAATAACGAACATCTGTTCGGTGATACAGGGTAGGCTTCAACAAACGATGACATATCAGACCCATGCCACTAAGCCATTTCTAGTTTACTATTCCAGATGAGAAGGACATCAGTGTCCATGCGCACATGGGAAATTGAAAGGGAGTGAACCCGCGAACCTCGTAGGAACAGGTGTGGACGACAGCGGGGGACTGGCTTGACCCTGATAAATTAGTCAGTAATCCTTGAAGGACGAGCGGAGAAGGTCAATCATCGACTCTACAAGGGCCTACGCAGCTCATCCAATGGCAGAGGCTCAATCTGCTGACAAATTTAGACCCACAATATTCGTAGGTCTAGCGTCAAATGACGGAGAGCGAAAGCGGAAATTGAATTTGTCATCGGTTTCTTCTTTGCTCCCTTTAATTGATGATGCGGTCATGACGCCCGTTGCCGCCCGTTCTCTTGAATCCCTGCCACACATCTCGACAGCCGCCAAAATGGACGATAGTGATCAGTCGCCTGCAGGGCCAAGAAGGAAGCGCTTGCGGACCTCCCAGCGCCATGAAAAGGAGACTCAACATCCCCCACGCCGGACGCGTTTGGTGAGCCGCGCGCCGTCGCCAACGCCAACCGGCCAGAATGGCTTGCAGAGATTCAAGGAACTACTTGACGCGGCAATGGATGGGCGGGGCGTGTCGGAGGAGTTTTTGTCTCTGTCTTTGGCAATGTACAAGAATTGGAAACGTAAGCTACCCCCTCTTATCCACATGATCCAAACCACCTACCTACCTTAGCCCTGCGTCTTTATCTGATACTGAAAACGGGTTCTTTTCTAGGATCTGGTGCGGTTTATGATGATTTCTGTTTCGCATGTAAGAAATCGGATGACATTCATCCATGCATAACCTGCAGAAGACAGTACCATGAGTCGTGCAGGCCACAAAGCTCCGTTACGGTTGACCACGGGCCAGCAAAGGGCTGGTATTGCGACATATGTGTGGTGAGAAATTGGCACAATGAACCACCCACTCTCACACCGCCCGCCTCGCCACCACCAGAGACTTCTCGAGCGGTAGAAGAAGTCGAAAGTGGACGGCGGGATACTCATCCTCCCACTCCGCTACCCCAGTCCGAGGCAGTGCTGTCCTCTCGTGGACCCCAAGACCCATCTCCGAATCCAAGTTTGATTCACTCTACTCCTACAAGTCGCCCCACTGCTTCACAGAACACGTCACGGGCTAGTGGAACTGTGACAGCCCGTCCAGCTGCAACACCCACCCATACTAGGCCAGTGAACGTACCAGTTCCGCAAGCTCGGTCTACAGACATAGATACATACACGAGTTACCGGCCGGTGGGCACACGGCGATCTCGTTACACAACACTACCCACAGAAGTGGACTCTGCGCTTCGAGTCTTATACTCGGAGCTGGAAACGGCTGCTGAGCTTCGGCAACAGATTGGCGGGCTGGAGGGCCAAGTTAATCAGCTCCGCCAAGATCTAAATCTCAGAGATCGGGAATTACAAATGACACAAAAAGCTCTGCAATCAGCTCGTGCGTCGCAGAGTGAGCTTGCACAATTACGTCTGGAGGCTTCCCAGCGGCAAGGGTCCGTGGAAGAGGCAGCAACTCTGCGCGCTGAGAAGCAGCAGCTCGAAGATGAACTGAAGAATACCCGGACGCAGATGGATGAAATGTCAAAAACGCTGCAGCAGTGGAAGCAAAAGTTATCGGCATTGCTTGCTGATTGAGTGAAGCAGTGTGGTGTGAAGTTGCTGGTTACATCGGAGGGGAAAATTTAGTGACCATGATGATGACTAGGCCAGCTGTACGAAGAGCGAGCATAGATTCCACATGTAGCAAGAGTCTGTGATACGTAGTAATTACTACCCTTAATGTCGTAGCTGATTTCCTTATCCATGTATTTCTGGAGTGGCTTCATGTAGGACGGTGATGTCTCCCCACCCATCCCAACAGAAACCTCCGGAAAAGCCGGAACGTAGGCAGAGATAATTTGTCAGCTGAGAGCGGATATCTCTACCATGGCGCTTACTGCATTGCAGGGAGGGTTCCCGACATGATACGCTTGTGGAAGCTCCTATGGAACGAGCGGTGTTGGGAATGGATGTTGTGGGGCCTAAATTGGTCATCATACGCCCAATAGTAGCCAGTAACACGCACATGCTGCCGCTGCTTATACCTGTATGCCAATCATTCGTGTAGAAGAAGTGGTCCTCATCGATTTAGTAGAGCGAAAGGCTTTTCCGGTCCGCGGTCGGTTATGAAGCTAAGTCGACGATTGGTTGGAATGGGTGCCACTAGTCATGCTGACAGTTATTGTGCTGAGTGAACTGCCAAAGTAGCGTAAATGCTACTCTGGATACGCCCGGTTGTCCTCTACCCCGAAGTCTGCTCAGTTTGTCAGCTTCAGGTGAGGGGCAGTTTAGTCCAGAATCCTACGTCCATGCCACCTACTTATAGCTGGCCCATTCCTCGTTCTTTTGAGATCAAACAATAAGTTAAGTAGTGAATCTTATCCAAAGAACTAAGCAAAATGACTACCCAATCTTCTTCACAAACCGGCATTGTCCTTATTGATGCATACAATGACTTCCTCCATCACGATGGCAAGCTGAACCCGGCCGTCCGAGAGTCTCTCACGGCGACCGATACAAACAAGCATCTGAAGACGCTTGTCGATGCCGCCCGCGAACTGCATATTCCAATCTTCTACGCTATGCACCAAGAGTGGAAGGAGGGTAACTACCAAGGGTGGAACCACTTATCAACGTCCAACTCGAGACTCAACATGGCTAAGGCCTTTGAGAAAGGAACATGGGGGGCAGAGTTTCTGGAAGGTCTTGAGCCAGATGTGCTTGGCAACGGGGATGTAGTTGCCACCAAGCATTGGAACAGCAGGTAAGTCCTGCAATCACCGTACTACTATGGACTATCCAATTTGACAGCCACTTCTAGTGGATTTGTCAACACAGACTTGAACTATCAGCTGCGTCAGCGGGGAATCACTCACCTCGTCATGACTGGCATGGTTGCCAACACTTGTCTGGAGTCAACTGCCCGTGACGCCAGGGAGCTGTGAGTTTTATGCGTGACTTCTGAACCTGTAGAATACTTGGTACTGACTACATTTGGATGTACAGTGGCTTCCACGTGACATTGCTGTAAGAGTTTTCCATTATTCTTCAACACAATAATACGCGTGCATCTGCTAATTATACGTCGTTTAGGTCTGACGGTACAGCTGGGTTTACAGGTGCGCAGAAAGATGCCGCGACAGACCTTATCTGGCCGCTCATCGTGGAGAAGGTTATGAAAGTGGACGAATGGGTTAAAGAGGCACGCCAGAGCCAGTCGTAAATCTGAGAAGTGGGCTGGGAGTGGAACCGCCCCTCAACTCTGGTGTTCTGATGGATGATGAGTGTTCATCTTCTGAAGCTCGAATATTAGATAAGAAAGTTAGTGAACAGGGCTATCTAGATCTGAACACATCTTCAATTTTACAATTTGGTATACAGGATATCTAACTCAAAGACCCCGGTAAATATTAACGAATTTTGCCTCGTACAGGAACTGGAGAGTATCAAGTATTTATCCAAGTGCTTCTCTTAGCCTAGCTTTGGATAGCAACCTCGATGGTAGGTTTATACTCTTTTAGAGTGATCTTTTTCCCGCAGAAAAAAAAACATAGTTGGGCATAATTAGATGTGGATGGTGAGTAAGCTCGGGCGGTATGAGTGACTTTGGCGCTCGGTTATGCAAACTTGGTGTGTTTATGAGGCATTATTCTAATTAGCTGTTGAGAAGTGGGTTGCCATTGGGGATCAAAACTTTAATGGGTGTGAAAGAAATTCGACGATAGTTATGGTCAAGGAAATCAAGATTTGACTAGAAGGAGCGATTTTTGACTTCGTTCATCAACTCAAAATAGATATCTCTGAGGCGTTATTGTAGACTACTTCATCCGTCTATGTTGTTATCACATGCCGCCTTATGTTTCTCTACTGCTTGCACATGTCTACGAGCCTTTAGAATAAATAGCATGTATATTGTTAGCGATTCTATGGTGTCTAAGATAGCATTCGGTAGTCTGATGCTACAGTCTAAGATGGCCATCTATGGTTGCCTTGCCAGGAGGGGCACGAACTGTGCCTTAAGATCTTCATCCGTGAGCTGCGCAAGACCGATCAAATCATTGTCTACCTGGCGGTATTCGGTTTCATACTTTCCGCTCAGCATGATCGCCTTGATTAGTGCATATAGGGCAATAATATTGCCTGTATCCTTAGCAGCATTGGCCCTGGCTGCCTCCAGGGTCTCGACCGGGTCGACAGATATTTCCTTCCACTCAGCTCCTTCGGGTGCGACCGTTTTTGCCAAATCGAGGACCTTGACTTGGCTGACTACAGTCTCCTGAATGTGGAGGACGCGGTTCCTGGTCTTGTCCGCATTGAGCAGAACACCGGCCACTGCCTTTCCAACGCCTGCTATGCTGGTTGAACTTAGTCGAAGTTTCCCATCGCCGTAAAATTCCACCGAACGAGTGTGGAAGTTGACAAAGAGAGGAGTAGCAAAGACAAGGTCTAGGAAGGGGCCAGTAGATAAGATTGTGTATTCGATCATTCCAGCTGCGGCCTTCTCCTTGAGATAGTCTTGAATCTTAATGAAGGGTAGGAATGTCGGCTCGTCTCTGGCCTGCGGGTCCGCGCTCACCGATCCGTAGTCGCTAGGGATGAAACGTTTGACGCCAGCAAGAATGGCGGCATCAATAATGTCTTTCTGACCGACAATACCGGCAGCTCCAACAGTACTGACGACAGCGTCGTGGCCTTTCAGGGCCGAGGAAAGGCTGTCGATGGAACTGTAATCTGCCTGGACAGCCCGAGCTCCAGCAGGCATTTCATGGCTGAAGCGACTAATGACGGTGACGTCGAGGCCGTTCTTGAGAAGTTCAGCTAGGGCAGCAGAGCCGACGTTGCCTTTCTTTTCACGCTTGTCAGTGGATTACAGGGAATAATAGGTACAAGGCTATCACCTACACCAATAATCGCCACTTTCTTGATAGAACTCATGTTGAAGGAAGTTAAGGGCTTAAGTAGTGAACAACTTAGCGCTAGAGGCGGTGGATTGTAGAGAGCGACCAAATGAAGGCTTAACAATGACTTCAAGCTCTATTTATTCAAACTCTCTCCGTTGCTTAATTACTCTTTGCGATCTGTTTCGGGGTTTTAGTTTGGCCCGAGCCGTTCCATGAAGCATGACATTTCGTTCTTGCTTATAAATTCCTAGAGGAGTTGATCCGATTCAAAAGCGCCGCTCCGCTATCACAGTAACCCCGAACGAGCTAAGCACGTAATTGTGTTGAAAAGACTAGCATGGGCGTTGGCCCTTCGAGGGGTGGTGACATGCTGGCTGAAACCCCACGCGGACCATTCGGAGGCTAGGAGTGTTCCGGCCGCCAAACGCTGCATAGCCCACAAATTAGGCGTAAGTTACTCCTTTAACACCAGCATGCCAAGGAATGGTGGTTGTAGAGGAAGGTGGCTGAGTTTGATCTGTTTTTATGCTTGTTATCTAGTGGTATTAGGTCGGAGTAATCTCAACTCTATATGCCTAAGTTAAGAACTGATATCTAGTGAGACTGTCACTACTTGAATCTATTTTCATTATGTTGATATTTTAGGTCTGGCATCTTTCATTGCTGTCTTTGCTTTGTACTCGAACATTTACACGTATTACTACTTGGATATGGCTTTCTATATCTTGACTAGATATCCCCGCAACATTTGGAAAGAGTCTCAGAGAAAATTGTGAAAGCTGCTTTATATTGCGCTGACTTTTTATTCTAATACGGCCACCTAGTTTATTCCCCCAGATAGCCCAATGTTTTAATGACGAAATTAGTTGACCTTGAAGATAACCTTTTGCGCCTTAGCTTGGTCGAACAATTCATACGCATATTTGAAGTCTTCCAAAGGAAAGACGTTGTCAAACATGAATCTGGCCTAGTTTAGCGATACCCAGAGTGTGGAAAGATGGCTTGAAAAGTTGATTACGAACCCAAAAAGATGTTGCTTCTCTGCAAGGAGTTCTAGCGCTTCCCCAAAAACACTCCGTACTGGGCACCGGCCCATTTGTAATTTTAAGTTCTTGCTGCTCTCGCTTTAGCATGTCGCTCATGGTAAATGTTGTTGTGGCACTCTTGGCTTAGAAGCTCAAGCAACTTACCCGTATGCTTCATTTCCGGTCCATGGAATCTGCGTCTTCGGTTAGCCAATGATGCTACGCCTGGACAGTTGCTGCATAGACCTCTGCGTTGTGGACTCCAATGCTGACGATGGTGCCAAAAGGCCTGACAAGGTTAAATGCGGTACGCAAAGCGGGCGAGAGTCCGACCACCTCCACGACGATATCCGCTCCCCTACCGTTGGTAACGTCTTTGATTCGCTTCGTCATCTCCTCATCACGAGTAAGGTAGTTAATAGGCTCAGCACCCAAAGCCTGAGCTTGGGCAAGACGGTCATCAACACCGTCGATAGCGAACAGGTGGCGAGGTTTCAAGTGAGCGGCTGCTACGATGGCACAAAGACCAACTGGCCCGCAACCTATCACAACCACAGTGGCATCTTTGATATCAACATCGTTTGCTAAGCGCACGGCGCTTTTGATACCGTAATAACCCGTGGGAAATATGTCGGCCATCAATAGGAGAGCTTCGTCTGAGACTGTGCCAGGGGCCTTGAAGACTGTGCCGTCTGCAAGAGGGACACGTACGTATTCAGCCTGACCGCCATCAAGAGCGGGTGTGCCAAAGAGTCGACACTCTACGCAACGTGCGGAGCTTCCCGTCGTGCAGTAAAAGCATTTGCCACTAGGAGAAGTAAAGCTTTCAGTAAAAGCCTGAAAAGCCTACTTGGGCGAGAATTGTGACGATACTCACCATGAGACTGTGAACGGAGAGACGATTTTGTCGCCAACAACTACTGATTGTACGGATGTTCCGACCGCCGCCACGACACCTGAGAATTCATGACCCATGATAAAGCCAGTTTGAGACGGCTGGTGGCCTCGATAGACGTGCATTTCGCTGTTTCTCGTCAGAAAAAAATGGTTGATATTCTCAGGTAGGAATAACTCACGACCCGCATATAGCAGTGGCTTTGACTTGTACAATAATGTCATGGCTATTCTGGACTGGGCAACGCTTGGTTAATACCAAATGCGATTTGCGGGAGTAGGGACAAGAAAACGCTGCTTAGAGACGGGAACCGTTAATCAGAAGGTCTTACTTCCTGGAATTGGGCGTTGTTGAAGCGACACTTGTCGTGGACCGTCGAACACGATGGCCTTCATTTTGGACTGAGTGCTCATATTGAAGTGATTTGTCATTGCGATGCCCCGTTAAGCGGGAAGTAGTCGATCACACCATATCTGGGCTTTTGAAGCAAACATTACGGCAAAATTGTGCTCTTATATTGACTTGGTTAACTAGATTGGGAGGAATGCGTAGCCTCGGCCCAAGTCTTTTTGGATGAGCCATTCCATAGGCTAAGGCCTTTCACAGAAGCTACCATTGGATCGGAGAGGGGCATTGAATTACCTATCGGAGTGATTCAAGTTTTCACTCGGAGTAACTTACTAACACATTGCAGAACCGAGGTGGACTTCGATTTGTAGACACGCCGAGCGCCGAAGGGAAATTTTACCACTGCCAAACGGCAACACATCCTAAGAATACATAAACTGCAATGCTAGATCATGGCTTGGTCAGTCCAGGAACGGACCTTTACCATAAGTCGATTATGGGTGAATCATTGAGCCATTCTCAAACATACTACCACATAGACCTTGCATGCGGGTTCATTTATCACTTTGCAGAATAGTGTTACTTGAGTTTTCATGAACTAAGAATTTCAGAAATGTATGACGAATTATCGTAAAGATTACATATTGCTTGGAGGCAAAAAGGGCGCTTTCAATAAATATGCCCTGGATCACAGCTTTGTCTGTGGCGGCCTTTGCTTCTTCGCTTCTGCATCTCGTATCAATCTCCTCAGTATTTTGCCACTTGGGCTCTTCGGAATAAGTTCAACAAACTCAATTCCTCCCCTAAGCCACTTGTGTCTCGCTTTATGCTCTTCGACATGCTTGTGAATAGCCTTGCGAGCATCGTCATCTGAGATTATGGACTTTTGTAGATCTGCGGACTTGACGATAAAAGCCTTCGGTACTTCACCGGATCTTTCGTCCCGAACGCCAATGATGGCACAATCAGACACATATGGATGATCCAAGATATGCGCTTCCAGCTCAGCTGGAGCTACTTGATGACCCTTGTTTGGCGGAATTAGCTTCCAAACAATGCAATTTGGTAAAGTAGATTTCTGTATTCACTCACCTTGACTTTGATCAGCTCTTTAATTCTGTCCACCACTACAAAGTGTTCATAGCCTAGAGCTGATTTTCGAACAATAACTTCATCGCCGGTCTTCAACCACCGCCCATCATTGTGCCAAACAAAGGTTCGGGAATTTTCTTTCTCATCGTTTAGATAGCCAAGCGTTATTGAGGGAGATTGGATAAGAAGCTCTCCTCGTGTCTCGTATTTAGTGACTTCATTACCCTCAAGGCTGATGAGTTTTGCTTTGGTGTATGGGAGAAGAGAGCCAGCCGAACCCGGTAACGGGTCATGCTCACTAGTAGACAAGACGCTGGGCGATGCTTCTGTGAGACCTAATTTCGATTGTTAGGCGCTTATTAATTTTATAGGTCGTGGAACGTAGTGCCTTACCATATCCTTGGCCCAGCTTCCAATTTGGATACAACGTTTGAATTCTATCCATAGTCTCACTCCCCAGGGGAGCAGCTCCAGTAAAAACATGTCGCACGCTACTGAGGTCATATCTGCGGCACTCGTCCTGCCTAGATATGATTTGAATTAAAATGGGAGGGACAATGCTTAGTTGTTCAATTTTGAATTTCTCCACGGTTTTCAACAGCTGAGCGAAATCAAATCGCGGAAGTACGACAAGCTCATCTCCCCGGTACATGGCAACATGGGCAATATTGACGAGACCAAAGATGTGGCTAAATGGGAGAATTCCAGCAGCGACTTGAGTCGTTACTTTGCTCGCTCCTCGTCCGACCCTGTCAAAGGTTGCTGTTTGAAGTGTGTTGGCGATGACGTTTCGATGAGAAACCATGACAGCTTTCTAGACAATGTTAGAATGATACAGCCCTAACGTTATGAAATGAAATTAGTATCTCACTGGTAGCCCAGAGGTGCCGCTAGAGAAGCAGAGATATGCGGTCTGGCGAGAGCCTTGACCTTTGACCCAAGGTGGACTAGCTATGTCCGGAAGGGTTTGACCTTGATTAATCAATTCCTCAACGGTGATATGTGGTACATCTGCTTTGGCCCCGGGAAGGGGAAGGATAAAGACGTGCTGGCTGGGGATGCCCACGGCACTTGCGGCTTGCAGTGCTGTTTCCAAAAGCGGAATGCATGTAAATATAGCCTTGGAACCAGAAAGGCGGAGCTGATATTGTAGCTCTTGAGGCGAATGAGTGAAACTGGCTGGTGTCACGATGCCAGAGAGCTTGTGAACGGCATGACCGGCAAGAATGTAGTCAACCTAACGAAACAGATGTGAATAATGTGAATAACCCATGTTCGAATCTAAACCCACACCAGAATGCAACGGCATATTGAGATTCAAATAATGCTTACCGTGTTATAAGAAAAAATAGCAACAACCCGATCCCATTCAGTCCCTTCATTGACATTCCATCTCAGGGCCTTTCTCAGCCCCCTCGAAAGAAAGTCTGTTCTCCGAAACGCCTCTGAAGCTGTGTAAGATGTGCCAGTGATGCCGCATGTGAACATTGGGCGGGAGCCATTGACCGAATACCTCCCATATAACTCAGATTTCACGAAGTCCGGAACAGAGATCGTATCCGGAGGATCTTTTGATCGGAGGCGTTAGTATTTTGATATCTCAATGTGAAAATTTAGAGTAGGGGCATACCTACCAAGCATAGGAGGTACCCATGAAGGAGGTGTGAAAACCATGTTGACGATATCCTCTGTACACGGTGTGAATGGCTAATCAGACGTGAGATAACGTGACAAGCCATAAGAGCAATAGCTTGGAAGAAATATCTCGAAGACACTGACACCTTTCTGTGAGTTCCGAACCGAGGCTCTGTTCTAACCGAGGAGTAGTTCCACCGCTTAGTCGAGGACATCCATTAGGGATGACACTAAGCACTCGGAGTTGAGCTTTTTTATGGAGTAAGCCAATTTGAAGACGACTCCGATTGGGCTTGTCCGAGAAATCCTACCCAGCCCCCGGATCTAGTGTCAAATGGAGCCGTGTCCCTGATCGAAGTTGACCACAGCCATCTCGATGGAGCATTTTTTTGTACCGAGAGAAGCTTTAGATTGGTACAAAAAGTCGCTTGCGAAATGATCAAATTTCGATACTATGCTTAGATGATATATTTACCAGCCACTCTCTTCATTTACGAACACGAACACAACTACAGTCACGCATGGCTCCAAGCAAATCGATGCTACTCGTAGTTAATGATTCAATTTGGTCGGAGTTACAGGAAATTTTGCACATCTAATGAATAGAATTTGCTTTTCTTTTTATGAACTACCCGAGGTTGTTAGTACGTAGCGATAGCGAGGCAACCCATCTGCCATGTCCAGAATAGCCTGGTTAGCCTCCTCCATGGGTCGTAGCTCGACCCATGGCTTAATTTCCTTATCCGCAGCAAGCTGTAGCATTTCTCTTATTTCCGAAGGGCTGCCAATGATAGAGCCTGCCAAGCGAGCGCGTGTCTTGGTAAGTGAGGATGCCATAAGATGCAGCCCTTCTTCTGGCAGGCCCAGCTGGACAAAAGTACCGCCAACGTCCAGAAGACCTAAATAGCCTCCCATCGGGACCTACAAGACTATGGTTAGCTTGCTTTTCTTGCATTCGCCAGCCTTGTTCTTCTTCCTCAGACTGGGGAGCAGACCTTGGATGAAATTGTCGAAAGTACAACGTCGAGGCTCCGCGAATGCTTGGCCTCCCAGCCCTCATCCTCTGCAGAAGCAATGTATTCGTCTGCACCTAGTGCAAGCGCATCTTTCTTTTTGTCTAGCCTTCGAGAGATAGCGACAATCTTGCTTGCGCCCATGGCCTTTGCGAACATGATGGCAAAGTGGCCCAGACCCCCTATGCCGATGATGCCTACACGAGAACCGGGCCCAACACCATGGTGTTTGAAGGGTGAATACACGGTCACACCGCCACACAACATAGGGGCAGCGTGGGCGGGATCGACGCCGGGAGGGATCCTGATGACGAAGTGTGCCGGGGCACGGGCGTAGAGACCGAATCCCCCTTGCGCAATGGATCCGTTGCGATGAATGCTATCGTAGGTGTTGATGCGCTGCCTGCAGTAGTTCTCTTCGTCCGTCTCGCAGGCCTTGCAAGGACCGTCTCGCGAGCGGCACGAGTCGGACTGGGCGCCGATTCCAACAGTCTCGCCAATCTTGAAATCACCAGCTTGGGACCCGACACGGACCACGGTGCCGACAATCTCATGGCCAACTACACATGGGAAAATCGTTCCGCCCTGAGAATGATCAGTCATCAGATGCTATACGCAAAAGCAACGAAAGTAGACAATTGACCAACCCAGTCGTCACGTAGAGTGTGGATGTCTGAGCCGCAAACACCAGAATGACTAATCTTGACATCCACGTCGCTTTCTTCCCAGGCCTTGGGCTCGTATTCCTTCCATGATAATTTACCCAGGGCTGACTCGCTGTCCTCCGCCACCCAACCCAGCAATTTGTAGTCAGCGTCCTTGGCCATATTGCGCAAAACTGAACTCGCTTAGTATCTGTAGTTGATTGTTTGACAAACAGTATTGCTCGCTCCTCTCAAGGACCCTAACACTCCGACTTTATTAACCACTCTCCGCCTTCGAGGAATGCTTAGGTTTAATGCCGTGAAAACCCCGTCTCTGCTTATTGCTCGGCGAGGGTCCACACCGAGCTTGTGGCCTTCTCCGACCCGAGTCACGCCGTTTTCTCCATTACTCGCTGTAGGAACGTGGCACAAAAGTTTGACCCTGTAAGGATCACAAGTGTATGCGCGTAGATGCGATTAGGGGGTGGGACAAAACAATTCCCAGACACCTCGTCACACGTCAAACTTCGGTCCTAACGATCAGTACCTTACATAGCTCGGGGAGTGGATTATCTTTCATCGCTGTGGATCTATGTCAACCTTTCACCTTGGTGATCCCAAAGACCTCGTAGCCCCCAAGTCACAACTTTGAGCCTGCGTGTGTTGGTGTGGTCGAGTCGGGGGTTATAACCACCAATGTATCTGCTTCTGGATGTCAAACAACTGAGCTTCTATCGGCCCACAGTATCGGATTGGTAACTAATCGTATTCATGAATTGGCGTTCTCTTATCCTTAGCTCTTCAGAAGAACTGACACTGATTTACTCTGGAGGTAATTGCCCATAGCTGCCTCTCCTAGCTCTCTCCCAATCCCCGACTGCTTGTAGCCTCCGAAAGGAACGGCTGTGTGAATGAGATTGTAACAATTGACCCAGACAGTACCCGCTTTCAAAGCTCGGCTCACGGAAATAGCTTTGTCCAAGTCCGTAGTATGGACAGCAGCTGCGAGACCATAGACTGAGTCATTGGCTAATCGGATCACCTCTTTCTCGTCTTTGAATTTGGCCACAACCCCAACCGGACCGAAGATTTCCTCCTTTGCAATCCTCATGTGTGACCCGACGTTGCTAAAGATGGTAGGCTCAATGAAATAGCCTTTGGTGCCATGGCGCTTACCTCCAGTCTCGAGCACCGCACCCTCTTCATTGCCGACACCGATATACTCCATCACCCGGTCAAATTGAACCTTGCTGATGAAGGGGCCTACCAAAGTCTCCGACTCGGCAGGGCCAATAGAGATCTCCTTGACCTTGGCTCTCAATAACGCCAGAAAGCTATCATAGATGCCCTCCTGCACATACACTCTAGATCCTGCGCAGCACGCCTGTCCGTGGTTGAAGAATACACCAAACACCGCCCAAGTAACGGCCTTTTCAATATCTGCATCATCAAAAACAATGTTAGGCGATTTACCCCCCAGTTCCAATGTCACCTTCTTAAGGTTGGACCCAGCTGCTGCTTTCATAATTTCGCGGCCAACGATAGTAGAGCCTGTAAAGGCAATTTTATCAATATCCATATGTGAGGACATAGCGGCTCCAGCAACCCGGCCGAAACCAGAGATCATATTGAAGACGCCAGGGGGGAATCCAGCCTCCTCAAACAGACTGGCGAATAGAAGTGCTGAAAGTGGTGTCTGTTCAGCGCTTTTCATGACGACAGTATTTCCTGTAGCTAAAGCAGGACCGGCTTTCCACGCCAGCATTAGGAGTGGGAAGTTCCATGGAATGATTTGACCACAAACACCGATCTAAATTGAAGATATTAGTATGGTTGTATGCTCCAAGTTTCAGTCCTTTACATACTGGTTCAGTCAATGTCAGATGAAGCATTGCTGGATCGACGTTCAATGTCTTTCCATCAATCTTATCCGCCCAGCCGGCGTAGTATCTCAAGCAGTCGATCACCGCCCCGACGTCTCCACGAGCATTGGGAACTGTCTTGCCATTGTCCGCCGACTCAATAGCAGCGAAGAGACCTGCCTTCTTCTCAATGAGATCGGCTAGCTTGCTCAAGCATCTACCTTTCTGCGCTGAAGGAAAGTTTTTCCAGGGTCCATCTTCAAAGGCTGCTCTAGCCGCCGCAACCGCAATGTCGACGTCTTTTTCAGTTGCTTCACATACGGAAACAAGTAGCTCTTCATTCGATGGATTGAAGACGTCGAACTTTCTCTTCTCCACGCCCTCGACCCATTTTCCATTGATAAAGCTGCTGCTATGTCAGTCTTATCCAGGGGAGATCCCGATGTGGGACAAACATACAGGCCGATGGGTTGCTGGTACTTCCCAACGGATGCAATCTCAAGTTCAACAGAGAGACTCATTTGGAAGGCTGCTTTTGGTGAATTGCCAGCGCTCGCGGGGAAGGATGATTGGATTTCAGTGGTCAATATGAGAAGGACCACGCCTACATTTGCTATTTATGGCATCTAGTAGTATACACTTGACTTAAGACCTACTGCTGTGTCCTCCACTGTAGGGACGGCCAGTACATGCTCGCCGAGGTAGTTGATTACTGTTGCACTGTCATCCGGAAAACCCATGCCTAAGCCTCAACTCGTTCACTACGATACCCTTGTGATAACCATGCACTCCGCACGGGGCCCCACGATCTGTCGTATTCTTCCTGCTTCCACTTACGAGATCCAAACCTTGGCAATAGTATCACGCACGTTGAGGAGGCTGTGAAGATTGGTAGACGCGAGCCTCAGCTATCCGGAGTGGATCTATCGGCGAACCCACTTAATGGTTCTCCGATGTTCCAACTCCACAACTGCTCCGAAACTCACCCCGAACACCGTGAGCCGGCAACTAGCCTTGATTCACATAGGCGGCTGGCTTGTAAGCATGTTGGGTTTATTATTGGTCGCGAGGCCTTCACTAAAGTCTAGGCTTAGCTGAGGTTTTGTAAGCTTTCAACTGGTGTCTCGGTACTCGACAATCCAACCATATTCTCTCCCATAATCTTGAGCTATGAAAGTCGCAGAGTATCTGTTTGCCCGCCTACGGCAGCTTGGCATTGATTCTGTTCATGGTGTTCCCGGAGACTACAACTTAGACCTTTTGGACTATGTTGAGCCTGCTGGCTTACTCTGGGTGGGAAACGCCAATGAGCTAAACGCTGCCTATGCTGCCGACGGCTATGCCAGAATCAAGGGCATCTCCGCCATCATCACGACTTTTGGCGTTGGCGAACTCTCAGCTGTTAATGCTATTGCAGGTGCCTATACAGAGAGGGCCGCCGTGGTTCATATCGTTGGAATCCCTGCCCGTTCTTCTCAGGACAATCGTCTGCTGATTCACCATACTTTCAATGATGGAGAATATAACCGATTTGCGACGATCCACTCCCATGTCACTGTGGCACAAACCCGCCTCTGGGACCCTAGGACAAGCCCTGAGCAGATTGATGAGGCTCTAAGACAGTGCTTGATTCACAGCCGGCCTGTCTACATTGAAATTCCGGTGGATTTAGTCCCCGCTTCGGTTAAGGCAGACCGCCTCAAACAGCCTATTGAGCCTCTTTACCTTGAGCCCAACTCAGAAGCCAAGGATGCTCTAGATCAAATCATTGCCAAAATAAAAGAGGCAAAGAACCCTTATATTCTCGTCGATGGAGAAATCAGGCCCATGGATGTCATTGATGAGGTCCAAAGCATCATCAAGTCAACAAACTGGCCCGCCTTTGCTACGCCCTTTGGAAAAGGACTCTTGGACGAAACCGTGAACAACTTTCATGGGATCCACATGGGTAGCTTTGATCGGCCAGAGGTAAAGTCCTTTACTGAAAAGGCAGATTTGGTTTTGAACTTCGGTCCACACCAGAGCTCCAGCAACACTTATGGCTACTCCAATATCCCCAAGTCCGAGATAGTTGTTGCTTTCAAAGACACACAAGTTCAGGTCGGAAAAACAGTCTTCCGCGATGTCGCTGCCAAGTACATCATTGCTCAGGTGGCAGAATTCGTGGGCAGCACGTCAGGCCTGCAGCGCTATGCCGACTACCCTTCACTTCCCAGGGACTACAAGTTGTCGTTTTCCCAAGTGCCCGCCGACAAGAAGATAGCCCAGGACCAGGTATGGAGACTCCTCGCAAACATGATCCGTCCTGGAGATATTGTTCTGGGGGAGACCGGGACTGCTGGGTACGGCGTTCGCGAGATGCCGCTCCACCCACACAATCGCCTCTTCACACCAGTGACCTGGCTCTCAATCGGTTTCATGCTTCCTGCTACGCAAGGCGCATCACTTGCGCAGAGAGAGCTAATCGAAAGGTCGAAGTACCATGGCCTAAAGAACGGACGAACCATACTTTTCATCGGAGACGGTAGTTTCCAGATGACTGTCCAGGAGCTTGCCACAATAATCCGACTGAATCTCAACGTCATCATTTTCCTTATCAACAACGATGGGTATACGATCGAGCGCTGCATCCATGGTCGAAAGCAGGGTTACAATGATGTTTCTCCTTGGAGATACCTCACCGCGCCCAAGTTCTTTGGGGCCAGCGAAGATACATATCTTTCCGTCGCTTCGACCTATGGCGAGCTGGAGAAGATTCTCAACGATGACAAGCTTGCGAACGGAACTGGGTTGCGCATGGTAGAGATCATGATGGAAAGGGAGGATGCGCCCAAAGGCCCTTTGTTGCACTATCTGGAAACCCAGATCGCAGAGGAAAAGTAGCATAAATACTCAATCCGGTAAAATACGCAGCTTTCAGTCCATAAATGCACAGGAAAAGTCCCCGTGATAAAGTATTGGTATTTCAAGTGGACAATGAAAAAGCTTTTTTGTTATACGTACTTGAATCCTCTGGTGAAATCACTTAACAGGCACATTAGACCTTAATCCATTTCCGTAGAGAAAAACACGACCTCTTTTTGGCTCCGTATTGAGCGTTATGTCAAATTTAAATTCAATCCCAGTATTATACACAGTCTATGAGAAGCCAGAAATTGATGCAAATACTACAAAATCTTGCGATTCGGACATCAATGATAACTCTGGAGAATTTGGCCCTTCATCTTCTAAGACTGGTCGATAAATTACAAAATATCATGAAGCTCCTCCATCAGATCTTGAAATCCGTGATACTCAGCAAATAACTCTAGATCATCTAGACTGATTGGCAAATGTCCCTCATTTATGTCTCCGATAAGCCCCTCGTCAGGGGCATGTTTGTGCCCAGAGACTCGATCTACAACTTGACCAAGTTCACATTGCTCTTTTTCCGGTTCGTCTTCTTTGGAAAGCATACAAGTTGGTGTCCATTGTTCTGGCTCACTAGGTGTATTTTGCAGTTGTAAGGTGTTAGTTTCCAGCCCGGTCAGTGTCTCAGCCGTTCCCAGATCGTTGTTTGTTTCCTCCTGAGATAACACATGATGATTGGATATCAGTGTTTCATGGTCTGGACGAGCCGTTCTCCCAGAATCGCAAGCGTGACCAATGCTGTCAGGGATAGTTTGAGCCACGGGAAGAGGCTCATGTGACATGACGCTGCTCTTACAGAAACTGCGTAAATTTATGGGGTAGTCGTCTTCTTCTGGCAAACTATTCTGGCTCAGAGCCAGATCCATGGTGAGAACCATTTCCAAGTATTTCTTTGGGTCTGATAATAAGACATCTGACCAGCCTCTACTATCCCCGCCAGCTGGGTCGGCAACTTGTGCAAGACGGGCGGTATGATAAACCGTCTTGTGGACATAGTCGGCTCCATCGTATCGCTTCTGCGACATGTGAAACGCTTCCGTCAAGGCCAGCAGCTTGCGCTGCTTTGCATCCCCTTGCTCATCGGCGTCGTGAGGGCCCAGCAGATTTGAACACCCAAACGACGATAACCAGCCCCTTACCAGTTGGAACACAAGTGGAAGGGCTACCAGGGCAAGGCTAGAAGAGTATGTTAGCAGCTGTCGGATGGAAACAATGGAAGAAGGAGATGGGAGTATGACTGACGCGCTCAAGGGGAGGCGGCTGATGAGGCGCAGATTGACTAGCTTTTGCAAAACCTCGGATATGCAGGAGTCGACGTGCCGAAGCTCTTCCCGGGTCCTTTCAAGGCTTCTTGGCGCTTCCTGAGACCAACCCGAGGGTTTATGCAAAGATGAACTGGCAACGTGGTGGAAGACCTCGTAGTTGGAAATCGCCAGCTGCGCGGATCTAAAGTCCAGGTTAGTGGCGGAAGAAGCAACTTCTTTTTTGACCTGGCGCTTACTGATAGTATAGCTCCGTCAAACACATATGTAGAAGGATAGATTGGTCAATGCAGTGGGATCCATTAGATCTCTCAGACTCGAATTCTGCAAAACGTAGCGTCATCCGATGGTGCCATTCCTGCAGCTCGCTCCTACATCCGGCCGCATCCTCGGCGGTATTCTGGTTCAGTGAACGATAACCTAAAGGACAGCCATTGTCTGAGAAGATGAGAGACAGCGCATCTGTCAGGCGAACACAAAGCATACAGAGTTGTTCCATGATCCCCAACAAACACCTTTTACTGTGCGAATTGTACACAGCAGAGCGATCTATTTCGTCTGTTAGGTCTGATGCGCAAAGTGGCAGCGAGCCCGTAAAATCAAAATCAGTCCTCTTAATCTCGATGCCGCGGCGAGTGGCGAGTGGCATAATCCGATCTCGAATGATACAACACCACCAGAGCCTTTTCAAAGTATTTAATCTCCTTTCTGTGTTTGTCGTAAGCGGATAACTAGTCCCGTAGTAATTGGCCTTGACTTCTTTGGCTAGCTGAATCGCAGTTCTGAGCCAAAACGTATTGGGGTTCTTGACGCCTCCCACTGGGGTCGACCAGAATGAGAGGAGAATTGCAGCCTGTGACAGGGCGATGGGGGACGCCTCGCACCCTGAGTGAAATAAAAGCTGTATCAGAACCAATCAGTGGGCTAGAAAGTTCCACTATACTTGAGAATGAAGAGAGCTCTCACCTTGGTGGTTCGGTAGAAATAAGCCCTTGTTTCTCGAGTGGATCCGATGTCCATTCTTTCAATCACATCGGGCGACAAATACTATCTCCTGGCATCAGCGCTCTTATTCGCTATTGCGTGATTGAAGCAAGGTCACACAAACATCACATGAAACGAACAACATGGCGCGAAAAACAAGAAATGACATTTTATGATCCGTTGTCTTCGAGTGCCCGCGGAGCATATCCCAGAAGTCGCCTTCATTGACCAGTGGAAGTAATGGGTGAATGTAGAGGAAGTACTGCTTCATAGATTCCCAAAGCACCTGACGTATAGGTATACGAAAAGCACCTTGTGATACGAGGTAGTCGATGTCTTGACCAGGTACGTTGGAAAGACCGCTAAGCTCGAGGAACTCAAAGTCCGCAAGCGATGGATCCGTCGTTGTGGACTGGGAACCAGTTTCGTATTCAGGATCCTGGACTGCTAGCGGTGATATCGGCACTGATGGAGGCAGTTCCTGGACCGAGTCCGGGGCAACATGGAGACTGCTTTGGTTATGATCCAAATTCGCATATTCGGTAGGATCTGCTGCAAGAAGATCTGGCTGCTGGGTGGCCGGGTGGCCATTGCCTTCATCGAAACCCTCAGCCACGCATATAGACTGCAAGGGTATCAGGCTTGCAGCCAACGCATAGTGATCCTCCTGTGTATTAGCTTGCTGCCGTCTTAAAGAATGGTTTTAGCTTGTCATCACAATGCAAAAGCAACGAATTGGTCATTGTTAGGATGCAGTAAACACACCTTGAGCTCCTCTGGCATACAACACATTCAGTGCCATCAAGATCGCAATTGGTACAAGGCTGCCCTCTCCGCGATACGTCGCATCTCACTTTCCGCCTGCGGCATGTGAGGCAGGCCTTGGGGGCGCGTTTACTTGACGCACTTCTACGCCCCATGATAACTTGATTAGAATCTAACTGGGGTCCTGTCGGCAACAGTTGTCTACCGGCCGCAAAGCTTGTGACGATTCATATGGCCAAAGCAACACAAGTACGTGCACTCACAGATATGGGGCAAGAGTACAGGAGGGTCCAGAAGTCATGTAAATGCATGCCGAGCAGCTGCGCTGATCCTCTCCGTGTATGTTATCAATGCTACTCCGACCACTGCAGTTAAATTAGCCTCGGAGAACAGAACTGGGTCTCTCGGAGTGGGTCTCTCCGCATGTTGTTCCACTTTCGCCCAACAATCTATCGACTACCTCCAAACGTCCACCGTCAGGCCATTGTGTCCCTAGAGCTTACTTACGCCGCCTTGACTCGCGGCAGCTTCGGAGAGGATCCGTTCCAGTCCCTTTCTCACCTGGTCTGGCATCCCCGAGGGGCGAGGCTTCCCCGTTGCACGATCCACAAACACATGTACGAACCGGCCGACGGCTTTGACATCTTCCTGGTGGCGCTCGAATATGGCCACCTCGTATGAGACGCTCGACTTGCCAAGTCTGTCCACCCTCAATGCCAGTTCTGCCACAACTGGATAGGCGATGGATGATAAGAAATCCGTGTGGGAGCTCGCAACGAGCGCATACTGTGGGGAGGTGGCAGGGTCTAGGCCGCATTCTTGGATCAAATATGCATTGATAACGGAGTCGAACCTTTTTGTTCGAAATAATAGTTAGTCTTGAAACTAATTGCCCTTATGGGGCATTAACTGTACAAGGCATTGTAGACGGTGTTATTCATGTGATTGTACATGTCATTGTCGTTCCTGGGCAACGTTAGCAACATCTAGATGGCAAACCGGATGCCCAAGTCGGGCGTCTTTTGACTTACCACCTTGTCCGATAATCTAGGATGAAATCGAAATCCCCACGCCGGCGACTTTTGAACACGCTACTGACCATGGTTGATCCCTAACAAGCGACAGCCCGTAATTTCTGTTAATTGAGAAAGTCCAGGCAGCTCTGTACGCTGTGACAAAAGTATGTAGCCCTGGCACCGCTTTTATATTTCGTTATCTTGTCCGTCGGGGCGTGCAGAGTCAAACATGACCCTTTAGCTCGGGCCGAGGTCCATTCATGACAGGCTCTATGTGCAAGCTAGGTGTCTAAACTAGGCATTCAAGTGTGATCTGGTACGAACGAACAATCGGCCAGGTTTTGCCAAAAACTAATCTCAAATTCAAAGTTGTCCATCTCCAGCTGTGTCACGAGGTCTTGCGTGGGACCGGGCTCGTACCCAAAGTCTCCGTCATTGACAGGACCCTGCCGCGTCGAAGACCATGTGAGGGAGTCTAGGAAAATCTTTACGGTTTGCACTGCCTGCGACAAAAGTGCAAAATTGGCTTCCTTGTTTTGCACAACTGCGCCGTTCTCCACCTCGGCCACGAACACTTGCAAGTTGCGCAAGACGGCCGGTTTGATTGTACTCTGAATATCTTGGTGACGCCGACGTCTGAGTAGTTGGAGGAGAATAACACCTGTTGCAGGTAGTCCATAGTAGGTGACCTAGATGTGTTTTAGCATCGATACCAAAGGGAAAATGGCAATTGCGAGATAATGATGGGGAGCGGCAGATAACAAACCGGATCTGCTTACCTTCCATGCAAGTCCAGTTCCAGAGTTTGCCAGTTTGTCCCGGAGGATGATGGCATCAGTGACGAGACCAAGCATATCCTCAGCAATATCAACAATAGCATCACCTGGCTCAACCAATAAATCTTGGCAGGCAAGCCGTAGCATGAAGAGCACATGCAGATAATTTAACCGGAGGCTAGCTAGAAAGTCCTTTTTAAAGGCATCGCCATTTGCGTCCTTGAGAGGGCCAGTCAGTCTAAAATCAGGAGGTAATGCGTTCCATTGTCTGACGCATCGCGATTGGATCTCGCTTTTATGAGAGTACATCAGCCGGGGTCCAGAAAGTATACATGACTGCAGTCACAGGCTTGTACTAACTTGGCTTTACGTGTAACATTATCAGTCTTCTTAACCGACAAGAGCTCCAAGATCTCTTCTTTTTGAAACGCGCAGAGCGCTGACCACCGTGTTTCGGCTCGGTAGCTGGGCGCGACATTCGGGGGCCACGTGTACATGTCCAGCTCCTGCTGGCCGGTTGGGTCCAGGGAGCTTGTAGACAAGGGCGTCTGGAACACGCAGAATCTCTTCGTCATGCGGGGCGGACGCCCAAGGAATATTGCCACGTTCTTGTCGGCAGAATACATACGCGCCAAGACAGTCTTCCTGAGTTCAGACAGAAACGCAAAGTCGTCCATTCCTGTATCGATTTTTTGATGATAACCAAGCGCGTAGATAGACGCGATCACGTCGCCCAGTTTTCGCCAAGATTGGTAGCCTGCCAAAAAGCGTCAATGAGATGATCATCAACAGCAACATGCAAAGTGGCATGAGGGAAAGCAATCAACATACTATGGTCCCCATTTACGTGAGAATGTATAATGAAGTTCTCATACTGCAAAACAATCTGAAAATCATTAAGGCAATCCAGAGACAGGGCCAAGTCCAACAGGTCGTCGCTGAGTCTGGCGGCAAACTTACGCAGAGCGGACCTCTCTTCATCGTCCTTGTAGAGTGTGGGGAAGAATGGAACATCAAAGGTAGCTCTCACGACGGCCGTGAAGAAAATGCCGAGGGACTCCCATCGGAGTTGCTCGCCAGACGTCTGGAAAATGAAGTCGGCCGCACTCATCCTTGGGCGCAGGTCCAATAGCCTCATAGAGTTGGCCAATAAAGCCCGAGACTGCTCCATGAACCATTGGGGGGTGGCTGAAGTTTGGGCACCTAGGCTCACGAACGCTTCGCAACATGAGCCCACAAAGGGCTCTGCTAAGGCCAGACTAATGCCTCTAGCTGTCCAAAAATGAATCAGAGCCTTGAGCTCATTTCCGTCAAAGGTCGTCAGGGCCCGTTCAAGGATCTCAGCGCCCTGCTTGGCGAGGGTGGCGGTGTTGTGGTGTGGCCTGTGGGAATCGACGACCCCCGTCTGAGCGGCAACGTGCTCGGTCGATGTGCCTATAGTTTCATCCGGCGAGATCTGGAGGAATATTGACCTGTGGCTTGAGTACCCCAGATAACCTGGGTTTGGGTATGAGGCATTCGGGGCCGGGGGTGTGGAAGTGGACGTGGGTAAGTCGGAGCTGCAGCACCCTCGGCGTTAGGAGAGAACGGTACGAGATAACGCCGGGAGCTTATGGTTCTTCCTTCTTACAGCGGAGATATTGATTCACGAGGGGACAGTCTGTCGTTGTTGGTCCGCCGCCGCTTGAACGGGTCCTGGCGGTATGTGCAGCCCTCGCCTTTGCCCGAACGCTCGCACCGAGTGCACGACGGGAGCCGATGATCGCAGGCCAGCTTGGACTTGCGGCATGGTTCACACGCCGGCAGCCTCGCGTGGGCATTGGCATTGGCGTTGGCAATGATATTCATATCCATTGTCAGGTTAGTTGCTCAATACCAAGGAGCCGGCAGAGGCATATGGCGAAAACTGCGAGTTGAGTGATGGATCGGGGAGGGATCAGGGTGAGTGAAGAACGGAGTAGCTAATTGCATTATTACCCCGCTAGACCACCTTGAGGACTGATGTGCCCTGGAGCGCTATAATAGGCACTAATCTCTGTATTTATTTGGCCCCTACATGTACTGACCTAATGACATAACTAAGGTTGGTGGTGATAGTGTCCCACTCGCCCATCACCATTACGTATCCAGGTACATAATCACAACATTGGCCAAGGCGGCTTGGGTCTTGAATTTGCAGTTACCTCCCAACTGAGCTAGAAAATAGACTTGCAAGGTTCGTCTAAGCAAAATTGTCCTACAAGCCCACAGCATCGGCCAGAAACTCCTTTCTCACGACCTCCGCAAAGAGCCGAACACCCTCGGCAAGTTCATCTTCTCGGGCGGCCGCAAATGTTAGGCGGAAGAACATCTCGTGTGCTTCCCCCCCGCTGCTCCGGAACAGGGAGCCCTTGGTGACCTGTACCCCATTCTGCAAAGCGTCTTGTAGGATCCTCTGCTCCACTGTCGCCACGGTTGTACGCAGCATCTGCACGTCTGGGCTGCCCAAAAGTTCCCTTAGTTGGGGATGCAGAGCCATGTCAAATCGGATCCAAACAAACATCCCGTAGGACGGGGGGATAAAGTCGCATGCCGCCCGAGGAAGGTATTTCTGGCAGGCGCCAACGATGATGTCTCGGCGCTTGCGGTATCTGCCTGACAGCTTTTCGAGCCAGCGGAAGAATCCTTCGTGGCCCCAGGTCCTATCAAGCAGGTCATACAGCATGAGCTGGCTCATGCCACTGACAGCCACCGTCGTCACCTCGTGGTAAGCCATGAACTTGCTGATGACCCTCTCGCTAGCTGTTACCCAGCCAGCCCGTAGCCCGGGTGCGAGGATCTTGGCGGTCGAGTCAAGGCGAATGACGCGCCCCGACGTGTCAAGGGAAAGGTATGAAGGGATGAGCTGTGAGATGAAACCTCCCCCGTCCGTCTGTGCAGAGGCGTCAGATTCAGCCAATGGCCCCGCCTTGATGTAATAGTACGGGTCATCTTCAATAACGATCAGGTCGTGACGGTCGGCAATTCGATAGATTGCCTTTCGTCGCTCAAGGGATTGCGTGTACCCAGTTGGGTTCTGTCCCGTCGGAATCGTGTATAGAAGTTTTGGTTTAGGGCCATCGCTAGTGTTCCAGTTGTCCAGGATCTCTGCAAGCGAGTCCTCTCTCAATCCCCCGTCATCCATTTTGACCCCCTTGGCTTTCATTCCAGACAGGTGCACAGCCTCCAGGAAGCCAGGGTAAGTGAACTCCTCGGTCAGCACCACGTCGCCACGGTCGCCAAAGATTCGTAGCGCAATCTCCATGGCCGACGTCGACCCCGCAGTGAGGCATGTCTCCCAATTACGGTACGGAGGATTGTGGACGAGCTCAACATGCTCGGTCAAATATCTGATGAGAAAAGGTGTGCCACCAGCGTGTCCGTAGTTCAAAGCCGTCGTAAGATTGTATCCCTTTGCTGACAGGGCAGTGGCAGTTGCTTGTGCTTGCTTGTCATCTAGGGACCAAGGATAAAGCTCAGCAGTCGGTCTACCCGTTCCCAACGGGACGAAGTCGGTCCGGTTTAGGGCTGTCTTCTTGAGCGGCGACCCCTCAAAGTCCCGGCTCTCATTGCTGAAATGGTGTGAAAGGGAAACGGCATCCGGCTTTCCCTGCTGCTGTTTTGACTTGAAAGCAGCAGACGGAGTGTAAGCCACAGGGGCAGTAGACAACTCTTCGCCGTGCAGCCGCTGGGTCTCGAAGTCTTCAAGTGCAGCCGGTGCCATCTTGGACTTGTAGGAATGCAAATGTCTTGATTTAAGGTCGTGTAGTTATTTGCTATCTAATTTTCCCCTGGCAAAGGTAGAAGTGACCTTCTCACCAAAAATATATATTTGGAAATACCTACTGTTCGAAACTCCCATGTTCTCAACTAGTGTAGTAGGTCCACGGGGGAACCTTGAGCAGGGGATCGAGGTCGGAGTGGGGCCTCGCCGAGCGTTGTCTTTCGGACAGAGAGAGCAATTGAAGTCCAGGGCACGACCAAAGTCCGACAGTGGGGTTGCAAATCTCTCGTGAAATTTGTCACCGAAAACATGACATTAGGTAGTCATGACATCCCAGTCATATTGCCAAGAGGGGGTTGAGAGTGGGAATGCCTTTCCACTTACCCTGGACTATCCATCTACAACTGGCCATCACAGTAAACACAACAAGAACACAACTAGATGTCAATGTCAGTTATTTTGCCCTTTACTGTTTCTTTTCTCCACTACTATTTTTTCCCTTCTTATCTTTCATGACAGTAAAAGTCCCTACTCACTGAGCAGGGTATACCTTACCTTTGAGTATCTACCTAGGTGCGACACTCGGAGTGGGTATCTCTCGGAGAACGATGAACGACCCCATTCTCCGCATCGGAGTTGAACCCAAAGAGGATAGGGCATGATTATACCGTTTATCTTGGACCACTACTCTGGAGAATCGGGCTTTAACTTTGCGCCTCGACGCCGGACATACTGCAATCAGTGAGGTGACCCCCCTCATATCGCAGGTGGATCCTCATTGCTCTCCATAATTGGTCAGCGATCAACCTTATCGCCCCGCATAGATCAGCTAATGACCGTCGTGCCCACAACCCCCAGAGTGTTCCCCTAGATGGCTCAGAAAGATATATCAGGCCTAAATGCGGCCGAGCCATGAATTGCGATGGTGCAACTTTCTTTGCGATTGTGAAATATCTAATAGAACTATATCAGGAATGTCTCTACACAAGATGAATAGCGAAAAACTACCCGATCCCACATCTCCTGCACAGGAGGCTGGTCTCGGTGAGATCGGCTCTGTTCATGTCGTCCAGGAGGATCGTCTTACCCGGTCTCTGTCTGCGCGGCAGGTACAAATGATTGCCATCGGCGGAACCATTGGGACTGGTTTATTCCTGGGTACAGGAAAGGCTCTAGCTCAGGCCGGGCCTGCCTCAGTTCTGATCACCTATTCTATCATTGGTGCCAATGTTTTTGTTACGATGCTGAGCCTCGGAGAAATGGCCGCCTTCATTCCAGTGGCAGGAAGTTTCTGCACCTTTGCTGGGTAAGATAAGTGGACTTTTCTTCTCTAAATCACCCTTTTGGAACTTGCTAACATGAAAACCCCCAGACGATTTGTTGACGATGCTTTCGGTTTCGCTCTCACATGGAACTACTGGTTCAACGATGCGATAACGTTCGCTGCGGATCTGGTCGCCTTACAAATTGTCTTGGAATACTGGGCCAACAACTTTCCTGGATGGGCTTTTAGCCTGATCTTCTGGGTCGTCATCATTGGACTCAACGTTGTTGCAGTCAAAGTCTACGGAGAAGCAAGTGAAGAGAGTCCATATTACGACTTGAGCGAGGCTAATGCGTTTTATAGATTGAATATTGGCTTTGCCTATTGAAGGTCATCACTATAATTGTAAGTCTTCTTTTTGAGCACATGCTACATGACCAAGGGCTTAGATTGTTAATGAATAGGTCTTTATCATTCTGGGAATTGCAGTCAACTGCGGCGCAAATGTTGACGGCCGTTACATTGGAGGCGAGAACTGGCACTTGCCAGGAGCTCCATTTGTTAATGGAATCGGAGGTTTCGCTTCCGTATTTGTCACTGCTGCTTTCGCTTGTAAGTTCCGATTGTCCTTCCAAACCTTATGTTCTCAAATCTAATACATGACACGTTAGACGGGGGAACGGAATCCATTGCCATCACGGCGGGAGAAACAAAGAGTCCTGCTAAAACTATCCCCAAAGTTGTTCAAAACGTTTTTTGGCGAATCTTGTTTTTCTAGTAAGCCTTATTCGAAATTCAGGTGCACCTCGCAATCTAACTAGGCCTTTTAGTGTTCTATCCGTGCTGATCATTAGACTCAATGTCCCATACAACTATCCTGAACTAGGCTCCAAGACCGTGAAGACGTCCCCTTTCACCCTGGTCTTTCAGATGACTGGGGCCAAGGCGGCTGGCAGTGTGATGAACGCGGTTATCATGACTAGTGTCATATCCGCAGGCAACCATGCCCTTTTTGCAGGCGCCCGCTTGATGTTTGCGTTGGCAAATGCGGGACATGCACCAAAGGTCTTTGGAAAGCTCAACCGTCAAAATGTGCCTTGGATTGCCGTCATCATTACAGGCCTAGTAAGCGGCTTGTGCTTTGGATCTAGCAAGATAGGAGCTGGTCAACTGTGGACGTGGTTACAAAAGTGAGTTTATACCTTTCTTCTCGGCCACTTGTTTCGTCAGAGTTCTAATAATATATGGTAGCCTCGTTGGAGTTTCCAATCAGTTAAACTGGCTAGCGATCGGTATCACTTCGATTCGGTTCCGTGCAGCTCTGCAGCGACAGAATAAGACTCATCTACTCCCGTTTCGAAACTATACTTATCCATTAGGACCTTGGGTTTGTGTTATTGGGAATGCCATTATTGTTCTTGTTCAAGGATGGCAATGCTTCAGTCCAACCTTCAATGCTGTTGACTTTGTCAGCTTTTATATCGAGATCCCAATCATGTTCATCATGTATATAATCTGGAAGATCGTGAAGAAAACCCATCTGGTTAAGCTAGAAGATATGGACTTAGAGACGGATCGCTGGTCTTCGGATGCTGAAGATGAGAGTCCCAGCAAGAGAACCAGAGTAAAACAGATCCTCAACTGGATTTACTAAGAATACCAGAGCTAGGCAATTGGATAATAATCCTAACTAGTATTCTTATTATTATACATTATCGTTATACTATCTCAGGAGTAACAGTTGGTACTATAATAAATATATTACTACTGAATCTCATTCTTAAGCTCTAGAATTAAATAGAAGAAGTATTAATAGTATTGTCTTAATCTGGATATATATTTAGATTTGAAATCTCCATGAAATAGCTTCTGTCCCAGAAGTTTCTATAAAGTAATAATGTGCTTTGCTTTATAGAATCCCTTGAGAGTATCAAGAATCAATTCAAATATTTCTCTCAGTCCAGCTTTGTATAAGACCCTCGATAGTAGGCTCATACTCCTTTACAGTAACCTTGTCCCCGTCAAGGAAAGTATTGGCATGCACAAAAATCATTGGGGGAGGCTTCTTCAAGAGCACCGTCTCGCGCCAGGACAAGTGTTCCTCTTCCACCATGGACAGTTCCTCATAATAGGCCCGGCAACTCTCCGCGTCAGCCGTGCATCGGAACATGTGCAAATGTAGAAGCATTTTTCCGAGAGCTGCTTTTCCATGGGTGCGGATTTTGGAGCGATCTACGTGGACTGTAAGATTGTTGCCTAGCTTATCATGAACAATGGTAACAACACCGTCGCCATCGCGGATCAAACACTTGAGCATCGCGAAGTGCGCCTGAGAGCGGGCACTTAGTTAGCACAATTGACTCCATCTTTTCTTTTTCGGCACTTACTCGACTATGCGCCTGGCCCCATTTCTGCCACAGAGAATTAGCAAAAGTCGCACACAGTGCTCATAGATATAGAGAAACGTACGCTATTGGTTACGTTGAAGTTGGATAGCCCTCGCAAACCGTCAACACCTAGCTGTTGGTATAGATTATACGTTACTGAAGAGAGTTCCTTGTGTTAGCTTTAGGCCCATATAACGGAAAAGGCAAGATTGAGGACTTAACGCTCACAGTCATCTGCGCGAAATTCAGAGGTCTCCGAGAAGCCAAATAATTCAAGGAGCTCAACATCGTCCATCAAGTAAGCGCCGACGAGTTCCGCTCTACACTCATCCACCGTGGTTGCCAAGTCTCCAAATTCTCCTGTCCAGGTCTGCCCAGGTTTATACCAGGTCGAAATGGGTTGATTTGTGAGCGGATTGATTGGCGGGTTGTTGATGTCAAAGTTGAACTTTCCCTCTGAGTGCTCTACCATCATTTGGCCTGTACCATGGCCGAGAAGCTCATGGAGAACAACCCACCAGTAATAAGCTGGGAACTTGTGCTTCTGAAAGGTTTCTGCCTCCGAAGCATGTATAAAAGGATACTGTTTCGCCTGGCTCTCAGTGACCATTCGGTTAGATATGATAACATTTTTGAAGCCATCCTCCTGGCGAATGTCGTTGTACTAGGGCGCCCAGTGAGTTTGTGCATAATGAAGATGGATATGTAACTGATGACTTGCTTACGTTGGGAACATTAATTCCTGGGAAAATTATACTCGAGCAGTATGCAAGCGCTATACAAGAGTCAGCCTTAGATTCCACGCGAGGCACGAAGGAAATCGCTTACAATGGATGCTAGAAAAGTCCGGAGGCTCAAAAAGACTCTTTTCGAATGGTCCCTTTCCATTATTCTCCGCCGTTGCCCATGGGAGCCGACGAATGAAGGTGGCCGAGTTCTCAACTAACTTGGCTAGAAGTTTGGTTTCCTCATCGTCGGCAATAGCAACGAGTCCTTCAAATTCTGCTCGGATACCGTGTGGATCTCGGTACGGCTCAACAAATCCAAAAATGTTTTCTACGCGAGGCCCTTTATCTTTGACCCAGATTCGTAGGGATTCTCGATACATGTCTAGACTCCCGGTTTGAAAGCTTTCGATGTATTTTTCGAGAAATCGGCTTTGGAGGTCATTTGCGGTATATTTGGCCACCTCTGCGAGTTCATGACACACACGTTGAAGGCCGGAAGAATGGTCACCCTTTACGATCTGCACTGATCCTGTACCGTTGGATAGAGAAAGGTGCCCTTGTTTGCCTGATTCAACAGAGGCAAGAAGAATCTCATATTTCCCATCACCGACTTTCTGCAGTCTAGTATTTTCGGGGTGGATGTGATTTTGCTCGAGAAACTTTGACAACATTGTGATATCGGTTTCCTTCAGATTACCTCCTGGATAATAAGCCGTCTGAGCGGTTTCGCTTGAATATCCAAGACTGTATGGCGGCGTTGCGAGGATCTGGTCGGAGAGTCCATCATACAGACTGCTCAAAGTAGAGGACTTCTCTGATAGTTTCTGGAGGACAGTGCTCTCCACTTGAGGGATGAATTTTTGGTCGCCAGAACCCTAGGCAGTGAAGGATTAGCAGTGAATTCAGACATAGACTAATCTACTCACACACGCCACTCACATAATAGTTACCAACATTTGACAAAAACGTAGCAGCGTAGGTCTTGAAATGTTGGATATCTTCCTTTGTTACCCCGGGACAGATCAAAGATTCCCAGTCCCCAGAGCAAACCTGATGAAGCTCCATGATGAAGTCAAAAATTAAGGCGGATTCAGGAGAAACCTGCCGAAAGATGATTCTTGCTCCCGCCCAAGAAGCACTATTATAATTATAAGTCAATATAAAGACCACCGACCTACGCCCACCCTGTGCTTACCGGGCCATGTGATGCGCATATCGTTTCTCCCGATCCGTCAGGCGACCAAACTGGTCCCTGACGGCTAATTGAAAAACTTGGACCTCATTGACAGCCATTGGAATACTTGATCGGGTGAACGTGGGCGGGTAAGGGCCTAAGTGATAGTCTCTCGGGGAAGAATGATTGATGGAGCAGCAACTTCCAAGTTCCCCGCACGGGGATGCAGCTGTACCGAATTGTCAGGTCGGAATTATCTCGGCGTGCTGATAACCAACAATGTGAAAACCGAACCAACAACACAAATCTGATAGTGAACAATTGGAGGTGCTTCATCTTTGTGGATGCTCTGGTCAAATTCCCACTACAATAGGTTCTTGAAAGACAAAAAGATACACATGATGAGCATTTCTACAATCCTATACGAATGAACCTCTGTTCAACTCTGAGGTCTTGCCGTGGCTGACTTCCTCGCGTAAGTTTTTGCTACCTAGTCAGCTGTTCAAAATCCATGAATACCTTGCAATAAATCAGTCGCTTACTATAGCAGCCCGCTTATTTTCATGGCGAGTTTCTCAAGACCGCTCTTGGGAATGATTCCGATTAGGTGAGATAGCCCCAACGCGCTCTTGCGACTCTGCTCTTGACTAAAACTCTACATTACTACACACCCCCGCAAATAACGTACCAATGCTTACTGGAGTCCTTGATTGTGGCTTACTATTTGTAAGTACTTGTGCAATGTACACGGGCTTGGCTACTTGCAATGGTGTTGCTTATCATCTGTATTCGGAAGCTCGATGTACAAGAGGGGTCGAACACACGGAGATTGGACAGTCCTGTCCGTGTCATCACTACTTCAGCAACCCCAGCTTAGTCTGCTCAGTATCTCTTCCCCGCCGTTGGTTGTTGTCGTCCCGCTCTCCGTCCCGTTTTTGTCAACTGTGCTGTTCATCCAAGAGGCACAGCAGGTTATGGTGGGCACTTGAGAGCCACAAGAATGCACCCGGTCCGCTTTGGCTTTCCTGCACGTTTCCAAACACTCCCACGTATAGCCAACGGTCTGACGCCACGGCCAATTCCTCCATCCTGCCTATTGCCATAAGTTCGATTGAGACACTGGTTGTTTGCCTCGCTAACGTCGCTATGCCTCAAATTAAGGAATACCAGCTTCACCCTACTGGATGGGAAAATGATCCGGCGAGGGAGGAAATCAAGCTTTGTACTCTCGATTATCTAACGACCATGGCGTATTTGAATAAAGCTCTATTCTTCGAGGTGGAAGAAGAGGAGAAGGCGTAAGAGCTCCAATGTCATTCTGGTTGCCGATGTGATACGAGGAGAAGCTAATTCACTGACCATAGTTGGCAGAAAGGTCGAAATTATCCTGAAGGAAGGGCTAGAGCGGACTCTCAGCCAAACCCGGCAAATTAATGGCTATGTTGAGCCAAATAATGTTGGGGGATATTCTATTATCAAACGGAAAAGTGACACGGTCAAGTTTGTCGTTCAGTACCTCGACTCCCCAGAAGACAACTTCCCTTCCTACTCAACGATAGCAAAAGCTCACTTCGCTACCGCTGTGCTTGGCGATGCCAAAGTCCTGTGCAATACCTCGATGGTGTTTGGTAGAACACCCGAAGCACGCGCTGCCAACAGGCCTGCCCTGGGATCCTTCAAGGCCACCTTCATTCCCGGTGGTCTTATTTTCGTTATCCATCACCACCATTTTACCAATGGAATTGAGGGTTTGAACGCACTGATACTCCAGCTGGCGGAGAATTGTCACGCCATCACAAACAAGTCCTTCATTCGACCCACGGTGTATGGATCGCAACTGCTATGGTCTCCCTCTGGGATTCGAGAGACCCTCATCTCACTCTTCCTCTTCTACCCACAATCATGGGGCGCCAGCTGAAGCGCCGCTTTTGGTACAGGCCCAATCGCAAGAACGGCCCGTTCATTCGCTACTCTTCCACCTTCCCAAGAATAAGGGAGCGGAGTTGAAGAAAGCTGCGTCGCCGGATGATGGGTCCTGGATCTCTACTTTTAATGCCCTTTGTGCTCTTACGTGGCGTGTTTTCTCTAGGATCCGCCAACCTCTGTATAAGCCTGAGGTGAACTCCGAGCCTTTGTTTGGGACCGGTGTTAGCATACAAAAGCATTTCAAAGATAAGGGGATGCCCGAGCGCTTGCAGATGAACATGCAGTTTGACATTACATCCGCTAGTTCCCACCTTACACAGCTCACCCTCGCCGAGGTCATCTCGGAGGCACCGCTATCGAAGCTGGCCAGTTACGTGCGCCGGCTGACCGATAGCGTGAGTCTCAAAATGTTGACCGACACGCTGGAGAAGTTGTCTTATGTGCCGATCGAGGATCTATCGATCAGTGTCCACTCCTTCCCTCCCATGGCCTTTTACATCACTGACTGGAGGTCTGTGAAGCTTTCTGCTCTGGATTTTGGCTTCGGTAGGCCTGTTGCATATCGGCATCTCTTCACTGAGGTGCAGCGGGGCCAAGCAATCCTCTACCTACCGCAGAGGGGTCCGGGGGCCGCAACTTCCTCCTGTTATCTTACTTTCCCGGTTAGTACTATTAGTATCTAACTGTAAGATTATATATATTATACTAATAGAATCTAATTTCCTATATCTAGCTATTTAACCCCCTTTTTCCTACTATTATAATACCTAATCCTCTCTCTTTAGATCTTTTATTTTAAACTAAAAAGCTATCTATATCTAAACTTTATTATAACTATAATCCTCTAATAGTTATAATAATATCTATTACTTTAATACTAGCTATTAAATCTTTATTTATTAGTATTTAATCTAAATCTCCTAGTAAAAAATATTATATTATATAGAATATTATTCTAATTTTCTTTATCTTTAATATTAAATAGAATATCTCTTTTTTTTAAGTCTATTTAAATAACTATTTATTTAATAATAACTATATTCTAAGTTTTAATTCTAATTCTAATTTATAAAGATTTAATATAAAATAATCTAATTTTAATATAGAGTTTATAATTAGTATAG